GATACCTCTCCAGTTTCTCATTTGCCTTCATGATGTTGCTGTCATGTAATAAACGTTAAATAGCTTTTTTAAATACATTTTAACAAAACAAAAAACAATACAAATGTTGGATAGAAGAGGAAAAAAATAAGGAAAAGTAATAAAGTGGAAAAGAAAAAAAAAGCCCCAAAATGAAAAAAAAGTAATAAATGACTTCCTATCTTCTTAACAGCAGTTATAGGTACATTTATATTCCTCTCAGTGAGCCCTTTTCTGTAGAGTCTAGTCCAGTGAGAGCAAACCTAGGACACACATGTCAAAGGTGACACACCGCAACATTTTGGATGACATGCCAGGATTCACCAATACCCAACAACAACTATCCTTGAAAGCATGTCCTATTTTTGTGGAGGCTGTGTGAGAATGGAGTGTGCTCTCATGCGGCCTCTACCATTTGAAAGTTGTGCCAGAAGGGGGCATGGCTTTGTGTGGTTACAGAAGCTGCAGAAGCCATGGGAGAGCATTCTCTAAAGCTTCTTCAAGGCCTTGTGCAACCCACAGCTGCCTTGGATAGGCCATTGGGGCCTGTCAGCAGAAAGAGGACACCGCCTGAAGGTAAGTGGCATGCAGCAGATTCTGAGGATCACACACAATTGTTTTGCTTTCTTTTGCTAATAAATGAATGCGTAAAGAATTTTTGCACTTTTGTTCAAGGGTGGCGTGTTGACATGCCAGCAGAGTCAAGCTAGGCATTTTGCTAATTTTTGACCTGGTGAGCCCAAAGGATTCACCATCACTGGTCTTCTTTGTGGTTCGAGTCTGGGGGTATTTATCAGAAAAACCGGTTTGTGTACTTGGTGCCTTTATTCCATGGAAAATAACGTTTTGAGAGTTCATATTTCATGATGAAAAAGATGCATCCAGGGGACCAAAATAGCATTATTTAATAAGATAAACACGACTAGAAGTAGCCAAGTTTGTTTATTTCTTTTGTCACTGTTTTCACACAGATATACATTTTTGTACAGGTAGTCCTAGACTTCCAAACATTTGTTTGGCAACCATTTCAAGTTACAACAGCCCTGAAAAAAGTGACTTAACCAATGTTCTCACAACTAATTGCAGCATCCCCAAGGTTATGTGATCAAAATTTGAACACTTGGTTGCAGTGTTCCAGGATCATGTGATCTCTGTTTGTGACCTTTCTAGCCAGGTTCCATCAAGCAGTCAGTGGGGGAAGCTGGGTTCAATTAACAACCGTGTGATTTGCTTAATTGGCAAAAAGGTCATAAACGCGGGTGCAATTCACTTAATAGTCACCTTGCTTAGCAACATAAATTCTGGTTCCCATTGTGGTTGCAAGTCAAGGACTACCTGTATATCACAGACAGACAGATGAATGAAACTTTGTCTTGTGACTGTAGGCATTTATCTTCCAGATTTGTAAGACACTTGGATTGGGAGATGAGACTAGAAAATATCACTTTTCTCATCTAAAGTAGCTTAACTAAACTAAAACACGGCTCTAGTCAGTACTTTGTATTTCACCAGAGCTGTTTCATGATAATCTAATCCTAGATTATCCAAGGAAAAAAATGCAGTCTTTCAAGAAAGCAAAAATGTTGGTAAACTGCATCTTGTGATTATCTACCACGTAATGTGCTGTATCTGTTACTAATTTTATCTCCCCAAAAAGCAAACGTTATTTAGGAACCAAAGCCTAAACAACTTCTGAGTTCCCATTTGTATTTAAGGGTAATGCTAATTTTAGGATATCCAAACCTGTACCGCAGGAATCTGGATGACTAATAGATGGCAGCAGAGCACTTTCCTGTCACTTAGTGGTCATCTGGATTTTGCAATCGGATCCCTTAGTATTAGGTGATATTAAAGGATGTGGTTAACTCTGAAATATTTAATTCCTTTTCAAGCTCAAATTTATTTTTGTAGAGGCTTTTGTGGGAGGCATACGAAATAACTACAGCTAACATTTTCTTGGGACTAAATGTCTAATCTTTCTTTGAAAGCTATCCTTGAAGGTCAATTTGTTACCAAAGGGTACTGAAAAGGAATAGAGCATCAACACTAGGACTGTGAACACTTAAAAACGATTTGGAAGAAGTGCTTTGGATCTCCTCTCTTTCCTGGATTCTGTGTGATCGTGACAAGAGTTGGATTAACTTTTATGAACTGACTGGTTAAAGTACCGTATTTTTTGGAGTATAAGACGTACCTTAATTTTTGGGGAGGAAAAAAATTCTGCCTATTAGGTATTCATCTGGCTAGCATCCTTAATCTGGTCAGCTTCAGCACATTAGTTTGCTGGAAAGAAACACCCTCGACTCCATTTGGTCAAAGTGATAGGTTCTTTTACTATAAGGATTAATGGTTGCAAACAAAGCGAGGCTAGAATTACTTTCCTGTGTGAAGCGTTACGAATTTTCCCCTGCTCTCTGGCCCTCCCCCCCCCTTGATCAGTCCATCTTTATCCAATGAGCTTTGGAATAGGTGTTTTGGGAACGACTCAGTTGTTTGCTGCAATTTGTCTTCCTTTCCCAGGCTCCATGGCCTTGAAGACTGGAACAGGCTGGCTTCCATCATGCTTGTCACTGGGCCCTTTGCCCATCTCTACCTACTACATGCCAATTGCCTATTTCCTCTTCCCCATCCCTTGCAATTCATGACAGGATGCTAGCAAAGTTGAAAATGGCAAATCTTGACTGCTAGTATCTTGGATGGATGGATGAAAGCAAGATGAGGGAGTACGGAAAAATGACTGGGCCATTCTGAGGCCTAAACAAGGATGAGACTGTAGCTGGTTACTTTGTTTAGAAAAAGTCTGTTTTCAGTAAGTGGTTTAAGAATATTCATGTATGTGTGTGGCAAAAGAATAAATTTGTTTCTAAAGACACATTGATTTGATTGTATATGTGGCTGAGAGAATTGGTGAAAGTTGCAAGAGTGATGAGAAGTTCTGAATGTGAAACCATGTTTAGGTTTTATCAAGAATCAATCTTGGCAAGAAAATGAAGGAAAAGAAATGACAGTAACAGAAACTGCAAAAAAGAGAAACAATGAGTCCTGTATGGAAATGTATTAAATTACATGTTATCTGTCCAACAAAATGAATGAAAAATTGACAGAGATAGATATTGCTTAATGTGTACACAGAGAAAAAGATAACTGTAAGCAATTTCAAGTTAAGATTAAAAGAAGCAAAGAATATGCAAAAGCAATTATTGGAAATTAAAACTTGTTTTGGAAGTGGGTAAAGAGCTGAAATGAAGACAGGTTAAGGGTATTTTAAAGATCTGCATTAGAATGATAGTGATACAATGTGAGATCATTGTGAAATGGTAAGACAAAGTTAAGTCATGAATATAAAATGCTTATGAGGCTTGAAGCTGTATCTGCATGATTGTATGTGAACCATGTTTTCTGTCTGCAATAATACTGTTCTCCCACACATAGGGAAATGTAGCTGAACACATGACTGAATGGAAAAATTGGAGCAGCAAGTGTGCCTGGGAATGTGTCAGGTACAATTATGATAAAAAAGATGTGAGAAATAACAGTAAATGTATATGTATCATCTAAAAACTCTGAAAGGCTGATTATAATATTGATATTACTAATTATTTCCAGATTTATTCTAAAGTTCAGGGTAATCTACATAGGTATCCCCTCATTTCACTCCTATAATAAACTTGAGAAGCACGTGTACTGAAATTGACTGGGCCAGGAAGGAAAGCAAGCATTGCAGTCAAATGAATACTTAAATCTTAGTTAAAGCTTCCTGAATTTGTTCAAAGATGCTCCTTCAGGCATTTTTTTGTATTTTTTTAGCATGTATGCTACTTTCCAGGGTTAAATATTAACCCTGATATTTAACATTCCAAAGAGATACCATAAACAAATTGCCGCTATTGTTTGAGCCGTTTTATTTTGCTCATTTTTAGAGAATGAACTGCTTCAAATAGCACTGAAAAGATTGAAGTTATTTGCATAAAGTATATTAATATCCACAAATTTTCAATTGCACTTTATTTCCTCTGCCAAATAGCTGCTGGAACTTCATTACTCTCACACTGTATGCTAGCTTTTTAAAAACTATAGGGAAATGTTGCTCATGCTCTAGTTTTATTGATCCATCACTTTTAAGACTGGATCTCAAATTAATTTTAAGAGGAGAATCATTTCACAGTATCTCCCCCCACCCCACCCCGCCCCTGATCTTCACAACAGAGAAAACTTTTTATGGAGCCATTTGTGGTTTTATGACATTCATTAACTGTTAATAATAAATTTTAAGAACTTGGTCATCTCTGTGATTATTTTGTAATTCTCTAAGTTACCATATTTTTCGCACTATAAGATGCACTCCCCACCCCCAAGTGGGTGAAAATGACTGTGTGTCTTAGAGTGAATATTGCGGTGGGGGGGGAAAGGGGGGGTTGGTTCTCTGCTGGGGAACGCTGGAGCCTTTGCTGTAGAGCAGCTGATTTGGCGGTTGGATCGGCCTGCCAGAATACCGCTAATCAGCTGTTCTAGGCGGTGGGGATTGCCTCCTCCTCCAAATTGCAATCAGTGGAGGTGGTAAATGGTGGCAGGTGGCAATCCCCGCCACCTAGAACAGCTGATCAGGGATATTCCGGAAGACCGATCCAACTGCCAATCAGCTGCTCGGCAGCAAAGGTCCAGTATTCCCCAGTGGTGGCAGCAGATTTTTTTCTCATTTTACTCCTCTAAAGATAATGTGCATCTTATAGTCCGGAGCATCTTATAGTGCAAAAAATACGGTATATGGTTCATAATTACTGCATCCACAGTCACTATTAAAAATCTTTCTCAACTATATGAACTTCATGTTTAGATTATTGTACAGTTATTCATTCTTAGCTCTTTAGATAAGCCAAAGATATTCCAACCAATTTAAGGTGTGTGTGTTTGTACAGTATGTGGGGCAAATACCTCTTTCTGCGAACATTGTCTTTGCCAAAAGAAGAGACCATTCTGCCCTCTTTGGTATACATCATACATTTATTAGTGAATATCCCTCTCAAAATCAGCCACAACATTAAAAAAAATAATGATTGCACTACTTGGTCAAGCAGAACTAGCAACTTTCATTTTAAAAAAAGTACAAATCTGTTAAAAATTTCAATCAGTATAATACACATATATAATACAACATACTAGTTATGTTAAATGCTACAAACCAATATGATTCCAATGGAATGGAATAAAACAAAACAAAACACTTTAGAGATTTAAGATATTTTTTTTTCTTCTCTATATATTAGCCTTTTTTTTCCAAATACATACATGGGAAAAATGAGGTAACTGTAAATGTGCAAGTAACAGAGCAAAAAAAATTATATATATATATTTATAATATATATATAATATATATATATATATATAAACTTTCTAACACAGAACAAATGCCCTGGTGCCCTACAGGGAGGCCCCTCTCCTTGTAGGGTGAAGCTGAGCTATCCTTCTGGAGGGCACGGGACTGGTATAAAAGAACAGTAAACAGCCCACTATCCCACCACAGGAAATCATTGGTAAACAGTGGCATCTACAGCGCAATCAGCAATCACAAACATCCTAAATAAATGTTTTAGTAATATTTTTTTTGTTTTTTTCATGATAACTTTTAGCTGCTCCTTGGAATAAATTCTGCAGCACACGAGCTGTGAGCTTTCGAGTCACCGTCAGAAGAACCGTAAGGCTTTCCTTCCCTCCCCACCCCCAAATAACCTTTCTGAAAAGATGGCGGGGGAAGGAGAAGAGACACTGAAACAGATGGGCATCGGCACTATTCTGATTGGCTATAAATATAGAAACACCTCCCGTGTTTGTTTGTTTTTTTTAAACTTTTTAATATATACAGTAAAGACCTTTGGTTATTTGTTATCACATGGAATAGGGGGTTGGTTCCCTCTCTCTCCCTTCAAAAGCTGTGAAACAAGGGGAAAGGCTGGGGGAAGAGGTGGGTCTGACACAAGGCACTGGCTTGACATGGCAGGAGAGAGGGAGCGTGACACATTGCGGGAGGACTGGGAAGGAAAAGCTGCTGGTGTCTGTGCAGTTGGAGAGGATGGCAAGCGGCCCGTTCCTTGGTATCTGCCTGTGCCCGGGCCAAGACCTGGCTTAGATGTCCCACTGCAGCTAGTCTCCCCCTCTGAAAAGGAGGAGGGGAAAGAGGAAATTCTTTATTGGGGGGTATCCAAGAGCGGATGCATCATAAACCTGCACCCCCCCCCCAAACGTAACTGGGGTGAGCAGAGCCAGAGGAGAGAGATATTTCTAAAAAGTAGCACTGATCTTCATCTTAACAAATGGAAACAATTGATTATTATTCAAGAAAAAAAACCCTGGGACCTGCCCAGAGCTTCTCATTCACTGATTGATATGCAAGCCAGCTGCTACTTTCAAATCAAGGGCTTTCCAGTCCATCCATCCTGCTTTGTTGTGTCTTTGCAGGAACTAAGGATCTTTACAGCAGCCCTTGATTTACGACCATAATTGGGACAAACTTCCGTTGCTAAGCAATGAGGTCACTGAGTCACACCCGCTTTTATGACCTTTTTTGCCATTGTCATTAAGTGAATCTGGCTTTCTCCATTGATTTTGCTTGTCGGAAGCCCGCTGGGAAGGTTGCAAGTGACCCCAGGAACACTGCAACCATCGTAAATACATGCTGATTGCTGAGCATACAAATCGTGCTTAATGATGCTGGGGTACCACAACAGTCACTGAGCATGAGGGCCTGTCATAAAGCCCCATTTTTTTTCAGCTTTGTCGTAATTTCAAACAGTCATCAAACGAATGGTTGCAAGTCAGGGACAAACTGTATTATTATATTATAACAACTGTATTATCCTTCTCATTTTCCTCCTCCTCGGACCCTGAGGATCGCCTCTCCTCAGCTGGGTGAAGAGTCTCAACTGCTGGGGAAGAAACTGGTCGCCTCACCAGACATGGCTGGGATGAGTGGCAAAAGGCCAACTGGCCACAGCCACATCCCAAAGTTTTTCTCCTACTTTTAGAGGTAAATATATTGCTGAGAGCTGGCATGTTCAGAAAAAAATGTCAACTACATGGCACCAGAGCCACGCCCCCTCCAGCCACTATCCATCTTCACAGGAAAAAGTGGACACAGAAGCTGCTCTTCTCATTACTAGCCCTTCTCACTTCTTGGCTTATTGAGCCCTCAGACTTGTGGGATATTTTGCTGTCTGATCTATTTGTCACTGTTCCCTTGCATCCACGTGGCCCTAAGTAGAGCCCTGCTTAGCTGTTCCATAAATTCATCAGGCCCTCTTACCAAGAACAGTTGGATGCCAGCGCACAAAGAAAATGCAGAAAGGCTCAGGGCTTTGTTTCCTGGCCTTGGCCTTAGGCTCCCTTGCAGTCCCTGTTCCTATCTGTTGCCCCCACTTTGAAGGGAAAGAGTCGAGATCTAACCATTAATCTGGGTCTACCATTTGGAGGAGTATCACTGAGGGAGGGCAGAAGATCCTATCCAACTGAAAGATAGCACAAATACACTACTGCGGATAGGCAGAGACCGATTACGACACTGCTAAACTTACCCTGGAGCATTACTAGTTGACGCAGGACAAGATAAACCAGGCAAGGAAGGGAGGAAGGAAGGGAGAAGGAGTGGTCAGCAGGTCCCTTTTCTCCTACTTCTGCAGCACCATGAAGGAGAAAGTGACCCTGCCAGAGTCCTCCTTCCAAGGCAGCTATTAACGCAGAAGAGATCTGCCCCTAAGCCTTGCAACTCTACCTCAAACTAAGTCCACTAAAACTGTTTGTGTACATATGTACGTGCATCTTTAAGTTAGTGTGGACTCCTGACGAATGGCTGGACCAGGACCTCTATTTTTCTTGGTAAGATTTCAGAAGTTGTTTGCCATTGCCCCCTTCCTTGGGCTGAGGAGTATGACTGGCCCAAGACCACCAACCTGGCTTTGTATATCCTGTAAAGCAGGACCAGAACTCACGGTCTCCCAGTTTCTAGCCAGATGCCTTAACCACTACACCAAACTGGCTCTCTACTAAAACTATGCTGCCTCCTAACCCAACCTGGTTTCAAACCAATCTCTAATTTGGAGGGGGAGGGAGGGGAGAGAAATGCCCTGAAAAGCGTTAACGGTCCTTGTGAGGCGTTGCGGACATGTGCAGTACAGTGCATGGCAGTAATCAGCTGAGCACAAAGAACCCCCTCATTCCCACCCACCCCATCACCCCACAGCTGGCTAGAGAGATAGCCAATACCAAGTTCCAAGCTGGTCATAACATGCATGCATAATTTGTGAACATTTACATTAGATTTTTATCATCTTCTCTGATTCTTCCAGGCTTCAGACACAAACCAACTAAACGGCGAGGGCTTCTCTCTTATTCCATGGTATAATCATGCAAAACAATTTTTAAATTTATTACTTTTACGATAACAGGTTTCTGTAACAGGGTGGCAGGTTGGTTGCTTTCTTGCTTCAAATCAGCAGGTATTTTAGGTAGGCGAGTGTGTGTGTGTGTATGTGTGTGTGCAGACACAAGAAGGCACACAGCTTGAGTGTCATGGTCAAATTGGCCATAGTTCCTGACTGAGCGCACAAGCATCAGGCCATACAGAAAAGCTCATCAGGATGAGCATCAGTAGGCCAAATGTGAAGAGGAAGAAGGGGGGAGGGCGTTGCTGAAGGGAAGAGATTGAGGCAGTCTGCCGGGGATACTCAAAAACTGGATGGAGGAGAGGTGCTTTCTGGAGATGGGTGCCGAGAAGGAATAGCAACCCAAATGTATCACTAGGACAATTATCTGGGGTCTGAAGTGTGCAAAAGGAAAATAAAAGGAAGACACATCAATTATTACATGATTCTGTATCTCAAAACACAAGCCACAAGCCTTCATTTCATTAAGTATGTAATAAACAGAGCCGGCTGTTTTATTGTAGGGATTTTCACTTGCATACTCCTCCTCTCTTTCGAGCTTTCTGGGGGGAAATGGGTCTTTCCCCCAAAACTGCCTTGCAGCAGAATATTGCTGGACTTAAGTTTAGGCCCATTTTTCTTTACCTCACTGTGCAACTTGTGAGAACAACCCTGAACTCCACCCAACATTGCAAGCATGCAAGGGGAGGGAGAGTCTGAGACGCTGGTGGGACTATTCTGTGCATGTGTAGGGAAAAACACAGGGTGGTCCTGGGCCAGTGGGCCAAGATTAGCGTGGAGACAGCCACAGATGTTTTTTTTGGCAAGGCCTCAAGTGGCTTACACCAGTGTTGCAACCAACATACTCCCCCACTACTATCTTGCAACACTGTACTCTAGGCAAGCAGGTGGTGGGGTTGAAGCAGGCACTTCTTCCCCTCTCCCTTGGAGCTGTTCTGCTTTCAAGGCCCCCAAATCTGGCTCTGCCAGAAAGGAATGAATTCGGATAAAAATCTAGGTCAGACAGCCACAAAACCAAATAGGAAAGGAAAACCCCAAACCAAGAAGGAATGCAAACACCTGGAAAACAATGGTGCAAGGATGGCGAGTCTTTGGAGTGCAGAGCACGTGGGGATGCCTCCCCCTACAAAGCATGACACCGCAGAGCTGGCTCAACCACCAGGCCCAGTCCATGCCATGGGGTGAGGGGGAGGGGGTGTCATACATTGCTTATATTCTCACCGCATCCCAGGAGAGGCCCCAGAGGCTAAGCATACAGGCTGGCCCATGCCTCTGGTCCAAGGTCCGTATCCTGGAGTAAATTTGTGCAGCAGTGCATTGATGAACCTCATTCGGCCTCCCGATGCACTTCTGAAGCATCTGCTCGGCAGATGGGGCATGTGCGGTTTGCCTGCAACGATCAATGAAAGCATGACTTCGGATATGGCCTTTTGGCCAACCTCACCGACTGGAAAATTTCCAGCAATTCCACTAAAAGGAGTTCTCTGCTTTGAGGGCTGCCTGTTTCAGAATTACTAAATTGAAATGTAATCACATCCCTTTCTGAAGGGAAAGTCACAAAGCCCAAACAATTCAATAAGGAACCCAAGAGCATTTATCAGAATAGTCAATCAGCAATGAATGAATTGAATGAATTCAATTAATTCATCGAATTGGTACTGAATTATGTATTGTATGTATAATCGTTGACCTTAATTGGGATTGGAATTTCTGTTGCTAAGCAAAGTAGTTGTGAAACATCATGTGACTGCGCCAATTAGCAGCGGCAGTTCCAATATTTCTAGTTGCGGTCATGAGATGAGGATTGTACTTTTATTAGGCAAGGACCTCATGCTTCTCCTACTCGTGATGGTGAACCTTGTAGACACTGAGTGCCCAAACTGCACATGCGCGCATGCCCAAACTGAAAGGTGTGTATGCGTGAATGTGCACTGACATGTGCACGTGCGCAGAACAGACCTGAAGACCAGCTGGCTGGTGGGAGGCGGGGCATCCCAACATGTGCAGCGCCGCAAGAGGTAAGATCTTTTTCTTTTGTGAGCTTCTGTTTCATCGTTTGCAGGGAAACAGAAGCTCACAGAAGAAACGCCACAGAAATCTGACCTGGGGCGATGGCGCGCGTGCCAGCAGAGGGCTCTGTGTGCCACCTCTGGCACGTGTGCCATAGGTTCTCCATCACTATCCTACTTCCACAGACTTCCTGACCTGCTGTGTCTTCCCTGGCTGTGCCTGGCAAATTCCCTTTGGCAGATGATGCTCTCTTGCCATACCATACTTGCCTCCCCTTCAACTCTCCCCACCCACCTGTATCTCTCTCCCATCTTTGCCCTTCTGGTAATCCTGCAAAAGCGCAAGGCCTCACCAGGAGTCAGAAGCTGCACTGCCATTGGTTAGGTGCACCTCACAGCAGCAGGAGGGAGGTGAAAGCACAGTTCAGTTGCAGAGGGAGGTCGCAATGGCAGCATGCAAGGCAGTCGAAGGGCAGAGATGGAGGAGAAGATAGGCAGGTGGAGCGAATGCTGCGATCATAAATACGAGTAGACTGCCAAACACCCAAATTTTGATATGATCATGGGGTCCACTGCAACAGCGGTAACCAGTTAGGAACTGTCCAATTTAAGTTGTTAAATTATTGCATTTGGAGCAATCTGTATAATTTTTTAGTCACTCTATGAAAGGGAATCCCGGAGGAGAAAAATGAGAATGAGAGCAAGAAAGGTGAAAGGATTTGGAGTTTTTATTAGTGAAGGAAAAATGACAATGAAAGGTGAACTCTACAGATATGTAAGGAGTCACATATGCTGTGAAAGCAGCTGATGAATATTTCTCCTTTTCACATAATCCTAGAAGTCAAGGTCATGTAATGAAGCTAGCAGCATAATTAGGTTCCCTCAGAAGAAAATAGTCTTGTCAAATAATGTGCAATGGGGCTGCGCAAAGCCTTGAAAAGAGGTGTGCTTTGCAACACATTGGAATGAGAATGAATTACTTGCCCTGGAACAGTTAAAGGCTCCCCTAAGTGCTTTAAAAGCTATCCCCACCTATCTCCTCTTTGCTCAGATACCAAATTAGCATTATTGCAGAGTTCTTCTGTTGCTTGTATTGATATGCCTGTGTACTTTTATTGGCAACAATATCAAAGAGATTACAGTCTTCATTCTGGACAGATTTTCATGTTGCCCACCTAAATAGTAGTCTGTCCAATCAAGCTTTGCTCCCACCCACTCACCTTTGGAGACCAGTAAATATTAGCTGAGACTGCTAATATAACAATGTCTTATACATTGCAAATAATCAGTTGCTTAGGTAATATTCACATTCTAGAAAGTGGAAGTAGCTGGATTCATGGAACCACTACCCTAGACCCCACTGTCAGAAAAATGACATCTATGTCAATGGTATCTATGTTGTGAAACCAGGGAAGCCTTTGCCTTTACAGTCACTTTAGAAACCAAGGGGGCCCACTAAAGAAGACAGATAGTACCCAAATAATTTTTATTGAACACTGATTAGAGAAGACTCAGTCAAACCAGCAAATTTTACCTTTAACCATTTGTCGATGCACTTAGCATGGAACTCGTGGTTGCAGGGCAGAACTCGCAGCAGCTGCCTGATTTCAAAGTCACTGAAGCACACCACACACCTGGGAAGGGTGAAAAATCCAACCAGTAAGAGAGCAGGAGAACATGGCATAGAGAGATACTTCACAGTAAAGCAGCTTCTTCGAGAACTTACAAGGTTTGCTCGGACTGATGGCTCTCTGGGTTAAAGCGGTAGGATGGAAGGTGCTCAATATCTGCTTTGGTGAGTCCCCGTGGCTTGGCCTCCCCTAATCTTTCAGCTAAATTCAGTAATGCCTGATAGAAAACAAAATAAGGAATACAAAGCAAGTGATTCCATTGCTGAGAATGCCCCCCTTAATCCTTTATAAACAATGCAGTCTATAACTTCAAGAAAAGGCGGAGAGACGAATCTTTCGCCGTCAAAACTTTGAAGAAATAAAAGACAGTGAATTGTCTTTTACTGAAGTTTAACACTCAGAAAGCATTAATCTTCCCTGACAACTCATTTTTATTCCACTTTAATTAGCTTTATCCTTTGCATCTTTGTTTGGCCTTCCTTTCCCACTTTTTAAAATGTCACCCTTGGTCCTCAATGCCATATAAACATTAAATGAGCCTTCCATCAGATTTGTATTCCTCTGCCATAAAAAAGGGCCCCACAAAAGAACAGAATCTGCTGCACAATTGCATTCTCCAACTACTGCCACTCCTGAAATATAATCTCAGCTGTCTTCTCTTAATGGTGGACTCTAGGGCAGAGCTGACAGACATGAAATTTTTTGGATCTACTAGTACAACTCAAGATCTACCAGCCAGAACTTGTTCCACACATACTCTCGCAACCAGCAGCAAGTACTAAAAGTCACAATGAAAAAAATCTGAGTACCAGAACAGATAGGAGCTCATAATTTTTCCACTCCTGGTGGAAAAGCATTTCATCCTTCCCAGTCTTTCAGGAGTTAATATCATTATCAATCTGTTGTAAAAAAAAACCCTCTCCACATCCAAAATTTTTCTGCCCAAGAGCCCTTTTCCAGTCTAACAATCAACACAAAGAAGCAAACCTACCTCATAGTTTTCCATCTCTACATCATCCACGTCCAAGTCCAAACTTATTGTGGGCCCCACAGCTGTTGGCGACACAGGAAGCATTGAACTGCAATTTTAAAGAAATAAGAGAGCAGTGAACAGATGGGGAAGTAACACGTGCACCCATGACACACCAAAATGGATGTTTTTATGGAGGATACTGCTGGGGAAAGATGGTGGCCCATACTCCCGGAGTGGCTATTAGAGAAAGCAGAGCTTTTAATTCTGCATGCTTTATTCCAATGAAGGGAAAATATTTGACTCAGGGTTCTCCTCACTGTTATCACAGATACTCACAGAAAGTATGGCAGGAAGCTTGGGTAATATGGCGGTGGCGGAGGTGGCGGCGGAGGCAGTGGTTGCTGTAATCTGTATCGCTGGGAATTCAGCCGCCGGGGCATCATATGTGGATATGGCTGTGGGAACATCACAAGCTTTGTCAATGCTGTCTAATCTGTAAACTCTTACATATTCCATGCCACGTGGAAAAAAAATTAACATATTCTAGCCAAGTAGAAGTTTGCACAAAGAAAAGCTGAGTACTTTAGCATGATCTGTTATGCAAATCAAAAAAGAACATATTCTGCTTTTTTCTTTACTATCATTTTTTTCCTGTTGTCCTAGTAACAGAGAACAGAAAGAAGTTATGCAAAGCGCTAGAAACCACATTCTCTGTCACTGGAATCTTAGTTGGCTACCTCTCTCACATCTAAAACATTACAGTATTATAAATCTACGCAATCTTAGGAAATGGCAAGCTACAAGGAGAGGGGCAAAAGATGACATGTGACCAGTCCTCAAAAGTTCTGGTCGCCACAGTATTCCCACAGCACAGACTCACTATTCATGACCTTTCCTGACGGCCTCTCACAGGAACAGTCAATGGAGAATTCAGTAAGGAAAATCACAAGTAGTTCTGGTAAATCCCAGCCACCTTCCTAAATTCGCACCCTGCATACCCTGGCCTTCCTGCACTTGCACCCAGATGCACCATCCATCCTCCAGGCTTTCTGTGTTCACACATGGTCTCCATCCGACTCCCTTCTCTCTCTGTAACATCCTCACAATCCTTACTCGCAACTCCCAGATTTCCACCTAATGACCCACAAGTCTTGGGGCAACCACGACTGCCATTATAGCTGGGACTGATACTGCTATGTAATGTAGTCATGTGAAAATTGTGCTACATTTCTGCAGGGATGGCAGTTCTGAATGTAGCCCAAGGACTACTTGTAAGAAAGGACACTGGCCCATCCACTGGGATGCCTATCATACACCCTCTTGAAGGGAACGAGTGTCTTTTCTTTTCCTTTTGTTTTTCCATTTTTGTCTTGAAGTATAACAGGATGGGAACATAAGACAGACCCAAGACAACATAGACACTTGGTTAACATAGGAACAAATGGGCTTTTATTGAATACAGAGCGTCCTCAACTTATGACCACAACTGAGCCCAAAATTTCTGTCATTGAGACATTTGAGTTTTATGACCCAGTTTTCTGACTTTCTTGCCACAGTTGTTAAGTGAAACACTGCAGTTGCTAAGTTAGTAACTCACGAATCTGACTTCCCCATGGACTTTGCTTGTCTGAATGTCGCAAAAGGGGATCACATAACCTTGGGACATAGCAACAGTCATAAATATGAACCAGCTGCCAAGCATCTGAATTTAGATCACATGATCCAGGGGATGCTGCAAAGATCTTAACTATGAAAAGTGGTCGTTAAGTCACATTTTTCAGCTGTTGTAACTTTTGAACGGTCACTAAACTGTTGTAAGTCGAGGACTACCTGTACCTAAGGTTTTCAATGGCTTCACCTATTTCTAAACTATAATCTCTATTGCATCAACTGACTTTCCTAGCCCTAACATTATTCCTCTCTGACAAGGGGAAGTACTCGCTAAGCCTGAGCCTCCCTTAGACCTGCCTATCCATCTGCATCTTCTAAACCAGGGGTCTCCAACCTTGGCAACTTTAAGACTTGTGGACTTCAACTCCCAGAATTCCTTAGCCACCAAAGCAAAGTCCACAAGCAAAGCTGGCTGAGGAATTCTGGGAGTTGAAGTCCACAAGTCTTAAAGTTGCCAAGGTTGGAGACCCTTGCTCTAAACCCCTCTCTAACTTTCCTTGCTTTTCTGAAATATAACTTGGCAGGAGGCACCCAGTTTCCGTCCTTCAACAGTCCAGCACCAAATCATCACACTGCTATAACCCCACCCCTCCAGAGTATGATGGCTCTTGGTGGCCAAACAAAAGGTTTTTTTAAAGATACCCTCTTCCACTTAGTTCAGAGGCCAGAGAGAACAGGTTTGTTTTTTTTTAACATGACACTTACCACTCCAAACGGCAGTTCTTGGTGAAGTGGGTCGTGTGTGTGTGGAAGATACAATGGTACAGAGGGAGACAAGGCAGGAGTATGATGGGAAGGAGAATACGAGAAGCCCCCCATTGAGTGCTGTTCACCCCGAAGCTCTACCTCGTTTTCTATCCTCTGAAGTGGCTGTGGGAAAAGGATATACACATTCTGCATTGGCAATTGCTTCCCAATATGTCTGAAGAGTGAGAACTGGAACCAAAAGATGGCTAACTCTTGCGTGCCATCAATAAGATAATTTACCATGCACTGCACCTCCACAAGTTTAATTTGTTTAAGTAATATATAGAATCAGGGGAGGAGCCATTTAAGCCACTGAATCTAACTCTTTACTCGGGAAGCTTTTTCTAACATTCAAGTGGAATGGATTTTTCTTGTAATGTACCATATTTTTCGGAGTATAAAACGCACCGGACTATAAGACGCACCTACCTTTTCTGGTGAAGAAAAGAAGAAAAAGAAATCTGCCTCTGCCTCTGAGCAATTTTGCCTCGTTGCAGCAAACAGCCTGCTTTACTTTCATTTTTGCATAGCTTGATTAGCACAAGGAAAAAAAAATTTGCTGCAGCAATTTACCTCCTTGAAGTGAGCAGCAGGGCGCAAAACAGCTGAGAGCAAATCAGTCGGGAGGCCGATCCAATCAACTTGTGCTAATTAGGCTGTGCTGAAGCTGAAAGGAGCTGTTTTTTCTTGCTGTTTGCTACAAGGAGGTAACTGCTGGGAAGCAGAGGCCAAAGGGTGGGGGCCAGTGGGTGGGCAGGACTACATTTGGTGTATAAGACACACCTAAATTTTCACCCCCCTTTAAGGGGGAAAAAGGTGCATTTTATACTCCAAAAAATACAGTAAGTCTATTATTCCATGTGGTGTACTCTGGAATGAGAGGGAACAGGTCTTGGACCCCACTACCCCGGTTCCTCCTACTCCCCCTTGCTCAACTAAGTTTTATCCAGTGGTCAAAAGGAAAGAGCTAAAAACAGCTGATTTTTTTGTGTGCTCTCCTCTATTATCTGTAGAAAAAAAGCTATCAACAAAGTAAGTCATATTTCCTGGGAGGACCAACCCGCATCTTCTCGTGTTCTTTAGGGATTAGCCACTGTATTCCACAGGACTTGCTTTCTTCTCTGAAGGCTCACAGCTTCTTTCTGCACTAAGATCTGAAAGCCGCTTCTGAGTTGCAGGATGAAAAACATCTTCTAAATCTGCTTTTTACTTTTGGCTGACTCCTTTGATTATCATCTTCCTTAGGGAAGGTGGTTTATTCTGTGAGCTACTGGTGTCTTTTTCATCTTTCTCATTAACCAAACTATGGCTACTCACTGCTCCAATCATCTGACATTTTCTTCAAGCCTTGCTCCAAGTTCTTTTCTTTTCTTTTCTTTTTTCTTTCTTTCTTTCTTTCTTTCTTTCTTTCTTTCTTTCTTTCTTTCTTTCTTTCTTTCTTTCTCTTTCTTTCTTTTCTTTCTTTCTTTCTTCCTCTCTTTCCTTCCTTCCTTCTCTTTCTTCTCTCTCTCTCCCTCCCTCCCTCTTTTTTCTCTTTCCCCTCCCTCTATATTTATATGGCCACCCAATTTACCAGATGGATTCTGGGCAATTTACAATTCAAAGGAATTAATTATTAGATAGACTATAATATGAAATAAAATAATACACTGGAACATAAAATAATAGGAGACGGTATCAATAACAACAGAAGAAAGAACCTAAGGAGCACATATCTTATTCAATAGTCTGACAATATACATAGGCTGAACCTATGTCTGGCCCAACGTTTAGGAGAAGAGCCAGGCTTTTAGGGTCTTGTGATAGTACATAAAGGCTGAGGCCATCTAAGCCTCAGGGGAAATGATGTTCCAGAAGTGCAAAAAACACAGACATATCCCTGGACCCCAGGAGCGACACTATTTTGTGGAAGGGAACCAAAACATTTCCACTTTGCTGGATCGCACAGGATAAGCAGAGACAATTGGAGCCAGGCAGTTCCCCAAGTAACCCGGCTTTGTGCCACAAAGAGCTTTACAGATAACAACACTTTGAATTGCATCAAGAAGCCTTTAGGGCAGGAGTCAGCAACGTGCGGCTCCAGAGCCACATGCGGCTCTTTGGGCCCTCTGCTGTGGCTCCCTGTCAGGTGATCCCACCACTGGCTGGCCCCGCCCCTCACCCTCCCCTCCCAGTCATTCCTTGCCTGGCCTTAGAAGGTAAGGGCAATGGCGGGAGAAGCGGCCAGGGCAGAGATAGAGATATAGAGAGAGGGGGAGAGAGGGAATCATAAGAGAGATACAGAGAGAGGGGGAGAGAGGGAATCATAGAGAGATACGGGGGGGGGGGGGGGGAGGGGGGGGAAGAGGGAAAAGGTCAAAAGGATTTGGTGGTTCCCGTTTTTTTTAAACAACGGGTTCTCGGACCTAGAGAGGGGGGGGGGGGGGGGGGGGGGGGGGGGGTGTCATGTGACTGGTGGAAGTGAATGACATCGAGTTGGCCACGCCCACCCAGGTTTTGTGGCTCCCTGTGTATTCTTTTCTCTGGGAAAACGGGCCAAATGGGTTTTTGAGTATTTAAGGTTGCAGACCCCTGCTTTAGGGAGTCAGTGTAACTTGCAAAGCATGGTGTGGTGTGAGCACACTAAGGTGTTTCCAGAATTATTTATGCTTCTCCTTCTGCATTCGGAACCAATTTCGACTGTTGGTTTTCGAGAGTAGCTCCAGGTACTGCAGTCCTTTAGACAGGAAATGACTATGGCATGAGAGACCATGTGCAAGCTTCTTCTTCTATGCTACAAAGTACTTTCTTTGATTCCAAGATTTTAGGAAATCAGTAGATGCTATGATTGTACAAGTTTTTGCACAATACTAGATGCAGGTGTGGGGAAATAAGAGCACTGATACTTCTTCCTTCTGATCCAATTTATGCCATCTCAAGAAACTTACCATGCGAGGATGCTGTGGCTGGAGTGGGACAAACTGGCCGAGGGCTGTCATATGTGGAGGCTGGTGTGGTGGCACAGGTGGTGGAGGATGCAGGATATAATGATCACTGGAAATGAGTGGTGGGAATGTTTGATAAGAGACATGGAGTTGCTGCATGGCACAGGCCTGGATCAGCTGTAAGACGAAAACAGAAAGACAGCATCCTCAAAAGAAAGCTACCTTCAGTACATTTAGGATCAACATGTCTACTTGAAAAATAATTGACCTCAGGCTGGCAATAAAAAGGTAAGAATCCATTTGGCAGCAAAATGCCATCTCCAAAGACTAGCAAGGGCCTAAAGCCCTTTAAATGGAAACCAAGTTATTTATTCTCTTCAACAGAAGAGTATATACATAACTCAGAGTTGAACTGTCGACTCCTTGATACTCTTTGAGTTTGGTTGCTTGCTTGCAGATGTTTCATTACAAAACTAGGTATCACCATCAATACGAGCATAGTATTTCCTCCTTGTTCATATATAGTAGCTTGCCTTGCCAGCTTGACAGGGGTGCTGTTTTCTTTTTGGTAGTTTTTTGTTCTGTGCTTATTTCTCCGACATTAGTCCCTGCTTACCTGGGTGCTGAAAATGTATGTCCTGGTCTTTTGGGTTCCTTCTTAGCTTTTTTACAGGTAGTCCCTGACTTACAACCAACCTTTTAACAACAGTGTAGAATCATAATACCCTTGGTGGTTCATGACAGTTGCAAAATATTGCACCAACCCCGCCCCCCAAAAAACATACAGTCATATGATCACAATCCGGCTGCTTGGCAACCTGTTCATACTTACAATTGCCAAGCACCTCACAATCATATGACCACCATTTGCAATCATTTCTGCTGGCTTCCCCAGAAAGTCAATGGGGAATCCAGCGGGAAGATTGCAAGCTGCTGCTGCTACTTCCTGCCACAATGACTTCCTCTTCTCTAAGAGCTGCCTGCCAAAGGATTTACACTGTATGCTATATATGCCTCTTGATTTTTCTTCTTTTGGGTTTACTTAAGATTTTGGTTACTTAAAATGGCTTTATTTGGTTTCTTTAGTTAGTTTAACTGGATCACAGGATAAGCATAGAAAATTGAGAACATATATCCTCAAAATCCAGCTCTATCCATTAAGATCATGACCAACAGTTTGCATCCAGAAGCCAGTGCAGCTCACAAAGTAATGATGAAGTTATGGTATATCATGGTGGTACCAAGGAATGTCCATAACTACCTGCAGTGCCAATTTCTAGACTTACTTCTATGTGCTCTTCAAGGGTCCTATGTAAAGTGTTTTGCAATTATCCAATGGGAAGTAACTAAGACCCAACTGACTGAGCAGAATCTCACATTCCAGGAACAGGCACAATTGATGCACAAGATGAATTTGAGCCAAACCTCTCCTGGCAATGGCTATCACCCCGTCACCTTTTCACAATGTTCCTCCCAAAGGAGGAGGGGGGGAGTTGGAAACTCAACATGAATTATTCAGTATTACTGGGTAGACTAATGGTTCTTGAGTACCTGGGGTGGGAGAACCACTGCTTCCTTAAATACAAACAAGACCATCCCCTTTATTCAAAGATGAGTTAATCACCATCTCCTGGATAACCATAACCAAACAAAAGTACAAGGATATAACATCAAGGTGACAGAGTTTACAATTCCAAGAACTCTGTACAATTCTTCAGGATCACCAGGTTCAAAGTTTTCCCAGGTAGCACATGAATATGCCTCAGTCAAATCCAGAGGACCTTCATAACCAAAGTTTAGCTTGGAAACTTAATCTGTCAGATGCCTTCATTATCCCCATAGTGGCCTGCCTCCTAGGATGGTCTGAATCATGATGAACAGGGTCGGGAACTATTTATCTATAGATGTACTAAGAGCAGAAAAATAATTACATTTCGCTGCTCCTATTGTCACAAGGTAATCCTTCATAAAATCTCTTATCCATGTTCTGTCAGATACATCCTGTTTTTATTTTTTCAGTAGTGCTCTGGGTACCTGTTCTGTCATTCCATCTCCTGCAACTCCTTTGAAAAACCAGAGGGCACCACAGGATCTGCAAGCAGTGAGGGGATGTATAGATGCAACCCAATCTATGGTCATCATTGCACTCTTATTCAAAGCAATGATCCAGACTGTCTGTGCATCCTAGAGCCTCAGGAGCAACCCCAAACTCCCTCCGCAGCAGGAAACAGCCATAAAAAACTCCAAAGCAACCAGATTGTGATTAGACTATGGCAGGGATCTGATTTGACCATCTGGATCATATTGCCAGTGTCCCAAGATGAATCAAGCATGTGACTTCTTCTGCAAGTCAGACCCTTAATTATTTGGGTAAAGTTCATAGCTGTCATGACCCCCCACACGTACAAAAAAGTATTGGTAATTCATGCCAGGTCATTCTCTCATCCATAATTAATTCCTGCTCTTTTTAAGCCAAAGGACTCACAGGGGGTGGGAGGCAGCAGAGTGGATAGTGCTGTCCACTGAACATCACTGAGCATGCTGGGAGCTGCTGCGCACTGCAGCCAGGTATGTGCTGGCTAGTGTGAATGGGGAAGCCTTGTGTTGTTACTGTGGTCACCGTATAGGAGAGAGGGACAGCTCCCTGATGCACCTGGAAGGGAAGGGGAGATAAAGAATAATCAAATCACATCCAAAGTATTTTATATTTTCCCACTAATCTTTTTAATATATGATGGTGTAGATTTGACATTAAGCAATAATAAAAAAGGAAGTGCTAGTCAGATGCAAACCATAAAAGGAAGTGATTTCAAACCAGCACAAACACCAAAGAATAAAGATGAAGCATTAGGGATAACAAATCAAAGGCATATAAACCTGGTGATAAAAGTTTGAGATAGCCACAACATAGAATCATAAACAATTCAAGTTGCGTGTTCATGACCCAAAAATTGAAACAGTAACAGAAAAAATTCTCCTGAAAAATATTCTCTTCCCAGATTGTCATGCATATATTGCTGAGTCTAAACCACCATCCCAGCTTTACCTAGTAATCAAGTAATCCAGTTTTTTCTGTATTTGTAAATTGTATATCCTCATTTTCACTGTTCCTTAACAAGCTAAAGTGTCCTAATAACAATCCATCTCCAGGATGCTTTGTTGCCTTTCCTGAAAGCAGTACTTTTTATCTTTATTTCATATACACGACTTAGATAGCCACGTATTCAGTTTCCTTTTATTATAGACAATGCCCATGAAAGCTTTATATTTCAGACACACTAGGCTCAAAAGCAAACAGCAGCACAACCTGGAATTATTCTCATTTTCTTGAAAACATTTTCCCCCTGATATTCCATTAGTCTAAAACGTTTTTATGATGGAGCTTTAACTGTATAGTCTAAAAAGTGTTAAATCTTTTCCTGTGTATTGTTGGAAGATGAACTCTTTGTCAAGCATACTACTGGCCTAGAGATTCAGGCTGCTAGAGAGTTTGATGTTGTTGGGAGTTAAATGTAGCTAAACGAACACATACAGCATACAAATTACATTCATAATCCAGTGTACAACAACTGTATGCTGCCAACTCGCTGAAAGATGATGCCAGCCAGCAAACAGACTAATCAGTATCAGTCAACACATTTCTGGTAACAGAAACATATTTGTGTGAAAGAAATTTAGTCTATAGAGTACTGGAGCAGAGATGAGAAGCACAAGGTTCTTCAAATGCGGTTGTTGGATTACAGCTGCCGTAATTATTGGCTACCATGGAAGTGTCTGATCACAGTCCAGAAATATCTGCAAACCAATGGATTCTTAAGAGACCTACCCTCTGCAGGGACTCTTTGATGCTGTCTTACCAAGCGGAGGACAAGCAAGATTTACAGGGCAGAAGCGTAAATGGAAAGTCAAAAGTCAAATGCTTGGGCCTGCCGGAAGTTTCAGAATTTCAGGAGCAGCTGTGTACATGTTGCCATAGGAACAACATTCCCACAATTATAGCAGTCACACTACTGCAGATTCACCGCTAAAAGAATACAGATTTTAAAGGGCCTGGATGGCTTTTCCCATAATGTCTAAGGTATTGATTGCACATTACACTGGTTATGATTTCACTACTCCCACTCTGGTCACTTCAGCTTTTATCAAATATATGCTGAATTCTGATGCATACTTTTAAAAAGTGTAAACAATGCCTTTATGCTGAAATTGATTTCAGGCATCACATTTTAAATCCCTACATTACATGAAACAATATAATAAAAATGAGAGGAACAAAACTATTTAATCACCCTTACACATATTGTTTTAAGATACCATCATATGATACCTGGCAAACATCCAAAGAATTATAAAATGTTTGTATATTCCTCTTTGTGCGAAGAAAAATTCAATCTCAAAAGCAGGATAAGTTTGACTTCACAATGGTCCTAATGGCCGATACAGAAACTTTCATTGCTTTTTGCATTCCATCACTAGCAGCAAAAAGGGGAAATTCTGTGAATGAAATGAGGAAAATGTACCTCAGGGTTTCAAGCAGAAGTGCTTCCCAACCAAAAGATGTGAATCTTTCAATTGAAGATATTAAAGAATCAGCTTAGAATTGTTACCCGTACAAAAGCATGCTCTTTCCTATGAAGTTATAAGTTCTCTCATCACCTGCAAGTAAAACAGCCAAGCAACTATACAGCATGTGCTGTACTTATGAGCAGTTTTATATTCCCCCACATGGTCTTGCATTGCCATTCTTTCAGTCAACAACTGGATCCTATAACTGCTATATCTTAAACAGATTTAAGGATGGTTCACACTATCAGTTATATAACCTTTCACAGGCAAAAGCTTTCAAAGGATGCTCAGTCTTGGTTACAGTACATCCAACTACACAATTTACCCTTTTCAGTATATAATAAGGGGAACTTCTTATGGTTTTACTATCCTTGGGCAATACAGACTCTTCCAAATGTAGGCTGGACAATATCCCAGCCATAAGTTTCTAAATGTATTTATGACACAACATCCACCTTACCTGGTCATGGAGATCCACCATGAATGGATGCTGGTGGGATGTGTGTGCCGCTGGGTGAAGCATTCGTGGTGGCGTGGTGGCCAGAACATACGCTGGGTGCTCATCTACAGAGACTTGTGGCTGTGGCTGCTGCTGCTGGAAAAAAGCCGGGTGCAAGTAGTTCTCATCCTGGGCTAGGAGAGTTTGTAGAGGTCGCTCACGTCGGCCCCAGTGGTGCCGGAAAGGAGGGCTGTGGTGCCAGTTGCGGGGAGAGAAATATAGAGGGGTGACCCTAGGGGCTGGCCACTTATCTGTGCTGGCCTCTTAGCTATGAATACACCAATTTTAATGTCAAGGATAGGTCAACATATTAATATTATGTGGGGTGGAGGCAGGTCTAGCTGCACATGGAGCAAATTAGGCCATAAGTGTAATTAGTGCATTCGAATACACTGACTCTGTAGCATAACTGCCAGGATTCTGCTATGTGTCATTCCTTCATTCTGCAGAGAAAAAATGCCAGGAGAAGAAATGCACAAAGCTCTGCAACCTCACTTGAGTTTCACGGAGAATCTTCTGGACATGATGAAATTCCAAGCAACTGGGCAAAACCATCTCATTATCTAGAAGCAGATATAGTCATAAAACACAAGCTTATGATGAATGGTTCATCCATGAAGTAAACATTTATTTCTAACCATTTCTGATATCTGTCCCACATCAATAGTAATGTGACTGTAACAACCTGTCCATAAGTTTATAAAAGATTTCTTGTGGAAGATCTATAAAGCTCACCAAGAAACTGAACAGGTTTTCTAGGCTATATTGGCTTTGTTATAGAAGGCAGTCACTGCAAGTGAGAGTTCCTAGTTGAACCGAGATTATTTCGAAACAACTGGAGAGAGGAAGATGTGGACCTGTTTAATACCGACATGTGGGATTGTGAAGAAATCTTGGAGCCACTGACTAGACTTGGGAAATCCAAAAATATCTCAGAAGTAGTAGTGAAAAGAGCACTTCCATGAAGTTGCAGAGAAGCTAATATGGACACTAAGTGATCAAGAATTGAGGCAAAATTTACATTTATTTTAATATGGAACTGAGTGCTGCTATTTTAAACCACATATGTATTCTTTAAAAACTAGAGGGGTCATCTGTAATCATGCAGCACAATCTCTGTGACATGTTTTAAGGAGGCACATCAAGCCTCTGAATCCCCTGAAGCCCATAGGAAGAATGCTGGTTTGCACTGATGATCAACATTAGTTAAAAGTTGAAGCACTGTACCTTCTCCTGAGGTGTGCTGGGCTGCCACAGCTCTCCCCTGGGAATTGTTGCTGGTCAAATGGGACAGGAGGCCACCTATTCACTGCCAGTTCCCATGGTCGCATTGGGGATGTTCACAAGGCAAAAGGTGATGCTGGATCTCACACTCCAAACGCAGTTCCACACTGGTTCTTTGGGATCTGCAAAAAGTGATGAAACAACTATTGAATACAAGCTCTGTAATAAAAAGAGTTTTAAGTTTTAAATCAGAACAACCTCTAGAAGAGTTATGCTGGAGGAACATCACTGGTAGGCTGCCAGCAACACAACTGCAAGAGGTGAAAAAATCTCCATGTATTCAGTCATAGACTAAGATTTTCTTCATATTACGTAGTCTCCATTTAAAAATTCTCCCTGAATAACTCACTCATAGTAATTTTGATTTGCTTGTTCATTTCTATGCCTTTTCTGTTTCCTATCTTTCATTCTCTTCTATCACTTGTAATTAAATCTAGTTGTTAATCCAATTTTATCTCTTCCTTTCTTTTAAGAAGCTCAGAGCACTCCAGCTCAATCCACAGGACTAACAAGACACATAACTTAAAAATATAAGACAGCAAATGGGCCAAGAAAACCTGTGGCTGAAAGAGTTTTAAACGTTGAATATCCAGATCCGACAAAGAAGTCATAGATCACATTTGACGATACAATGAAATTAGCAAAGAAAGTCATAAAAGTCTTGCAATGATAAACATAAACACGCCCATTATTAATTCCAACACCATCTGGATGAGGTATATATTAATAAGCTACAGCCAGAGTCTCATTTTAAAAATGTAAGCACATTCTAATGTCACTACCCATTAACTAGCTTTTAGGGAAAGTTGCTCTATGATACAGGAGGTACAAAACAGTAATATTATTTATTTATTTATTTAATTTATTTTTATTAAATTTATATGCCGCCTTTCTCCCGTAGGACTCGGGGCGGCGCACAGAATTAAAAACATATAACAATAAAAATCCTAAAAACAGCCAATATAAAACCCCAAACAGAATAAAATTATAGCCTGATCTTCTTTAAAAACCATTCAAATTAGAATTCAAACCATTTCAACTGCTTGCAGTGAATTCTATAGTTTAACCATGCACTGTGTAAAAAGAAACCCATTTAATTCTGTGACTCCTGAATTATCCTGCATTGATTCACTGGATGACCTCAAATTCTACAATGGTGATCAAAAGACTGAGACTGAGTTGCTACAGATTTTCTTGTATAGGAGACAGTCTTCATCTTAATAAGTAATCATGCGTAATAAATTATTTGCCTTTTTTGTGTCTTTTTACAACGTGTGATGATCAGAACCATACGCAATATTCCAACTGTAGACTCATTTAAGATTTGTGCAAGAACATTATTATATTGGCAGTTTTATTTTCAAATTAATGATTACAACCATAACATTTGACCTTTTTTAAAATGCGCCTGCATAGAGGACTGACAGTTACCTCAAACTGTTCCTCATGGCTCCGAAATCTCTTTCTGGCCAGTTACTACCTGTTCAGACCACCTTAAGGTATAGGTGAAACTTGGATCTTTTATGTCAGCAACCACCACTTTGCATTTGTTGATCCTGAAGCACATTTGATATTTTGAAGCCCATTCACACAATTAGAAGAAGCCTTTAGGAACTCTTCCCAATCACCTCTTTTTTGGTATCATAGGCAAAGCTGGCTAGTTCATAATTTAATACTCCTCTTGAGGTATTTTAGACAAAAGTTTAAAAAAAAACAAGTCCAAACATGAATCCCACTTTGCACATCTTGCCAGTATGAGAATTAGCTGTAATCTTATTTCCTTTTTTTGTAGCTAGTTGCCACTCTATGAGAACACCTATCCTCAGGGGTTTGGGTGAGATAATTTTTGTTCAACATTGGATTTTTGAAAATCCAAGTATGTAGTTATTATATAAAGGTGGTATGCTTTCTGATACTCACCAAAAAGGATAGAATATTCATAAGAAAACATCTTGGTAGAAGCCAAGACAATTTTCTGCAAGGCTATGTATTCGCCTATTTTTCTCTAGTATTTTCAACCATATCCAACAAATGAGATAATCTGGAGAGCCAATCTGGTGTAGCGGTTAAGACAGGGGTCAGCAACCTGTCTAGAGCCGCATGTGGCTCATTCACCCCTCTGCTGTGGCTCCCTGTCACTCAAAATATGCATCACAACTGCCAATGTGCGACACCCACAGGCACACGATTTATTGAGCTTTTCAACCCCTGGTAGGCCAACCATGGATAAAGAAAAGTTTCAGAAGAAAACAGAATGTTTAATTCAACTACATGTTAGTTTTGTGGCACGGGAAGGGTTTTGTGGCTCCTGGTGTTTTCTTTTCTGTGGGAAACGGGTCCAAATGGGTTCTTTGAGTGTTTAAGGTTGCAGACCTCTGGGTTAAGGCAACAGCCTAGAAATTGGGAGACTGTGAGTTCTAGTCCCACCTTACATACAAAGTCATCTGGGTGACCATGTGCACTCAGCCTTTCAGCCCTAAGTAGAAGGAAGAACAACCCACTCTGAAAATTCTTGCCAAAAACCCACAAGGACTTCTCCAGTCAATCACCGGGAGTCAAAGCTGACTTGAAGGCATACACATAGGGATTATAATCTAACTAGATCATAATAACCTTTATTGCTCCTAATTTTTTTTTTAAAACAAGGACACTTTACTAGGCCTGAACAACAGATAATGAAGCGAAAACAATTTGGTTCCAAGAACAGATGGTTACATTAAAGAAAATTTGGGGTTTTTTGAATGAAAAATCCAGCAGTTTCAATTTAAATTCCTTAAATGTATATATGTGATGAAGTGATGAAGCTTCAGTCATGAAGCTCCCACAACCTCTGAAGGCAAGCTGTTCCATTGGTTGATTGTTCTCACAGTCAGAAAATTTCTCCTTATTTCTAGGTTGAATCTCTCCTTGATCAGTTTCCATCCATTATTCCTTGTCTGACCTTCACATGCTTTGGAAAATAGGTTGACTCCTTCCTCTCTGTGGCAGGCCCTCAAGTATTGGAACACGGCTATCATGTCTCCCCTGGTCCTTCTCTTCACTAGACTAGCCATGCCCAGTTCCTATAATTGTTCTTAATATGTTTTATCCTCCAGTCCCCTAATCATCTTTGTTGCTCTTCTCTGCATTTTTTCTAGAGTCTCAAAATCTTTTTTATAGTGTGGTGACCAAAACTGGATGCAGTATTCTAGGTGTGGCCTTACTTAGGCTTTATAGAGTGGTATTAGTAGCTCATGTGATCTTGATTGAATCCCTCTGTTAATGCAAATTACAGTAGGATTGCATTGGCTTTTTTGGCTGCTGCTGCGCACTGTTGGCTCATATTTAATTGGTTGTCTACTAAGACTCCAAAATCCCTCTCACGGTTACTGCTATTAAGCCTGGTTTCTCTCAATCTATACGTGTACATTTGCTTTTTCTTGCCTAAGTGTAAGACTTTACTTTTTTCTACATTAAATTTCACATATAAATGCAGAAGAAAGGATCTGAATAGGACCAAGGTACTTTTCCATTTAGAGTGGAATGGAAATCACGTTGCCCCTAACTCAAATAATTTTATCATTGGACACTCAGCAGGAGACAATATGTTAGGAGAGGGCATCCTTTTCATCTTAACTATCAAATCTACAGCATCTATTAATGGCAAATAAAAATTGTCTGGCAACTAACAATGTGTCAATTCATCTAATAATTCCTTGGCTAGCCATTGCTATAAAAGCTTTCCATTTCAAGTGGAATTAACTGACACAATAAAGCAATTATTTTCACTCATCAGCACTGCTATGTCAACTGGGAAAAATCTTCAGAATAACATAATAGGGCATTATAGTGGAATAGCTTTCTTCAACCTGGTGCCCTCCAGGTACACTGGGATCCTGATTCTCAAAGGAAAGCTAACTGGGAACTGAAATCCAAATACAGATTGGGGAAAGCTTCCTGCACCTAAGCTAAGTATCTCCTCAGACATTATCCAAGCCTTCTAGCTGTTCCATTATGTTAAATCTCATGAGTTCTGTGACCTCTAACTGAACAGAGTGGCAATCAGCTAACATATAGAATGCATATTTGCCTTCAGGCCTCACCAGGCACGCCACAGAAAATAATATTGTGCTTCCTGTAAAATGCTAGTTTTAAAAGGAAAAATGTACCAAATCATCATGGCAGTACAGATATTGGGGAAATCCCAGAATGTACCAGACCCATCTCTCCACATTTCTTGTGAAGCATGTCACTATCACATGCTTCAAATTTTGCATAAACACTATGAGTTAAACAGAGAAACAAGACAGAGAGTAAGGAAGAAAAAGGGGTCCCAAAATATATCAAGATATGCAAAATCCAAGACAGATAAATTCATCATACTTTCTGACTGGTAGATCAATCAGAAATTATTGGTAGACCAGTTATGTCGCAAACTTAAATAGCAATTTTGATTTCAACTCATATTCTCCTTTAATTAATTTAGAGTAATAACAGCCCCAGCGCCAACAAACTCTTCAAAACAACTTTAAGATTTTTCTCCTTTTGTAGAAATTTCCCGTTTTATTTGCTGTCATTTCTAAAACCAAACCTAATAACCAATAACTTTGCTTACACTTCCTGTGCCTCTCCTCCATTTCAATTCAAACCATACAGTTCTGGATCCATTTGGAGAAACCAAGAAGGAAAATGTTCCCCTCTCGTGGAACAACCTGCAGTATGTTTCCAATGTTTCCGGGAACAAGAGAGGTTTGCAAACTTTGTGAGACTGGCTCTGTTCAAGAGGTGGTTCTCATAGAATTGGCATCTTGAAATAAAACCTCCATACGGTTCCATCTCCCACATGCATGCTCCATCATTTGGAACACGCCTCCCACAATTCCCCCCTCCCCATGTCATTCTACCCGGACTTCATGAAGTTTAAGGAGTTCAACATCTGGAAAGGAGCGCGAGTAGCAGCTTTAGAGAAACTCATGACAGGAAACCACCATGGCCATAAACGCTCGGAAAGGTTACCCCCTCTGTACAAGAGAGAAAAAGAAGCAGTGCCTGAAAGCTACTTCCAACCATGACCTCCGCCACCCCCACCCCACCCTGGTCCTGTTGCCTCCACATGTCCTTTGCCTTCACAAGTCACCTTCAGAAATTTGTTTCACAACACAAACCGGCGACCGAGACGCCACCAACCGTTTTTCGGGCTCGAAATCTCTCACTGCCCGTCAATCCCAATCGGAATAAATCCCGCACTTTGATTGCCACCCAGCTGCTCTGCGTTTGCTGCAAAACGCCGGACCCGATCTCGACCAGGCAGTGGCCGTTCATCTTCACCCGGGGGTCGCCCGCAATTCCTCTTCCCATCCCACTCTGCTCTTTCCTGGGAATTTCTCTCGCCTTTTTCCTCTCAAAGGTCAGGAGAGGGGATCCAAGGCGATGCAGGTGCAGTCGATAGCGGAGGAGGAGAAAATGCCCCGGACTGCATTTTTGTTGTTGGGAAGCCGCAGTTTGCAGTGCCAGCCCATTTGACCCTCCCCCAGCATCACCTATATCCATCTTTAGCAGAAAGCGAACACCACCCAAATTGCATTTTTAAAACCCGGTTTTAATTACGGCTTAAAAGGGCCTTAACCATCCGGAGGACCGTTAAGCTTCGCAGCCCGAGCGGCGCGCCCCTCCCTCCCTCCCTCCCCGTGCATCTCCAGCTCGCAGCCGTGAATGCATACAACGCGAGCCCTCCTCGCCCCGATCTGCCTACCTGCCTGCTTGCTCCACTTCTCCGGGTGCAGCTGCACCCCACATCAGCCCTCCTTTCTGCCGTGGTTCCTGGGCGCCGGCTCCGAGCCCCGTGCCCGCGCCCCCCACGGCTGTTTCCGGTCGCTTCTTTGTTTTCCTTGGCGCTTGCAGAGAGCTGCAGCCGCCTCCGAGTTGCCCCCAGAGCCGGGGAGGTCGAAGAAGGCGCCGGCCACCCGGGGTCTCTGGTCCTTTAAGAGCTGCCTGCGCCGCCGGGGTGTAACAAACGGCGCATTTTATTCACAACATTCGGACCTGAGCGCGCGCGCCCGAGCCTGGCTTGGGCCAACTGGGGAGGAGGGGTAGAGGCGCGGCCCCGAGCGCTACGGCACGTGACCGGATCCGCCGCTACAATTAGCCAAAGCCCACGGCCCTCTCGCGCAGTCGTGCTTGGGCGCGTCCGAGCGAGCTGCACGCGGCAGCAGCGAAGCCAAAGCCTACCGAGGGGGAGTGAGCGGGGCGACGTCATGGCAACCATAGCCGAGGTGCGGTCTCGGAGGATCTGGGTGACACGGGGATTATAAGGCACCCGCGCAAAACGACCCGAGCAAGGAAATACGCTGATACCTGCAGGGGGAGGCGGGAAAGATTCCTGTATCTCGGACATGAACTCTTGTTTTCCTCCCCGGCCGAAAGAATTGTTGCTCCCCCTCTGCTACTTCAGCATGTTGCAATGTGAACTTGTACTGAATGATGAGTAACTGTATTTAAATGCAATTGGTTTTTTTAATTGTATAAAAGTTATCCAAACAGAAAGGCTATCTTCAATCAACCTCTGCGATGAAACCTCACTATGTTAAAATCTGCAATTTTGGGAGGACCCAGTATCTTCATTGAGAATGATGCTGGCAAGACTAGGAGCTCCTAGTCTAGTCATCCTTCCCTGTAAACTTCGAATATTTTAAGGTTTATTAGAGAAAAAATGTTGAAGTTTCATACTTATACCTGGAAGTTGATGTGGCCAAACGGAAGCCATAAGGAAATGTAGTCACTGCTCCTATATAATTTCCTCATTTATGAGGACCACTACAACTGGGAGATGAAATATGAGATGCATTTATCTATATTCCACAGGCTTTCCCCAATCTTATGATTCTGAACCAAGGAAAACCTAAAATTGTCAAAATAAAATAATTCTAAATTTGATGTTTAGGAACAAGAGAACTTGGGTGGTATGAACAGGTTGAGTTACCTGAAAAGTAATTATTTATTGGAGAAATGGTTCATGGCATAAAACCACATTAAGAATTTGAATAGCAGTGATACTGTTAAGGCTATGTCCCACACTATAATGGAATAACTGAAATAATATATCAATTTTTAATTTGCCAGCAAACAAAGTTTCTCAATTCAAAGTCCAGAAAGGATAAGTAAGGTGTGATTGGAAAGGAAGCTGAAAGCTGGAAAGATGAAACTTGGAATTACCAGAAGATTTAGGTAGGGTAATTGCAATGCTTGGATGAAGTTCAATTGCAATGAAGTTCAATCAGTTATGGCACTTTCAAATTGAGATTATAGAACAAATTGAGATGTTTTAGTGTCATATATATGGTTAATCTTATAAAATTAGATGGCATTTAAAGATTTGACACTAATGTTTTGTCATACAGAATTTAAGATCAATGTAAAGAGCAATTTCAGTAGATTTAATTTAGGTGAAAAAGAATCAGAGAAGATATTATCCAAACTAAAGCAAAAAATTAAAAATAAATTTTAAAAATGGCAGTGGCTTTTAGAATAAGCTATCCTGAAAACTAATAGGGTAAAAACTCCTGTACAAGGAAATATGACAGCCAACTATCAAGCAAGAAAGGACAAAAATCCTTTAATAATGTTACAACACAGTGAAAAACAAGAAAAGATTATTTTAAAAGATCAGGTAAGTCACAGGAAAATTTACACTTATAATAGGAATATGGAAGTGCAGGTATTGAAGAGATCTACAAAAGGCAAATGAGGAAAAATTGATCTACAAAAGGCAAATGAGGAAAAAGGCGGTTGACAGCACTACTAACTGATTCCTTTACATACCATTTTAGAAGGTAATATCATTTAATATCATTTTAGAAGGACAGAAACATTTGTAGCAAGAATACGTTCAGGAGGCTGACTCCACTAGAAAGTGAGGTACTGGATCAGCTGTTGAATAGAAAAAGATGAGTGCAGATGAAATAACCACTGAACTACTTAGGCTGCAAGCGGTGCTAACTGCAATATACAAACACAAATGGAGCAATACTGTTTATTCATACCAACTGGAAAAGATTAGTGAGTATGCTTAGTGGATGTATACAGAATTAATTATACAGTATTAATCTCTTTAGGAACAGAGTTTTCAATTTTTGCAGTATTCTCAAAGATTTTAGTAGAGAAGTTTTTCACTTTTAAGATTCTATTTGGGATAATGATGATGATGTTCATCCATCGTGTTAGAAGAGGACCTTGACATCTAACAGGTGGGCTGTCCACGATGTGTCCATAGGTGGCTGGTAAGGCCTATACGGGTACGAAACGTTCTGCAGATGTGGGGCAGATGTGTGGGCACCATAGTTGCAGCATTTGCAGCTCTGGCTTTGTGGAGTGCTTGCTTCTCTTGTGCTATGATTGTTCTTCTGTCCTCAGATATCTGGCAGCTTTGGTGGATCAGCGTGCACCATGTCGATAGATCTTATGCCAGGGTTTCCCAGGAGGTGGTGTCAATATCCAGGGACTTAAATTTGACATAATGCAATAGATATGGATGTTAATCTGTAAATTCATGCAGTGACAATTTCAGTAATAATACATTCTGATGCATATTGACTTAGAAGTAAGACTCATGAAATGCAAGAGAGCTTCCTTCCATAAATGGCTTCAGATTGAACAGACATTGTCTCACTATCCAAAATGAGGCACCTCTCAACGTAAATGGATCTATCTGCAAACAGCACACTGACCAACTGGATACAATTAAAGTAACAGCTGCAGCTGCACTGACACTACACTGGGAATAAGTTATACAATATTATGGTTTGGCTTAGTATATCACCTAAACCCAGATTTGACTTCAGATTACATATATTAACATATTTGTTGTAGATTAAGTTGTTTTAACTCCCAGTCTGGTACAGCATCCATTTCCAAAAGGGGTGTTAATTCCTCCTCTTCACTCCTCAAGTGGAGACAGAATATATTTTAGCATCATCTACTTTGTGTATATTTGGCTACCATTTGTTATTTTGGTTTTGGTTTTGTTTTTTAAAGGAAATGGTGGCCAAGCAGACCCAAAAAGATACTGAGCATATTATCAAAAAACAAGGGAATGATAAATGTTCATTGGGTAAATATCTATGTTGTATGAATGCTGTCAACATCTGTGACATAATCTGAAGTTCTAGAACAGGAAGCTCTAGTTTGAACCTTTGGCCCAGCATGAAAAATTCACCGCTGTTTGCCATGCTGAGTAGACATTATTAGAATTCTATAAAGGACCATGAGTGATGCGCCTCCTTCAATAGGGAGATAAAACTGTAATTGCAGCAAAAATAAGATGTTTGTGTCACTTTAAAAATAAACAGCCTACTAAACCATAATTGATTCTCATATTTCTTAAGAAAGTTAGAATGGTCTACTTAACAAATCATGCTAAGCTAGGTACTGGTTCATAAGCTACAGTGATAGATCACAAAGCACAATAATTCAAAACTGAATAAAATATATTATCCGTTAATGTGATGTGTGGTAAAGTAATGTGAACAATTAAAATATCGCAATCATTACTGTGTTTAAAACCTGCAACAAAGACTTGCAGTTTGAAATAGGCACTATTCAATAGCTTTGTTCTGCTATGTGAATAATGCACTTTGGGCTACGTAAGAGTCACACTTGATGGATAAGATAACCTCTAATACGTAAGACTATATATTGTTATTTACACTATGAACTTCAGTTGCTCTGAAATGCCTTGTGCATTTGAACCATATCCCCACAGGTCAAAATGAAATCATAATTGTGTGTGTAAGAGTTTAACTAGGCATCTGGGTAAAAGACTGGATACAAAGCAGTAGTTTGTTCACTTCAGAACAACTTCATCCCAAGTCCCGCTGCTATGACATTTTGCAAAACCATAAAAACAAATGGAGATAACAAAACTCCTTATTAATAGCTTTAGTAATATAGTTACTAAATACTTAATAGCTTTAGTTTATTAGGATGGTTTGATTTATGAATATTTTGTAGTTTTATGATTTATAAACCACTTACAATCTTGCAAATATATAGCATACAATTGCATACAAATAAAGCTTAAGGGGAGAGGGGTAATCACCAAACTGCTGTCATTGAGTACTGACACTAGTCAGTATGGTTTAGAACTCAAAAAAGACATATATTTTTAAAACAAACTAGATTCCACAAAATAATGATCTGTATTTTTAGCTAAGAGTTTCCCAAATCCGCTAAAATGTTTTCCATTTCAAAACCTTGAGTATAAATTTACACAACAGACATAGCTATTCTGCATCCAATGATTTTAATGACTCCCTTTTACTTAATATCTTAAGGAGTGCTTTATTAGATGAAATCAAGATCTAATTACATCAACATTCCTAACACCCATCCTTGCACCTCTCAGGTAAGCACAAATATAGCACAATATAGCACAAAGGACATCTACTATATCACCCACTCCTCTCAACAGCAGCAACTTTCAGTTCACCATAACAATCTTAGCAAACAATTGCTGCCCAGATTAATACTTTTCAAAGTGACTTTAGAGTCATTTATTGGATGTCTTCAAATCCCCCTCTCCTTGGTGGTTCAAACTAGAGGTTACTTCAAGTTCTAATTTTTCTTGAATGCAGACTCCTGGGGAGAGCATCTGCTGCTGCAGACATACATGACTTCCCATAACCTAAATTTCCCAGTCCAGTAAAAGAATTAGAAGGAGTGAATTCCATTATCGCCTGTTAAAAATCCTCTGGCTTAGTTTAGATTGCAGAAAACTCCATTTTGCCCCACAAATGCAAATGCTCATGTATGAGTACTATAGATAGTTTACATAAAATTTAGTCCGCTTACTTAATGTGGATGGTTTAATGTTTATATTTATGTAAATGTGTCATTGTTCTATACTGTGGTTTCTACGGTAAGCCTACGTGACTCATAATTAAATTGGGAAATACAAATATGAGGGTGAAGGTTTGTTCTCTGAGCTTGTGGATTGGTTTCCGAATGTTTCGTTACCAGGCTAGGTTTAAACTCTGCTGAAAATGTTACCTAGCCTGGTAACGAAACGTTTGGAAACCAACCCACAAGCTTAGATAACAAACCTTCACCCTCACCCTATACTTGAACTACAGATATTCGCCACTATTGCAAATACAAATCTGTAAAATATTTTTAAAATGTTGGTGTCCAATATAAATTAAAGATTCTCTCGTTCCAATAATAAGATTCCAGTCTTGTGGATTTGGAAAATCTTTGGGTTGAGCCTGGTGCAAAATGACATTCCCTCAATGTTTTCCTACTTAAAGTCTCGGGAACTTTTTGTGCAATAATTAAAAGAAAGCAACTCCTCCAGTTTAAATCAACACTCCTGGTTTAGCCAATTTCACTGCGCTCAAACAGTTTTCAGAAGAATGCAGAAGGAAAACTACATGGGGCACAGAAAAGACAGCAGATATGCTATAGATAATCTTGAGAAATTCATCTTTAACCCTCACAAACACACAGCTATATGTTGTAATTAAGCTTAAGCTGTAATTATTAATGGCTGCAATGATATACATTCTATTGTGGGGAAAAGGAAAGAGTATTAGGTATGTTCACCATCTTGAGTTATTTATAAAAATAATAAAGGCAGGATAAAAATAAATAAAATACCTCTTACACCATTTCCACAATCAGAAGAAGCAGTTTTGAAATATATCTTGTTAATTTTCTGCCTTTGTAATACTTTAGTAAAATGCAGAATTTAGATTTTCTTTGTCCAGAGTACAGGTTTCACTGCTGAAGAATTCTCAAACTTTTAAAATTGCAAACAACATTTAGATGAGGAAGTGTGAACACTGAGCCATAATCACCGGTAGTTCAGAAAAAGGAATTTTATAGTAACTTATTTAATCAGGGATCTTGTTAAAACCTACTAGTGCTTTTCACAGCAAAACTGTGATATGGAAGAATAATGAGGGAAATCAACAAATTGGTTTCATCAGTCAATGGCCTCAACAGAGCAGCATCTGCTGATGTTATTAGCTGTATACAGTCTCCTAGCTCAGTGGTCCCCAACCGGTTCTGTGGAGAGAGGTTTTTCCGCAGACCAGACGGGGGCTGGTTTCGTGTGCTGCCTGCATCCCATGGATGGGGCTTCGCTTTGCATCTTTGAGTGGCCGGTTTCTCGCATGCTGCAGACCAGTGCCGGGCTATGGACTGGGGGTTAGAGACCCCTGTCTTAGGGTGTTTTTCTAACGGTGATAAATTGAGCTAATTAAACCTCTTTTTAAACCCCCTTTCACTTTGACCAAGAAATCCACAGCAACCCTTCTCTCTTTGTTGCCCAATCAATTACCGTATTTTCTGGCGTATAAGACGACTTTTTAACACATGAAAATCTTCTCAAAAGTCGGGGGTTGTCTTATACGCCGGGTGTCGTTCTCCTGTAACCAGGCAGACCAGCCCGAAAGGCTCTGACAAGCCTTAAATGGCTCTGGCGATCCAAGCTCTGACGATCCCAGCTTTGCCTGCTAATCAGGCAATGCAGCTGGGATCGCCAGAGCCATGTAAAAGAAAAAAACTTTTTTCCTTTTACATGGCTCTGGCGATCCAAGCTCTGACGATCCCAGCTGAGTTGCCTGCTAATCAGGCAACGCAGCTGGGATCGCCAGAGCCATGTAAAAGGAAAAAAGTTTTCCCCCTCCAGTTTGCTTACTTTAGCTGCTAGGCGCAATGCTTGCCTTGCTTCGCTTGCCTGAATCCATTCCATCAGCAAGCCACTCCCTGCCTGCAATCAAGCAGGCAGGGAGTTGTGGACTTCAACTTCCAGAATTCCTCAGCCAGCAAAACAAAGCTGGCTGAGGAATTCTGGGAGTTGAAGTCTACAAGTCTTAAAGTTGCCAAGGTTGGAGACCCCTGTTCTATTGGGTAAGTTTTTTTCCCCTTTGGGAGCTTTAAAAAAAATAATTAATTGGGGTTTTTTTTAGTTGTTCTTTTTTAGACCTAGCCATTTAAAGTTTAGGAAGTTTTAAATTTAGTTTTCATATAAAAATAAAAATAAATAAAATAAAATAATATTTGTGCAGCTTTATGAGGTTTAGTGTGTTTCTGTAGTGTTTCACTCTAACAACACAAACACACAAAATCTCACGAACCTGTATGTGGAATTTTGTGTGTGTAAAGTGTGAAAGTTGTTTTTTTGGGGGGCTTTTTGTGGCTGTGTGAGGTTCTTGCTTGTTTCAGGGGCCATTTTGGGTCTAGCACAGCTGCTTTTACATTGTGGGTGAGCCAGTTGATGTTTTTTAATTTTTATTTGGTGTGCGTAGGGGTAGTCTTATACGGCGAGTATAGCCCAAACCCTATATTTTAACAGGAAAAGTTGGGGGTCGTCTTATACGCCCAGTCGTCTTATACGCCCGAAATTACGGTACCTCATCTGACCCAGGAACAGAGAATATAAAGCACTACCCCCTTTACAACCTGCAAATATTTAAAAACTATTTTATCCTTTGCTCTTGTTTGTTATTGCCCTTATCTGTAAATAAGAACCACAACATAGTTATTCAGCAGTAGCAGCTGCTGAAGGAAACATTACTTCTACCACCATTTTATAAGCCACATTCAATTTCGAGAGATACCACACTATTTATGTTTTATCAGATTCTTGCACTGAAGGAGAAAACAGGAAGCAGCTTCCTAACCATAACTCTGTTTAGAACTCCCCTTGGCTGCAACAGGCAATAGAGCTATGCAGCATTTCAGATTTGAAACCAAAATGGCACTTCAGGATGTGCTTGGTTAAAGGCACTGCAGGGCATGTGTTCCATGTATAGGATATACAGTAACATGATGTTATAATCTGCATATTGATGTTATCACAGATTTACAACATTTGTGTCATAATTTGCATGACATATATTGCAAATATAATTTGCATCATCTGTATCATTGCAATGATTTACCTGATCCAATGGACTTTCTGAAAAAGATATCCTCTCCATCCAATTAATTTATTAGAACTAGAAAGAATATGTTATGCCTTGTTTTTGATACTATTGCCAAATAACTGTTTAAAATTCTGATAGCAATCTAGCCATAGCATTCCTAGTTGATTATCTACAATTTCCCAAATTCCAAGCAGCGTAACTAGTGGACATATAATAAGATTACTTTGCCCAGAAATTTGTGATTAGCATCAGAATGAAATGTTTGCAAATAGTTTCATAAACAAAACCTCCTTTCCTGTTCTTTATCACACTGTTGAGTATGTTTTTCTCCAGCAATTTAATCAGTGGTATAGGAGAGGCTGTACTATTTTAATTCATGTTGGTAAACAACTGGTAGCTAGAATACTTTCCTGAGTTACCGTCTATAAACCTACTTTTAGGATCTAATCTACCTTCTGCCTTGCTTGGCCCTAATTCACGCTACATGCTTTATAAACAATGGGGTGGTGGCTATTGTTAGTTGCATGTCTATGTTTCATATATGTAATATATCTAACCCAACCCAAATTTCTTCATGGTGTTATTAAAGGAATAATATGCAATGCTAAATTCTTTGTGGAAAGGTAGGTTATCAAGTTAAGCACAACTGAAATGTTATCCAGTGACTACCCAGTAGGGTTAAAGGTGTGTAAATGTGTGAACAGAACACCTCTATGTACTCTGAAACACCTTTTTGGAATTTAAACTAAATCAGTAACAACCTATCCCACAACCAATGAGACAAAGGCTGTCTTAGTGTTATGAATTAGAACTGAAATATCACTGACTATTCCACATCCTTTAATGATAAGATTTAGATATATAGATGGATGCTGTCCTTAACACAATATTTTCTGCTATTTTTGAAAAGCAGTAATATTGAAATATACATGCACAAAGAAAATTAAGTCACATAGCACTTAAAAGACAGTTTTATTACAGGATAACTACTTAATAAATTATGAATTATGATGCTCAAACCTGCATGAAGAAAAAAACCATATTTACATTCTCACAATTTACTGAATAAATCATATTGAGTAAACACATAAATTAAGCCATAAATCAAGCAAATCCCATTGGGACATTATGGTATGTGTAGTAAGCATGATAAAATACCTTGTTTCTGAAACAAAGAGACTAAACTTAACTTCAGTATCGAAGATCCAAAAGTTTTGCATTTCAAAAATCATCTTGAATCAATAGCCAAAAATGTTACAGAAAAGCTCAAAATAGCTTTTGAAATTATTCATATTTTAGCTGCTGTTAGAAAATAAAATTTACTGTTTTGTAATTACAAGCATGATACTCAAAAGACATCAGAAATTTGAATATCGACTCTGATTAAAAGGAAAAGAACAGAGTTGCAGCTGCTTTTATTCTTTACTTGATCACCAGTAGAGAAAGATAACAAAAATCATTAAATAACAACTGTTAAAAGCACTATAAAACACATGCATACAAAGACCTCAACAGTTCCAGCATCACTCCATTGCTATCCCTATAACAAGTATTCATTTGATTGGTTTGCTCACAGTCACATTTTAATGGGCCAAAAACATGCGCCTCTCAAACTCGTAACTGGCATAGATTTTCCGCTGCATCCAGACTGGACATCATGCACTTGAGAGAGAGAGCTCAAGCAGGCAGACAAGCCAGCAATGCTTATAAAAAGACTTCACATGACACTTAAACCGAGGAGAGAGAAGACAACAAGCTTCTGAAATCGCTCTCAATTAAATATGCTTATGTCAGGTCGGCATCTCCATTCCAATCAAGATTCTAGTGGTGTCCTCCATCTGGTTTTTAAGAGTGGTGTTCCTAGCAGTAATTTTTCAGATGTTTCATGAAAGGATGACCTACAGGTAGAAAAATGGGTGTGAGGTGGGGGAATTGGTAATATAGTTCTCCAGAAGAAGCAAGAACTTTTAGGGCTCCAAAGTAATTGTGAAAATCATCTCCCTCCAGTGCATTGCAGCAGACTCCAAGGGCTTGCCTATTTCTGCTGCTGAGTAAAAATGCAAACCTGTTCTTGATTTGGGGGGGGGAAACTACCAGCATAATATGTGCCGTCCCCATTGTTGCTGTTTTGGCTTGCCACCAAATGGTGGTGGTCCTGAGTTAATATGTGAAGGACGGCGTCAAGCAAAGCTGTTGGTTTTGCTGTCCTCCCTCATTAGGAATGTCACCAGCCAGTGGGAAACCATCTGCCACCAATTACAACAGTGATGTAGGTACAGGAAGGAGGCTTGGGGAGGTGGTCTGTTCTGACAGGCAGGTCATCTGGCCCACTTTATGGAGCACATTAAACGGGAGCATGCATCAGTTGAAACAAGGAGCTGAGTGATAAGGCAGGCGAGTCCACTGTCTCAAAACCTTGGCAGCCCCTCCTTCCCTCCGCCTGCCAAACAGCTGTTGGCTGTCTCCGATCTGGCAACTTGCCTGATTTAATGTGAAGCTCCCCAAGCTGTTTGGTGAACATTTCTGAGAGGTCCAGCTATGAAGCTGATTGCGGAGGGAGGCTGTCAGTGATAGTGAAGCGGAATATTTTCCTGTTACCAAGCAATCCGAGGTTGCTTCCCTGTTCCATCCTTCCAACAGGTCTACTTAACTTCCACATTTCTTCCTGCCTGGATTAGATTGTAATCTTTTCTAGTTAGCAGATTGAAAATGAATCCATACAATGTCTGTAAGATTGATGGTTGGGGAGTCAGTTTGAGGGATTCTCTTTTTTTGTTTTATCCCTGGGGAACAGGATTTTCTGTAACATACAAGAAACGTGTACTTGAAACACGGAGATGCTGATGTTTATCTAAACATATTTATAAATAAAGTTGATAATAGGAAAGCTGTTCTCCTGATCAAATTGAATCGTCTCAAAGCTGTTCACACCTGAGCTTGGACCTCCTATAGTTCACCCCCCCTCCTCACTATGAAAAAGCTCTGTTCTCTGTATATTTCTTCAAATGGTCCTCCTTTCCAAAAAGTAGCCTTTACTAACAAATATTTTGAATTAACATTTGGCTGCCTAAATATTTTGCATTATCATTTGCTTGCCTCCTGAAGCCAGTTTTCATTTAAATAGTTAGAGAATCCTGAAAAAGGAGGATTTATTATAAAAGATTTTCATGGGATTTTGGCACAATTGCCATTTACATTCTTATTAGTTGAGGTTGGGATCCCCCCCTCCCCCCCCAGTCAGTTTTTTACTCTTGGCAGTTTTTTTTACTGCTCCATTTACTGCCTGAAGTTTTCTCAGCAACATTTCAAAAGTGATTAGCCATTGCCTGCCGCCTTCCCAAGGCTGAGAGAGAGAGAGAGAGCAACTGGCTCAGATTTACCTAGTGAGCTTTGTTGACTAAAGCTGGACTGACATTCACAATCTCCCAGTTTCTAACTTGGGACCTTAAATGCTACACCAAATTGGCTCTCTATTGCAATTTCTTAGAATGTATTCTAATTACATGGATGTGAGATAAACAAGTGATAGAGGGAAGAAAGAAATAGTTAAAAGTATTTAACATTATGGACTGTATGTATATCTCCATACCTTTCTAACCAGCTTTGCTTTCAAAATATCTGTACATTAATTTATGCATTGCCTTTTCTCACCAGTCTCTTTTATGTCACCATTACTTTTTCAGTCTTCTACTTGATTCATTCTTTTATGCAGCTGTTCTTTTGCTGTTTAGCTTCAACCATCAAGAGTAAAGGAAGAATCAGTAAAGAAATTGGCAGATTAGCACTTGGCAGAATGTCCACAAAGATATTGGAAAAGATATAGGATGGTTGTGATTGGTGTTAGTTCAAGTAATGTGATATAGGTAATCCTCAATTTAGGACCAGTTGCTTAGCGATTACAACAGACACCCGCCCCCCCAAAATTAATTATGACCTGGTTCTGAAGTTCTGATGGCTGCCCATTCCATCCCCAGCAGTCACGTGATTTCATTTTGGGTGCTCAGGAACTGGAACTTTTTGCAGTGTTCTGCAGTCATGTGACTGATTTATGACATTTTTGCCAAAAACCAATGTTTATTTCTAGTTTCCTGCAAAAACCACTCATTGCAACAATGGACTCATTTAACAATCACCGCGGTTGCTTTACAACCATCACATTCATTTAATGACCACCTCAAAAAAGGTTATAAAATTGGGTTGGCCACTTGATGACCCGCTTTACGACCATCACAATTAATTGCAGGCCCCATTATGGTCATAGGTTGAGCACCTGTATTTGATTTAGTGTGAATTGTAAATTGAAACCAAGTTTCATTTAACGCAACCCAGATTCAGTGGATGTGAGCACATGTACAATTGAGGCAAGTGCATCCACAGTTGCTCTTGGGGTTTTAGACACTGCTAATCTTTGGGTGTACAAAATGGAGAAAAGGCAGACTTCCATCAGGCGAAAAGAGTACAAGTTTTTTTAAAAAAGAAGAGGCTTATTATTACATTAGAGCAAAAATTTGATGTAATTGAACAACCTGAACGTGGTCATAGCAACACAAAAATAGGACGAGATGATGGTGGATTTTTTAAATTTTATTTTGCTTTCTATAACTCCACAGTGAATTTGTAAACCATAAATTTAAATTAAACATATATTCCTTTTATTCTTTACTGTAATATTTTATTCATATATGAATAAAATGTATGTTTACAATGTTTCATTGCCTATTTATGTCAAGCTGGAACCAATTACCATATTTTCCGTAGAAATATCACTTGGTTATACTGCAAATTTGAATAATGCTACCCTTTCATGGGATTCATTATCTGTACTAATCAAGACCTACCCTGTATTCATATGTCATGCCTTTTTGCTTACAAAGACCAGAACTGTGAAAGCAAAGCTATTTACCTATGATGCTACCTGGAAGCTAAAGTTGGATTTTGGAGAAGCAGGATTGGAAAAGTATTGACACTTGAACTTTAGTGTTAGAGAAGACACCTGAGAATACCATGGACATTTTAAAAATATGGATTATTGAACAAATCAGAATTTTCGCTAGAAGCAGAAATGACCTGGTTCAAATTATCCTACCTTCAGACCCATTAAATTAAACTCAAGGCCTGTGGGGTGTTTAAATTCGGCCCACAGGGCTGGCCTCTTAATATCAAAGGACTGCCTCGCAGTGCCTCTGCCAGCTAAAACGGCCTCCAGCACCACTCTGCCGGCCAAAAACGGGCCGTGCAGACGCCCTGTGAAGCCAGATTTAAGCACCCTGCAGGCTGGATCCGGGCCACAGGCCTTGAGTTTGACACCCAGTTTACAGTATACAGGCATTTTCACTTTTTTCTATAAATATTCTTTATCAATCCATGGACTATCCACTATCTTTTTTTTTAACCAGCATTTGCATATCAAAATTTCTCCATTTCCAAATCTTTAGTAAACAGTGTCCCAAGTTACACAAATTATCATATAAATCACTGAACAATAGTAATTGAGACCAGTATTTCCATTGCAAGGAATGCAATTGTGAAGCATGGACATCACATAACCAGGGTGCCAGAGGTGGGTTCCATTTACCTTTGCTGCTGGTTTGCAATGGGTATGCGTGCGCAGAAGCTTCTGAGCATGCGCAGAGCATCCATGATGATGTGTGGGTGGGTGGGTAGAGCCTTCCGACGCTGTTACTACCGGTTCGCAAGATCCAAACCGAACCGGTAGCAACCCACCACTGCATGGTACTCAACACTGGCTGTTCCAGCAGACTCTGGTTAAGCAGGAACCTCAGGTAATTTCAACTTCTGACTTTCTGTTGGCTTCCTCAATGGATTTTACTTCTGGGGTACCAGGAGAGAAGGTGGCAAAGTGCAATCATGTGAGCTTGGGATGCTGCAATGGGCAGAAATCCAGGACAGTTGCCAAATGCCTGGATCACAACCATGTGACTGAAGGAGCACTGCAATGGTCAGAACCTCAAGAACTGGTCAAAAGTGCCACTCATGCAGCACTGTCACAAGTTTAAACAATCGCTGAACAAATAGTTGTTAAGGATCACCTGCACTTATTTTTTCAACATTTATAACTTGTCATCATTTCATTCCATTTTCCTTGTCAAACAGTTTTCTTGATCTTTGAAATATTTAGTTTCAAATCTAATCAACATTTTCTGCAAATTATTTGGGTTCTTGGTCAATGGCAAAACATTATCTACATTTAAAAGCACCCACCCATGCATATTTCCAACAACAATATCTTTAACATCACTCTATGCCCATGATGGCGAACCTATGGCACGCGTGCCACAGGTGGCACGTGGAGCCATATCTGTGGGCACGCAAGTGTTGCCCTAGCTCAGCTCCAGCGCACATGTGCGTGCCGACCAGTTGAATTTCGGGCCTTCCGGGCCCACTGGAAGTCGAGAAACGAGCCGTTTCCAGCCTCCAGAGGGTGAGGGAGGCCATTTTCGCCCCCCCAGGCTCCTAGAAAGCCTCTGGAGCCTGGGGAGGGCAAAAAAAGGGCCTACCAAGCCCACCGGTAATCTTTTTGCCATTGTGTGCCAAAAGAGGAGGAGCGGGGGCGGGGAGTTGCACGTGCATGCGTGGGGGAAGGGGAAGGGCATGGAGGAGACATTGAATTATGGGTGTGGGCACGCATGCGCACGACCCCCCGTGCTCTCCCCGCTTTTGGCACGCGACAGCAAAAAGGTTAGCCATCACTGCTCTATGCATTCATTGACAAAATATATTAAACAATCATGGGAAAATGGCATATTCTTTTTAATGTCTTCTTTGTGTTGGATCATTTGCAAAATATTTCATTTATTCTCATGCATGTTTTATTTTCCTCATAGCCTACTCATCAAATTCAAAACCAGCTTTCAACTTTATATTCACTCAATTGTTCCTTAATTCAATCCTATTCACTTTCTCATACTCTTTAAATAAAAAAACATACAAAACACCTTTTTTTCTAACATTTCTTATGACAGTTGAAGAGCAAAAATTTGGACTGCACACCACCTGCCTGATATGCACGGCATTGCACTTACTTTTCACTTCTACCCTCTCCATCGCTTTCTGAGACAATTAACAAAATCTCCCATGTAGTTTTTGTATTTGCTCTTATCCTTTTTTCTCCTAGTTAAGGGAATAGTAATGACATTTTTCCAATCATCAGGCACAAATGCAGTTTTGCATGTGAGTGAGATATGATGCACCTTCTCTCTATTAACAAAACAAACCACATTTTAACATTTCTCCAGTTGCAGTACACATGCAGCCAACATTTATACTGTATTTAATTCTATGTTTTCATCATTTTTTACTCAGATACTAACATTTCACTTCATCACCTGATTTTTCACTCTCTCCAAGGGAATGTGCACTGCAGAAGGACAAACCCAAGAAAGTCACTTAATCAACCTCACAGAAAGAATGGAAAACAAAACATGGCCTTTGGCAGCCAGATTGCTCTATAGAGGTGTACCTTGTTAATTATGTATTGTCATGGCTGCTGGTTTTGCCTTTGGATCTCCTGGCTCCTCTGGAATTCTGGAGCTCTTTCACTCTCCTAAATGCTTTGGTCTCCTTTCTCATCCTTAAGAATACTTAAAAGGTGTTCTTAAAAGCTATCCTCACCTTTTAATGTTGAAAAAAAGTCTGCCTTTCCAGTGGAAAGAACACTGATTTAACACCCTTGGTAACTTGTCAGAGCAAACCCAGGTGTTTCTTTTTTCTTTGCAGATTTTTAAAGAGCAGTTTTCCCAACTGCTACAACCTAGCTGTGCATGAAGTGTGTCAAAATAAATAAATGGTCAATCTTCCAAACCTGGGTGATAACAGTGAGGGCAATCTCCTATTTCCAGCCAGCGAGCTACCCCATCAAAGGTGAAGATGAAACGTTCATCAAGAGAAAGAACAGTGTATAACTTGTCACCTCACATTCTTTCCCACAGTAACAGAATAAGAAACAAAAACATCACAAAACTGCTAAGAAGGAAATAATAAAATGCCATTTGTTCAGGTTGGCAATTGTGTCACATAAACTGAGCCATTATGACAAAAGTCTTCTGGATGATGTTAGTCTCTGCCAACATATTGTGGTCAGGGAAAAGAAGGGTATAGGCCTACAATAACTGGAAGATGGGAAGCCTTTCCCACTTGGATTAAGAAATGGAAGAAAATAGCCCTTTGGTATTTAAAACCAAAACCAAACCAAAATAAAAAAAACTTGTCCTATTGATCACACTCAAGTATCAAGCTGCCTTTGCTCACTTCTCATCTTAAAGTAACTAGCAGGGCAGTCTAGTAGTCATGTCACTCAAAATCAGGCTTGTTTAATGGAGCTTCCACCTACATAAGCAGAAAAAAGATTGCAGTTTAAGGCTTGTTTTTACTTTTGCCATTTACTTCTTCACTTTCTAAGAATTTGCAACTTTTATGGAAAGTTGCCATCTTATAATTTGTCATCTGTATTGTTCTTCATTTGATTCTTGAGGCTTTGCAAAAGGAAACCCCGACTTCTAAGGAATCTTATTTGGGTTGATGTGTGGCTTATATCATGCTAGAATATTAGCGATTAGAAGCTAGGAAGATACATTCACCGAACCTCTCATTTGCTCAGGCCTCCCTCAATTTATGCCTGAATGGAAACTGCACAATCTGCATTTGTTCCTGAAAGTAGGTCACTGGGGAAGCTACGCTGACCCCCTCCCACCGCACAACAGGACAAGACCCCGTCTGACAAATCGTTTTGCTTGTCAGTTACTTCAGCGTGTAGTCAAAAGCATAATAAGCCAGCAAACTGAGGAAATCTGCCTTGCCCCTTTGCTGGTGTTTCTGGCCTAGGCAGGGCTTAGAGTTCAAGGCCGACGAGTGAGCAGAACCATGAGGCAGAAACACAGGAGTCTGGGCTGAGGTACTCATTTTCCCACAGTCAATTCCACAACTAGGGATGTCACCTTGACATCATTTGACCTGTGTTGTGACAAGAGAAACTGTTTGGGTGCATGCTGTCGATCCTCTTACAAGGAAAATAGGAGTTATTGAAAGTCTCTTTCCACACACCTGTAGGAAAGGACAACGGAGATGGGGGGAAAAGAAAATCAAAATGGTTTATAGGCCATCTTTAATTTCTACAGACATATTACAGAATTTAAATGAGGGCTTAAGGGCAGAGTGAAGGAAGAGGAGACAGCAAGTGACGAGGGAAGTAAGTGTGAAAGTGCTGCACTGGCATGTGGAAAGCTACAGAGCCACAGTGGCGCAGTGGTTAGAGTGCAGTACTGCAGGCTACTTCTGCTGACTGCCGTCTGACTGCAATTTGGCAGTTCGAATTTCACCAGGCTCAAGGTTGACTCAGCCTTCCATCCTTCCGAGGTCGGTAAAATGAGGGCCCAGATTGTTGGGGGCAATATGCTGACTCTGTAAACTGCTTAGAGAGGGCTGTAAAGCACTGTAAAGCTGTACATAATTTTAGGTGCTATTGCTGTATTATTTAGGTGTATTGTAGAGAGGAGGAGAAGGGAAGGCTTGTAAATAGAGTTGGTTTTGCCCATCAGTAGCAACCTACACTGTGTAAGAAGCTGCATTTCAGCTGGAAAGCAACCCTGTGAAATATACTGTACTTTAGATGCTTATGGCTAAAATAACCACACAAGCCAGTGATTCATCTTCTGCTTGAGAGCTCATGTGCAATGAAAAGAAAGGGAGGAAAAGTGGGACGGGCAGAAAAAAGACTTGGTGACCCAGAGAAATTTGAGTCTGTGGAAGGCAGGTTTTTGTCAGCTGTAATTTCCTGAAAGCTGCATCCCATGGCAGTGGTGAAGATAGCAAGAGCGAAGGGAGAGGTCAGAACCAAGATAGGGTGAAGCCACATATTCTTTATATTTTGGAGCATCTGGTATTTTTTCTGATACCCTCTTCTCTTTCCCTCCACACCCCACACCAGGGAGTGGGCAGTCCCTGGGGATCTATACTGATTCCTTGCAATGGCCCCTAGAATTAGACTAACTGTGATCTTGCCTTCCAAAGTGTTTTTCTGGAGGCTTCTCACTCAGGCTGTTGAAAAGTGCATGTACCTTCTTATCTTCCTCCTCTTTTCCTTGACAGTTGGACATCCTTTTGGTAATTCTCCCCCTACCGTGATTGATCTAGGCAGATCTGCCATTCCCTCCCTCCGTTTGAAAACAGGATAACATAAAGAATCCACAAACAAGATCCTCTAACGGCTGATGTGTCACTCAACTGAGGCAGGGCCATAAATTGTAAACTGTGCCTGATACAGAAGTTAGCTGTGGTTCAGAAAAGCTTCTGGGTGATAGGAAATGAAAGGGCCTAATGAGAGACATGTAAAACCAAGCCGATGGGGGCATGAACTAATATCTTTATTTTTCTGCTCTCAGAGCTTAAGGGAAGGTGGATCATATATAGGTAGTCCTCAACTTATGACCACAATTGAGTCAAACCCCATTGCTAAGGAAGACAGTTGTTAAGCAGATCAGTGTAGCTGTTAAGTGAATCATGGGGTCGTTAAATAAATCTGGCTTTACCACTTGCTTGTCAGAAGCCGGTTGGGAAAGTTACAAATGATGATCACATGAACCCAGGACAGTTCAACTGTTATAAATACATGCCAGTTGCCAAGTGCCCAAGTTTTGATCACGTGGCCATGGGGATGCGGCAATAGTCGTGAGTGTGAAAACCAGTCATAGGCCACTTTCTTCAGTGCCATTGTAACTTCGAATAGTCATTAAACGAATAGTTGTAACTATGTGGATACCCTTCTAGCACTCTTCTGGCACTTCTTTTTTTTAAAAAAATAATTTTTATTGAATATTTTACATTTTTAAAACTAAAAACATAATAGAAAAAGACACCAAAAAAAAGAAAAAAAAGAACATATACATACACCAAACGGTAAAATACAAAACATAAATAACATTATATAATATTTTACAACTTTCTGCATCGACTATTATCTTTACTTTTAAATTCAGTCTTCCTAATCATTCTCTTATTCTTGTGAAACCATATTGAGCATTGTTATAAACTAAATTGTTATGTATACTTACATCCTATTTATTAACATAGTCAATATTTTATCCTTACCAGTATTCAATACTCTTAGATTCCAATTTGATTAATTGGAATTCTAATGGCACTTCTATATATCCCTTCCTACAACCACTGAGGGCCAGAACCTTGATAGCTCTTAAGGAATGCATTGTACGTACCGGTAGCTATCTAAAGTGCAGTGGTCCATGAGTTCAATTCCAAGTAGAGGGTCTGAACCCCAAATACGAGTCCCAATAAAAGATGAAACCGAGCACTCAGAGTCTCATGGTGGTCAGACTAACCGGAAAGGAGAACGCAGGGCATACGCTGTGTAAAAATAGAGAAATCGCCACCGCAAGAATAGGGGTGGAAGTCATGTAAAGCCTCAGGAGTTTCAAGCTTCCCTTCCCAATCATAAAGGACAATTTAATGCATAAACAAGACTTCAGCACTGACGACAATCTGAAAAGGAAGATTTTTCAAGGAAGGAGAGTTGAACTTTTCTATCTACTCATTTCAGTTAATGATTGATGAGCTAATGTATAACAGGAGCCAAAGTCTGCATAAGGCACTCAGACCTCCATCACCTGCAAAAGAACTGGGCAATTCCCCATGAGCCTGCATGATTCAAGGTAAGACTTGAGAGCTGTTGGTTATCCCTCAGAGCTGTGCCTAGAGAAAGTGAGACGAGAATGACACTGGGCGGCCCTACTACAGCACGAAGGGGGCCATGGCTCCTCACCCCTCTAGGGAAAGGGCTCTGCATAAGGAGCGAGTGCTAAACTTGAATATCCTTTAGGATCAATGGGATGGTACTGTATGTACTGAACGAGGAATCTGTGGTAGTAGGCCTGCCTGAGTTACTGTAGATCTTGTATGGATTCTTGCTTGCAAAAGAGCTGAGGTGCTTAAGTATACTAGCCATACAACCAATGGAGATTAGCTTCTATTAGCTCCACCCAGGATGGCATTATCGGTGAGATGGGAAGCATATATGATAATAAATTTTAGCATATACAGTATTCGCTTTCAGTTCCTGATGCTGATTTAATCAAAAATATTTTTTTCAAAGGCAGATCTCTGCATCATTTTAAAATCACATTTATTCTTAGCCGTAGAGATCCAAAGCAGCTTTCCCTAATTCTGTGTCTCTTCCAACAGAATAGCTAATATTTCTATGACTGAGAGTATATTATCCAACACAGATATAGAAGGTGCCAGGTTGTTTCTCTCTTCTCCACCCCCACATCCTACCTTATTTGATCTTTATGTATTTTTATAATTATGTACTTTAATGGAATTCACTTTGAGCCGATTCAGTATTTTCTATAATCAATAATTTGTTATGTAACACAAAATATGATGTTTACCAGCTTAAGAGATTGTTTTCAAATACCGAAGCTTCTTTGTAGAAGATAAGCCTATGGATAAATGAAGCTGCCTTGATCTGAGGTAGTATATCCGTGATTGATAAATTATGAAGGAAAACAACAAGAAGTGACATTTATATCATCTCCCATTTATTCTTAGAGAAATTGATCCCATTTGAAAATAGTACTAGACTAGAAAAGACCCTTAGCCTGTTCCAATGGCATTCTTACAACATCTGTTTTCTATTCCTATTTATATGTTACTATTATTGTTTTGATGCTTGGACTTGTTCTGATTCATTTGATTATTGCTTGATTTATGGTCCCTAGGTAAATTAATCCTTCAGTCTTCACATTATTTTCCTAGGAGCCAAACAATCCTTCTGTTTTTCCAAGTGGAGAGAAAGTGAAACACTATAGGGAACTCTCTTCTAGGAAAGAAACAGGTCAGGGATGAAGTGTGGTTTCACAGCAGAATTGTGGATTTCTTGGATCTGAAACCCTCCAATTTTCCCAAGCTCTCTCCCACAATGTGGAGAATAAGGAAGATGACCTTGGCAGAAATATGCAGGATCCTTTCCATAGGCAAAAGGGGCAAAAGTGTTTTTAAAATTCAGAATAATGTTTGGAAGCAATGCAAACAGATGCCTCCCTAATTCACTGGAGGAGGAAGTCCAGCACAATCAGACTCAGAACATTCTGTTATTGCAGATACTTTCGATAAAACAATTTTAATTTTCTCGTATTGATTTCCTGTCTGGTCTACCTGATGGGGCTGACACAAACTAGCATCTGTTGACAGATTAAGTCTGTCTAGTAGTTCTAGTAGTTGTTACAGGTTAAAGCCGTATTTTTGTGAATTTAGATTTCACCATTTCTTTCCAGGAAATAAATATGCAGGGAACAATTATAATATCACGTTAATTATTTTTTTAAAATTGAATTTCCTATTCTGTTTTATTAAATATTTTTAATGACTCTTTTGTTTCCATTTACTTATTGATTTCTTGCTTTAGTATATTATGAGAAAGACAATATTTTCCTATGACAGCTATTATAATTGAAATTAAATTAACTCTAACATATTGTACCCAGTCTCAAACCATTATTTTTCCTAATCCATATTTGAAGTTTGCTTGCTTTTATTTAACAAAAATTTAATTAAAAATAATGAGAAATGGCATGTAGTTCAGGGTTTTTAGAAAGATGAGGTGTAAAATAGTGTGTAGGATTGTTATTCTCGGTTGAGGAAATGTCTCACAGATTCTAGAGGTGTACTTCTCTTTTACACCACAAGTAAAGTATTGCACCTCCTCCCTCAAGTTCATTACGGTAGTTAGCCACATAAGGAACTAACTTCCAGCACAAATCAGAGTTAGCATCTCCACCTAGCAGGCCAGATCAGTCTTTTCTATGTTACTATAAATAAATGTCCATAATAGTTTTATAGCAGGCCAGAGTCCATGCCTAGCTGGGATATTAACCTTTTCATCCTTCTGTCTAGGAGCTCCTAAGCTTGACAAGGGATGTAGATACATCAACAGTTTGAGAAGATCCTATTGGCGCCAGCACCAAGTGTATGTGACCGTACCAGATCCTCTGTTTGTTTTGCTCCAGTTCTGCAAAATTGTATTTTTCAGTATGCAGGACACCAAAGCATTACTAGTTAATTTCTTAGGAATTGTGGGCTGACATGTGTGTCAAGCGTGGCCAGATGCAAAAAAGCCTGAATTCCTGCCCTTTTTGTAGCAATGGTATTTCAACAAGTAGGCTTGCCTAGCAAACTGTTCTGTGTTCTCCTCTCTTGTACCCAGCTATTAAAGATGCAGAAGCTCAATCAGTTTTTGCGCTAGGTTACCTTTCTCAAAGATTGGATTAAGGAAGCATGAACTAATTCTGGGTACAATGACTCTGTGCTTGCATTTCATTCATGGTTTTGTTGGAGTGACCTTGCAATCATTCTGAAGCTCCAGGGTGATATCCAAATCCTCAAGGCTTTGCTTGAGAAAGGGGAGGACCTGGGAGCTGAATGTCCTTCCAGGCTCCTTTACATTAACAAGAGTAATTGTCACCTCTAGTCTTCCTGGAAATCTAGTAGTAACTAGTAGCCAATATTCCAATCCTGCACTGAGTAAAAATTTGACTCTGAATTTCCACTTCTTCAGAAGTATTTCATTAATGCTTTATTTTTCTAGAAGTTATTTCTTGAATACATTGTGACAAACAAAATTTCCTCTCTCTGTGTTCTATTTTTACATTGAGTTTTTCCCTTTACCATCCCATTTCTTCTGGGTCTGTGTGGATAAGTTTGTATATTAGTCTTCTCTCTTCAGTTTGCACAATATGCTCCTTATGTTATACATTTTTTCTGGTTATGTTAGGCAGTTTGATAAGAGGGCATGATAAACAGAGACTCTCTTGCTTGTAATGCCATAAAACATTGTTAGAGATAGGAAGTTTTTGTTGCTAATGCAATTTAGCCACTACGCCCAGAAAACATATGATTTTATATAATATTTGAGAGGCATAATAAAGACATAAAACTGAGTAAATTCTCTTTGCCTTTTCATTGTGATAAATTTTTTAAAGGAACATGATTCCTGCTTTCCAAGGACAACATTCTCAGCAACGAATGTGATCTTACAAACAACCAGGCAGTTTTATCTTCAAGATAGTTAATCCTTCCTTTCTGTTGTATTTGCAGATCTCCTCGCCTCAGCAGGATGCTCTGGCTTTCATGGGTAGTTTTCTCTCTATTTCTGACATTAGGTAAGATTTCTGTAGAAAAATTCCTCCCCCACTTCTATGCCAGTTCATGTCCGCTGAGACATTACTGAGGCTTGACACTGCATGGAAGAATATCATCAAGTGAGAATTACAATTGGCACTACAATTGCTCATGGAGAAATGTAGGATTTACATTGAAGTAAACATACAATAGATCAGGAAAGCACTTTGGTATTTAACCTCTTTTAAAGAAAGTGAAGGGAAGTTGGTGGAACTGTACGTTTTCCAGGGTCTTACTTGCTAAGACTAGACCAAGGGTCTGCAACCTTAAATACTTAAAGAGCAATTTGGACCCGTTTTCCACAGAAAAGAAAACACAAGGAGCCACAAAACCTGGGTGGGCGTGGCCAACTCATCACTCCCCCCCAGCCACATGAGCCCCCCCAGCCATGTCTACCAGGGTTTTGTGGCTCCCAGTGTTTTCTGTGGAAAATGGGTCTCTCTCTCTCTCTTTCTCCCCCTCCCTCCCATTCATTTCTATTTTTCCCTTTTTCCTCTCCCTCTCCTTCTCTCTCTCTCTTTTCTTATTTTTTTTTCTTTCTCTCTCCTTCTCTCTCATTTGTTTCTCTCTTTTTCTTCTCTCATTCTCTTCCTCCATCATTTTCTCATTTCTCTCTCTTTTTCTCCCCTTTTCTCTCTCTCATTTCTCTCTCTCTCTTTCTCTCCCTCTCATTTCTGTTTTTCTCTTTTTCCTCTCCCCTTTCTTTCTTTCTTTCTTTCTCTCTCTCTCTCTCTCTCTCTCTGTCTCTCTTTTTTCCCCCCCTCTCTCATTTGTTTCCCTCTCTCTCATTCTCTCCCTCTGATGGCGTTAATTGAAAAGCATCCTCCCAGAGCACCGCTCAGCTGGAGGAGTAATGAAGCTCAGGGCAGCGGGAAAAGGAGGCCGGCCCCAGGGGTAAAATCTAAAATTTGTTACTACCGGTTCTGTGGGCGTGGCTTGGTGGGGGGGGGTAATGTGACTGGGTGGGTGTGACCAATTTTTTTTTAAACTTTTAAAACCATTTTTTCTACAACCTCTTCAGCGAAGAGGTTGTAAAAAAATGCTTTTAAATGCCTCTGACAATCCAAGCTAAGTTGTCTGATGCTTTTAAAAGTAAAAAAAAAAAAGCCTCTGATGATTGTGCAGCTCAGCTGGGCATGGTGGTGGTGGGGGCAGGGATTTTTGCTATCGGTTCTCCGAACCAACCGCCTCCATCGCTACCCGATCGCGTGATCCGGTACGAACCGGGAGCATTTCACCCCTGGCCGGCCCGGAACCTTGCACACCCACCCCAGAGATCAGGCTCAGAGAAAGCCAGAGTGCCCTTGCCAAAGACGTTCACCCATTAGCTGGTCAACCAGCCCGCTCCACACGCCTTTGCTGCGTGTTGGCCGAGCCCGGCTGCTCACTTGAGGAGAATATCCCCACTCGTGCTCACCCTCCCGGCCCTGCAACAGCCGGCCAGAGGGTTGCATGAGAAGAAGGAGGAGGGTCATCTTTGGGGAAGCCACCACCATGGCTTGTGCTCAGTCCTCAGCTGCAGGACTGTCCCCCTTTCTGTCATACCTTCCTCCCGGACCCCATTCCTACCCCGCCAGCCCTCATGTTACCGAGGTTGGCATTGGCCGTGGCTGGGTTGGGGCAGTGTCTCGGGGTAGAGAGCAGGTCGCGTGACCGGGTCGGTAGGGAGCTGCAGGAGAGGGGTCAAAGAGCCACATGCGGCTCCAGAGCCATGGGTTGCACCCAGACTAGACCATGATTGTTCTGGACACCCTGTTAAAGGTATCATTAAGTACACTAGACTTAAGTCTGTTGAGTGTTGGGAAATATTAAGAACTATTGCAGAAGATATTATGAGGAAATTCAGATGAAGGAAGAATTAGAAGATTGGGTGGTGTGAGTGGGTGGGGGATTGTCTTTTGCTCATAAAATCATAATTTCAGCTGACTGTCTTTCATGCAGCATCCGCGAACAATAGCCCAAAGTTCAACATGAACAGCACCTTTATGTTGCCAGAAGACACACCTATAGGTTAGTGACGGAGAAAGCTTTGTTTGGAATGCAAAAAATGAAAGGCAGTATTTCTATATATGTCAATGGTATTTTTCATAGCCTTCCTAGGCTAAGACCTATAAATGAAACAGACAGTGAATCCCATCATTTCAGCCAGTGGTTGTGATGATGGAGGAACTATAAGCCTATGCATACTGAGGACTTGGTAAGAGGATTATGGTAAGAGGACATGATAAGAGGCTTCCAAAGTCTATCCAGACCTGGTTATGCTAGCAGACCTGGGCACCCCAGGGGATGGGCGAAGTTAATATTAATATCCCTACCTCCATTATTTGTTATTTTGGTTCTGTTTTTATAGTTTTTAATATTTAAAAAATTTTTTTAATGATAATACTTTTGCTTTAATTTTGCTGTACGCCACCTAGAGTCCCTATTTTATGAGATGGGTGGCTATATTACTTAAATAAATAAAATAAAATGGGAACCCAGAAACCATTTAGGTTTCTTTCAAAAGGTGTGGCTTTAGGGAGATGACTGGGAGGGGGGAGGGAGTCTGTGGCCATAAGGATTTTTTTAAAAAAACAGGTATCTCTCTGGTTCTTTCCTCCCACCTTCTCTGCTTCTGGCCCTCATTTTTCATTGCAGGCACCTTGGTTTTTCAGTTGGTGGCAGAGGATGTTGAAAATGATACATTATACTACAGCATTGGGGGTGAAAATGCTTACTACTTCTCACTTGATAGTAGAACAGGCAATGTGATGCTGAAGCAATCTGTGGATTATGAGGTAAAGTTATGAAGGGACATAACCAGAGATAGGGCAAGTGGGATGGCAACTCTGGCAACCTCCTTCTGAACAAGAGGTAGACCTCATTCAGTGACCACAATTGGGAGTGCCAACTCAGTCATTAAGTGAAATTATTGTTAAGTGAAATCGCAACTGTATTTAGTATCTTACTTCAGCTTTCTTTTCCTTTATGGACTTGCAAAGATGATAAATGTAAGGATTGGTCATAATGTTATTTTTTCATCACTGTCATAACTGCAAACAAGTTGCTAAATAAGGACTACCTATATTTCAAATGTGGCTTTCTCAATCGTTCCTTTGTATCTGTGTAAATCAGAAACATGAGCATTGTGTTAAAGATCTTGCACTATTTCTAGCATTACTATGCTTTTGTTGTTGTTGCTCCTTAACTATCCCTGTAATGTGATGCAAGGATAGGAAAGACGTGTCTGCTTCCGTTAAATATATAGATGTGTGAGCACATACTGTAGGCATGCAAACTGAATCTACCATGGATGACATTTTAATATACATATATATTCAGGGTATAAACCCCATTTTGATAATTGAATAAAGTAAGGGCTGGTCAATGGGGGGACATTGGCATGTGAAAAGCTCCATGCCTTTAAAAAAGAAAAAAAGCAATTGCTCTGTTCCTCATACACAGTAGCAATTCTTCAGGAGACGCCATTGACAGGAACTCTTTAGCTGTCCCCTCAGAGCAAAGAAGGGACTTTGGGTGATTCTGCCATGGCGGCAGAGAGTGAGTGGAATCAATCAATTTGTAAAAAGGAGATCAAAGGGGAAATAAAAAGGGCAGAGGCACACTGAGACTGTGACAAGAGCATATGGAGAAAAAGGCTAATGTTCAGTGTGTTAAGACTGGTATTTCCTATGCCAAGATATGGCTATATGCAAGTCATTTATTTTCACTATTTACCAGTAAGTCTTTGTAAATAATGGAATGTTCATAATATATTACATAAATTTTATTGCATTGACATCTGCATCAGTGGTGGGTTTCACTTACTTTTGCTACTGGTTCGTTTGCGCCCGGGCCACTTTGCATGCACAGAAGCTTCTGCGCATGCGCAGAGGATATTTGATGATGTCCGGGTGAGTGGGCAGAGTCTCCCACTGCCGCTGGTACCAGTTCACTCGAACCGGGGCCAACCAGGAGCAACCCACCACTGATCTGCATTGAAAGAATACATTGTACCAAGATTTATAACATTGCAATAAAAGAACCCCCCCCCCCCAAATTTTTTGAAGTACATGGACAAGAACTTTTTAGCTTCCCCAAAAGTTGGCTACAAGTCAAGTTGAAGGCGAATATATGTGTCCCAGGATAATGTTGCAGGTTCCAATCTGGGTCAGTTTATAGAAGTTGAGAACTACTGGATGGGAAACAGCTTTCTTATTTTTAGGAATCCCTCTTTCTTACAACAACATGGTTTCTTCCCTTGGTGTTGTGCTTCGTACTTCTGAATTTTCCACATCTCTATCGGTACATTTGCATTTGCTTTTAACTGCCCCTGAATTAGATATTAACTCATGTCAGCCTGAAAGACTTCAATGGATCCGTCCTTCATGAATTTATCCAACCTTTTACAGCTATCGGAATTAGAGACTTAATATCAGATAATGTAGGAATGAATTCCACAAATTAATTACAGTGTAATTTCTTTGTTCTAAAATGCATTCCATCCAACTTAATTGGATGACCCCTGATCCTAATGTTCTGAGAGGAGGGAAGAAAAAATGTCCATTGTTTTTCTCCAGGTCATGCACGAAGTCACATACTTTGATCATATCCAAGTTGCCCTTTTCTAAGCTAAAACGCTTCAAATTTTCTAGTTTTTTTTTCTTGCAAGAAAAATATTCAGGCTCCCTGTTCTGATAATTTGAGCTGCCCTTTTTGCAGCTCTGTTACTGTATATCCTTTTTCAAATGTGCCAGAATTATGCACATATATACCATATATTTATTTAAGGACATTACTCTTTTCACAGTTTTTATTTACAACCACTTTCTAATTATACCCGACAGGGAATTTGTCCCTTTCACAACTGCCTTTGTTGAATTCTTGGTTGTGACCCTAAGAACTTTTTCCTTGTTATGTATAGAAAGCTCAGAGTGTACCACCAGTGCATTTGTGTAATTAAGAGTTTGCTCCATTGTGCATTTCTTTTGTCTCATTTAAATTAAAATGTATTGGATACTTAATTAATATTCATCTTTTTTTTTCTTGGATTACCATTGTCTCTAATTTGCCCAAAAGAGACATTAAGATGATTGGGCTAAAAATTACTTATCTCCCACACGTATCCTTCTTTCTTTTTTTCTTTTTTCTTTAAAAAAGGTGTCTTCACAAAATCTTTTGAACAGGAAGTAATCAGATTGACCCAGAATCAATAAAGACACAAAGTACTGGAAATTTAGACTGTTTTTTTTTTTAATCTTTCTTCAATGACTGATGGAGACTTGTTGTAGAAAAGAAGGAAAGATTGCCAAAAAAGAGAGATAGGAATTGTAAATTATAAATGCCTTCAGCTCGTTCAGAAATTAATACTTTACTCATAAAAGATGGTATTTCTACTGGCTTTATCTACACTGTACTTTAAATTTTACTATGTCTTTATATTTTTCTAGGCTCAGTCTTCAATATATTCGTTTATTACTGATCTCCATATTTATTTTATCTTAAGCCCTCTCTCTCCCTATGGCCACTCTCTGTAGAGATATACTTCAGAATTCAAAGTATCTTTTAATCTGTTGTTATTTTAGGTTCTTATTTCCATTCTTCTCTGTCAGAGTCTTGGCTGTTTCTTTGCTGCTGCTGCTGCTTCTGCATTCCCAGCTGGGCTTCTTGACCCTTTTTTTCTTACAAAACTTGGCTCCAGCCAAGTAGAAAAACTTTTCCTTAGAGCCAGCTCTGAGGGAAGGAAAAACCAGTTTGCACACTCCAGTTTTCTAGTTTGTCTCTTTACTTCTACTCCTGGGCTTGGAGTTTGACTATTCAGTCTATTCTTCTTCATGAGGCCTATGGCTGCAGAGAGCTCCAGGCAGACATTTTGTCCCCCCCCCCACTCCTCCCCCACCTATCCAATGCTGCTCTTTGATTGGCAGTTGCATCATGCTGGTGCTGTGGTATGTGTATTTGGGTATGTCTACCTTATAATCAGCTCCGTCCATCTCTTTTTCCACATTGTCACATTGGTTACCTGTCAGACCTTTGGCACTTTAAAGGACAAATTACATCTTTGACATTTAAGTTCTCAATTAGATACTGGGGAGAAAACTGGTGTTCTAATTTTTTTCAATAAACTAGATTTTATACCCTCTTTGATAACCAAAGCGTTACTCCCTCCAGTGCCATATTGCCTCTTATGCTGCATCTTACTCAGACTCTTTAATTCATCCTTTTTAGATAGGATTGCTCCATGCATAGTACAGTTTTGACCAATTCACGTCATTGTTATTTGGATTCTAAATCTGGTAATCAGCTAAGTCTTGGGCAACCTTATTAAAAGAAATCCCACCTATGTCCTGCTGGCACCAGATATCTCAAGTCCTATGTATATTAATGTGATCAGGAGCTCTGTGTGCCCACTAAGCCAAAAACTCTTTTACCTCTAGATATCGAATGCTTTCTTGCAATTTATCCATTGTTTTTATTGTCTCATCTCATCTTTGCTGCAAACAACTGGTTCTTAGCCTACATTCCCAAAATATTTGTGAGCCGGAAGGCTTCAGATTAAAATTCTTTTCTTTTTTCTATAGCTTGTATACAGCAGTGATTGCTTCCTTCTGTTCTACCAGGTTATTCTCATTCTCAACAATATTTAATTTTTCATCTGTAATCAGATGAACATCATCAACAGCATCTCCCTCAACTGATGAACATCATCATCAACTCCCCCACCCCACCTCCTTGTCCCATCCCAATCTGGCTCAGAGGCTTTTAGCACAGACATCCAAGAAACATTATAGAACCTCAGCTTGTCCTCTATACACTATAGACCAGAGGTGGGTTTCAGCATGTTCTGACCAGTTCTGCAGAACCAGTAGCGGAAATTTTGAGTAGTTCAGAGAACCAGTATAAATACCACCTCTGATTGGCCCCGCCCCCATCTATTGTCTGCCTCCCAAGTCCCAGCTGATTGGGAGGATATGGGGATTTTGCAGTAACATTCCCTGCCACGCCCACCAAGCCATGCCCACCAAACCATGCCACTCTCACCAAGCCACACCCACAGAACCGGTAGTAAAAAATTTTGAAACCCACCACTGCTCTAGACCAGTGTTTCTCAATCTGGGCCACTGTAAAATGTGTGGACATGCCGGCTGGGGAATTCTAGGAGTTAAAGTCCACAGATCTTAAAGTTGCTAGTAGATTACAGTATCTTATATATAGTGTAAACTGGGAGCCTAACAGTGGTGGGTTTCAACAGGTGTTACCAGTGGTTTGTTTCGTGCATGCGCTTTGCGCACAATGAAATTATCTGGACTTCTTTCAATCAAGTTTCAGGCCTGGATGTGTGACACAAATACCATTTTTTAAGATTATCTGTGGTGGGAGCAGGATGGGGATACTGCATCCATCTTTGTTCTTCTTGACCTCTCAGTAGCTTCTGTTCATTGACCACATCCATTAGGGGTGAGGGCACAGCTTTGTGCTGGTCCATCTCCTTCCTCTGAGGCTGGTCCCTATCAGTGTTGATAGGAAGTGAGTGGTCTCTTTTTCGTGGGTTGTCACAGGGCTCAGGGCTCTTTCAACATCTACATGGAGTCACTAAGTAGAATCATCTGCCATTATGGAATGATGTATCATCAGTATGCTACCCAGTTATACATCTTCCAGTTCGGACCGGATCGCCTGATCCAGTAGCAATGGCGGGTGGTTCAGAGAACCGGTAACAAAAATCCCTGCGTCCCCCCCCACCATGCCCAGCTGAGCCGCAGGATCATCAGAGGCTTTTTTTTTTTACTTTTAAAAGCATTTTTTCTACAACCTCTTCCGACGAAAAAATGCTTTTAAAAGTTAAAAAAAAAAAGCCTCTGATGATCCTGCGGCTCAGCTGGGATCGTCAGAGGCTTTTCAAAGCATTTTTTTCTGCAACCTCTTGGCCGAAGAGGTGGTAAAAAAAATGCTTTGAAAAGTCTCGGACGATCCCAGCTGAGTTGCCTGATCAGCAGAGAGGCATTTTTTAAAAAGCCTCTCTGACGATCCCAGCTGAGTTGCCTGATCAGCAGAGGCTTTTCAAAGCATTAGAAAAAATGCTTTGAAGACTTAAAAAAAAAATTGGCCACGCCCACCCAGTCACATTAACCCCACCACCACCAAGCCACGCCCACAGAACCTGTAGTAACAAATTTTACATTTCACCCCTGGATGGCAGGCCTGGCTAGGAGGATCTTTGCTCAACTTTGTGTTGTGCACCAGTTACATCCTTTCCTGCACAGGGAGGCTCTCCGCTCAATTATTCATTCCCTGGTCATCTCTCATCTGGATCATTGCAATGCGCTCTGCATGGGGTACCATGGAAAAGTATCCAGAAGCTTCTGCTGATGAAGAATGTGGCTATGCCAGCAATTTTGGGTGCCCCAAGGATGGACATGTAACAGCTTTTATTAATACGGGTAGTGCTTGACTTACAACCACAATTGAGCCCAACATTGCTGTTGCTAAATGAGACAGTTGTTAAGTGAATTTTGCCCCATTTTACAACCTTTCTTGCCACAGTTTTTAAGTGAATGACTGCAGTTGTTAAGTTAGTAACATGGTTATTAAATAAATCTTCCCCATTTACTTTGCTTGTCACTTAGACACTGCAGTTGTGATAAATACGAGTCAGTTGCCAAAAGTTTGAATTTTGATCACGTGATCATGGGGGTGCTGCAATGGTTGTGTGTGCAAAACGGTCATAAGCCATTTTTTTCCAGTGCTGTTGTAACTTTGAACAGTCATTAAATGAACTGTTGTAAGTCGAGGACTACCTGTGTGTTGTATCTTTGATATAATTTCTATGGTTTTCTATGTTTACTTATTTATTAATTTTATATGCTGCCCATCTCACTCTAAAAAGCAGTGAGATGGACAGTAAATAAATACGACTTATTTATCAACCAGATTGAAACCAAAGTATGATCATCATGCTGGCATATCATTATTAAAGTACTTCTGCTTTGCACTTTATTTTCAGCAAACAAAAGTTATCCTGCTCAATGTGGAAGTGACAGACAAGATAACTTTACCAGTAAGTAAAGTGGGAAAGTGGGGCATAGAATCCCTGTGGAAGCGGCCTATGATGGGGAATAGGGTGACGAGGTGTATTTGCTACCCCGTGGTCAGTTAGGAGCTAGAGCAGGGGCCTCTAAGCTTTGCTGGCTAGGGAATTCTGGGAGTTGAAGTCCGCCAGGCTTAAAGTTGCCAAGGTTGGAGACCCCTGAACTAAAGCACTGTTTGAACAAGCTACACTTTGACTAAAGCCACTGAGGTAAATTAAAATTAGTTATAACATTGAGAAAAGCCTCCACACAACTTTGCCTAGATAGCCAGATGCAAAACCAAATGTAACAGCTGTGCTGAAAACATTTCTGTGGTTGCTGTTTTTCTTATCCATTAACTTGCTGAGCTGCAACTGCTATTGTTGATTACGATGACAGTGATGATTACATTTTTATATGCTGACTACTGGAGTTTTGCCTTTTATTCTGTTGACTAGTAGAGTTTCAAGTCTTATACTTTTGGGTTCAGGGCCTGATCTGCCTTGTATATGTGTTATCATATCTCTACAGCCCTTTTCTACTCATGAATGCTAAAGCCCTTCCATTTAGTCTCTTATATCATTAGTTTTTAACTTTCTTCTTTTTTATCAACAGACCTCTAAAAAAATCACTATCATTATAAATGACCGGAATGACAATAAACCAATATTCCAGAATGAACCTTATCTGATAGATGTCCTTGAGGTATTTAATATCCATCTTATTTTCTGCTCAAGTTTATTCTAGAAAAGTTATTTATGTGTGACTGTGAGTCCCATACATATAATCGAGTTACAGTGGTAATTTGGACCAGAATATCCAACGTTAAGCGATTCACTCATAAAACATGACATTACATGATCACATTGCTTAGTGGCTGCTATTCTGACAATCTCTGTGGCCATTGTTAACTGAATCCCACTGATCGTTAGGTGAGGACCCACACTGATCCAAGCCGTTCCCAGCTTGGGCCCTCCCATCCTGATCCTTGGAAAAGTAAGGCCCTCCCTCCTCTACCTCCTCTTCAAGTCCCCCCACCCACCTATCTCTCCCCCACCCCATCTCTCCCCTGCTGGCTTTGCACTTGGTGTGGCCTGCTGCCTTATCCAAATCACATGGGGATTTCCTATGACGTTTTGAAGCCTTCCAAAGCAGAGGTGGGATTCTACCAATTCTACCCGGTTCAGGAGAACCGGCAGAGGCAGTGACAGGAGGCTCCGCCCACTCACCCGGACGTCATCACGGACGCTCTGCGCATGCACAGAGGTGGCATGTACACTCCTAGTTCCGAACCGGTAGTGAACGTAAGTGAATACCACTACTGTTCCAAAGCCATGCAAGAATTAGAAATGAAGATGGGGAAATGAAGGAGTGGGATTAAGCATTCCCGGGGTTGCCAAATGTCAGAATTTTAATTACATCACCATGGGTGTGCTGCAACAGTTGTAACTTTGGGGACCAGACATAATTACCATTCATTCAGCATCACTATAACTTCTAAATCATCTCCTAACAAATTATTGTTAACTCTGAATTATAAACACGTGTTGGAAGAAATGTCCATCTGGGGACAAGTGGGGAGAAAGATACTGGAAACATGGAAGCTGTTTGGAAAGATGGTTTAATGGTGGACAGGACCATATGGTTTGAGGTTCTGGGCAATCGAGCACATGGGTGAGAGAGAGAGAGATTGATTTATACCCTCTCTTGGGCCCCGCCTTGTAGCTTCCTGTTCCTGTGTAAGAAATGTATTCTGATTGATTGTCAGACTCCCATGGGGCCATGCGGGGGTAACTTTGTAGGTTGTCTTGAGTCCCAGGCTTGGTTGAATCTTGCTGGGTGATGTAACGAAGGGGTTTTGGGCAATTCCTATTATGGCTTAATGGCTTTGCCCTTGTTTGGATTTTGAGTAAATGCTAATCCTATCACCCTGGAGCTGAAGGTCTTTTGTAGATAAGATGGCCCAGTCTTTTGTCTTGTAGATAGGTTGGCACCAGTCTTTCTGGGGCTATTAGCAAAGGTGGGGACTGATTTCCAAAAGCATGTTTCTCCTTTTCTCATTCAGGGAGGTATAATATTCCGCCTTTTTAATATTTCCTAGAATATTTCATTCTTCTAGGAGAAGGGTGGGTGCTAACTTCCTACACACGTTAAATATTTTTTTAAAAAGTAGACCTGTACAATGATTGGCAAAGGTTAATCATGGAAACAATGGAGATCAAGGGTGTGTATGTTTTGAAAATGAATTCAGAGAAATGCTACAAAGTTCACCACAAGCATGCATGCAGGACTTCCCTGCCATTCATTGAAGCAGCTTCTCTTGTATTCAATTTCTGTGGGAATTTAAAAAAAATGGGATTAACCTGTCACAACTGCAAGGACATTATATCATTTGGATACCTATATTTGAGAAAGAACTTCTGTATCTAACTCTGTCCATTTCAGCCACACAATTTCATTCTTACTGGACTCCTTTCTAACATAGTACTGTATATGCTAAACACTATGGATACTGTTACAAGCAAGGAATGAATGAAACTACTTCGGAATGGGAATAAGAAAAACGAGAAAGAACTGCTGTTTTAAATAGAGATTTTAAGAACTTGTTGGATGAAACAAGTAATAATTTAAAATCAGCAGGAGATTTAGATGGTATTTACAGTAGATTACTTACTTAACGATGAAGCCTAAATTGGCAATATGTTAAATCTGTGTCATGCAGCATGATCTGTATATTTAAAACGGTTTAGACAGAAAGCTTCATTGCCGTATCAATGGCAACTCTCCCTCCCCCAGCCTAATTGCTATCAAAATAATGGATTTTTGATATGATTGCAGACAATTAAGAAAGGTTTAATTCTCTTTTCCCTATATATTGCAATCCCAATTGGCACAAAATAATTTATTGTTTAATTAAATAGTAATTAATAAAGCTATACTTTATTTTGTGCACTGTAATTTAAACATAGTGAATAATTAGGCCGTTTTCCTCAGACATTTTGATCTTGCATCATTCCTTACATGTTACCTCAAGTTTATTTCAACATGTAGAATGGGAGCCTTTGCATGTTGGACTAACTAAATCTGAACACTTTTTAACAGTAAAGAAATCAAGGGATAGAGAAAGCTGCTTGTTTTCTCCAGCATCAGGGCTGGATTGAGACACAGAATGAGCTGTTAGGCCTCATGTAGTGCTTCTTATGTCCCAGAGAAATAGCTCCACATTACCCAAGCTTCTGCCCTTCAGAGATAGTGGGCTGTAACTCCTCAATTGCCCTCTTAGCTGAGTTTTCGGTAGCTTGCAGTGCTTCATATCTTCAGGACATCATGACTGGCATACATGGAAAAGGCTTAGGAAAAATGCTATAACTTCTAGTTTTGCCATTGTTTTTTTTTTTCAAACAACCCAGGGATTTACCTTATTAGATAATTTTTAATATGACAATGCTCATCTCCAAGATAGTCCACAGGAAGTACTTTGGATTTTACAACACCTCCTTCCTATTGATTAAAGCAGCCCAATTGCTTTAAAGAGCCTTGGTAGTACAGTGGTCTAAAGCACCCTGTTATTAAGAACAGCTGCCTGCAATTACTGCAGGTTCGAATCTCACCAAGGCTCAAGGTTGACTCAGCCTTCCATCCTTTCTAAGGTAGGTAAATTGAGGACCCAGTTGTGGGGGCAATAAGCTGACTTTGTATAAAAATATACAAAAGAATGAAGGCTATTGCTTACCGCATTGTAAGCCATCCTGAGTCTCCGGAGAAGGGCGGCATATAAATCAAAATTAAAAAAATAAAAAAGAACTCAGTAATGGTGCCACTGTTTAAGGAATGCAGTAGTTAATGCATCTCTTCAAGCAGTGGTACCTTTTTTTGAGGTTCACTTTGCTTAAAGCAGAAAAGTGTTGCCCTTATGTGAGGTCCAAGGCAATTATTCAGAATCATTTTCAAAGCATGTGTGGTTCTGTTAAATGATTTGTATTTTAGCTTTGGATATTATATGTAGCTTCTGTTGCTCTTCCTTCAACTCACTCCAAGTCTGCAAACCGATTAACTTTGTTCCAGAACACAACAATTGGTACCCCAATCTATGATGTGAGAGCTGTGGATATTGATAGTGAAAATGCTGGACAGGTATCCTATAAAATCATAGAGGTGAGTGGGACCCCACAGTCACACTGAGGGGAGGATGCTATACCCCATATATATAGTGAATCCTGGCAGATGCCGTGTGAGGTACGAATCCTATTCGAGGTTGCCCATTGCTGGCATGGTAATTTAAAAAGTGCTGGCATGGCACTTTTAGGTAGGGTCATTTATATACTTACCTGTGTCTGGGCGATCAGCAACCCATTTTCATTGAGAAAAACTGTCAAACTGTAGATCACATTGTAGCCAGTTTATAAGTGAGGGCGTTACTTGTCCAATATTGATTATTTTTTTCACATAAACAAAGCTGCATTTCAATGGTTAGATTATCTAGATATTGGTATATGAATATAGATTTTTAATATTTATATTTTACTGTGTTTTTTAATCCAGATGAAATGTTAATATATATTGCAAGTCCATATATGATATATATGGTAGGTAGGTAGATACTAGATAGATAGATAGATAGTTAGTTAGTTATATAGATAGATAGATAGATAGATAGATAGATAGATAGATAGATAGATAGATAGATAGATAGATATAGATGAATGTCCAAATGCTGGCATGTTGAATATTCTAAGTAATGTCTGTCCAATGGCACTTGTGCAGAAATTGATTCTTAGGATTGTGAATTTCCCCATTTAATGCATTAATTTAATACATAAAGCCAGTTGTAAGGTATCTTTCTGAAAGTAAAAAGTTGCAGAAAAAGTGCACATTTCTCTTTGAGAAATATTTCTCAGAAGAATGTACGTTTCTGAGAGTTCCAAGCAAAAAGTGTACTGTAGTCACAATTGCAGAAGATATTTATATCAAGGCCATTTAAAGACATCAGGTTAATTTACATTTTACGTAATCATATTGGAGAATTTTGGTTCAAATCTATCTCTGAATTTGCATTAATAAAAATGGAATTCAAAAGAAATTACATACAGTACAAGAATTTCAAAAGTTAGTTAGAAATGAAAATGTATGATGATATTTAAAGACTTACTTTTTAAAATCGTAAATAGAATCTTGATGAGACATATCGCTAGTTCTCGTCTTTCAACCACAATTGGGATCAGAATTTCTGTTGCTAAGTGAGGCAGTTGTTAAGTGAGTCCTACATACTTTTACACCCTTTTTGTCATGGTTGTTAAGCAAATCACTGCAAGTGCTAAGTGAATCACACAGTCGATACTTGAAACCAGCTTTCCCTGTTGACTTTGCTTGTTGGTAGACACCTGAGTAGGTTGAAATGGTAATCACATGACATCATCAATGCTGCAACCATTGTTACTAGATGTTGTACACATTGCTACATAAACTGAGAATTCATATGACCACTGGTGAAGGTTATTTTAACCTAACTAATTTATAATATCTTCAGGACTTGCCACAAAGTCATCCTTGAGGAATGTGCATTTTATTCAAGGCAAAGTTTTGTGTTTTGTTACTGTTCACGTTTCTACCATGTGACTCCTTTACAGGTCATTCCAAACAATGCAGAGAATCGTCAGCTTTTTTACATTCTGCAAAATGGCACTGTGGTGTTGAACGGCTCACTCAGTTACAACAATAAGAGCACTTTCTATCGAATCAAGATCTTTGCTACGGTGAGGCTCAGGAAGATTCAGAGGCAGGGAAGGGATGGTAATCTCATTTCTGTGGAGAAGAAAGACTAGGTGCTTAATTGCCACGAATAAGACACTGTGCCTAGTAGCTTTCAAATGGGTTCTTTGACAAGGATTTGTATTGGTGTCTCAACAGTTAGCCCATGGGTGTGCTAAGACTGCAAATCCCAGAATTCACATGTAGCATGGGGTTGTAGTCCCAACATTGTCAGTGAAAACTGGATAGGGGACTCCAGCATAAGTATTTCTCTCTCCCTTGTAAGTCTTGAGCAGGTTTATGGGGATATGACTAACAGTAGGGCAAGAACTATAAATAAATAAACTAGATGGGATTATGCAGTATGTTTTGTTAAGCATTGTGTCGGTAATTCAGGTCCTAGATTAATCAAATCAGATTAGGAAGCAGTGGAAAGGACCTGTTGTAACTGAGGCTGTCCTTCCTCCTCCTCCTTTGGATCTGCACTATGGCCCACTCACCAGTAACCAAGCAGATGCCCAGAGTGCAGAATCCTGAGGAGCTTTTCACCAACCTGGAGCACATCAGGAAGGGCTCCTTCCTCCTTCAAAGCATCAATAACTGAATGCAGCAGTTCAGGAGTTGTTGTTAAAATCATCAATCTTGAGGAAGCCAAGGATGACATTGATCACATCAGCAGGAAATAATGGTTCTCAGCCATTGTGATAGTCCTTATGTCACAAAATATTGTGGCACCTGTTTGAAAAGCATAAAGTTGTGGATAATAATGGAATATTTAGGTTGGCTCTGAATTTGCTCTGGGCTGGCCATTTGATGAAGTCCAGATTTGTAGGATGCTAAAGGAGATCTTGAAAAGTCTCCAGTAACTTCAGAAAAGGTTTAGGAATGAGATGTACATTGTAAATAACTATCTCTTTATCTGTACCTGCTTCAGTTTAAATGTTATTGCCATTTTTGGGTTTTTTTTAAATCTATTAAAACTACTCAAACTATTTCTTCTTTTGGTCTCCCCCGCTCCTCCAAGCATCTTTCAGAGAGATAGATTCCCAATTATTCTTAGCTTACTTTGACTGGGGTGATTAAAAATCCACACCATATATTTTTAGATATTGGATTGTGGAAGATAGTTTTCTAGATTGTTTAGATATTGATAAACCTCTATAACAATTATATTGGAAAACTTTCTTTATCTGACAGATGCTGCATTTTAATTCAACTACATTTTAAGAGAAGTAATATCCTACACAGGATAAAGGTTTTAGAGAAACCATGTTTTATTATAACATTATAGCCAAATGTCCAAATATATATATATATTAAATTGTTTGGAGAAAAAAAGGGGAAGGAACAGAGAAGACAAATACATAAACACTGTCACATAAGAACAATTAATTATCCTTTCTAATGAAGTTACCTACCTGAATAGCCTTGTTAAGTAGATTGGAGAAAGAATATCTTTCAATTCTTGATCTAGATCAGAGCTCTCAAATTTCCAGCCCACAGGCCAGATGCATCATGCACTGGCCACGCCCACACCTGGTTTAGCGAAGGGGAAAAATGTCCCAATACATCACAAGATGCTGCCGTGACGACGTGAGTTTGACACCCCTGATCTAGATGATTCCAAGATATGAATTGAGATGAACTCTTCCACATTTATATAAAGCTAGCAAAAGACAAACCTTTTATTTTTTTATACAACGGTGTAATAAAATCAGTTTCTAAAATCTGTGATTTAGATAGGCAATCAAAAAACTGTTAAAAATGCCTCCATCACCCTCAGTTCTAAGTTTACTATTCAGAACAATTAATCTATTTCAGTTAAATGCAACACTATGAAAGAACAGCTTTAGATCTGCGTATTTATTCAGAAAAAAAATCAGAAGAGGTGTTTTTCAAGGTTTGTTTTTTAATGGAAATGCAATCTCCTAGATACTCTGGGTGTGTTTTCAGTTACATCAAAATACAAGGATTCATCACAGTGCTACCATAGATAGGTAAAATGTCAATTCAGATGACTTATGGTTACTTCTGTGTATTCTAGGACAATGGAGGATTGTGGAATGGTTTTTTAATCTACCAGAACAATACGGCTTATATATCTGTGACAGTTATTGATGTTCCAGATCTGGATCCAGAGTTTTTGGGAGAGCCATATGTAGCCTCAGTGTCAGAGAACTGCCCTCTGGTAAGAACTTTCTCACCTGTATATGATAAAACCTGTATATTGCAAAACCTGGCTTTCAAATCTTAAAGCTTCAAAATTTCCTACTATATCCATTTGGGGGCTAAGCATAGTAAAATCATGGGATGGCACTGAATTTAAAATATAAACAGAGGCATAATATAATAAACAAAGCCTACATAATTTGAAGGTATTTCCTTCTAAAATTCCTCAGTAGGTAGCTCCGCAATTACCATTGAGAAGATTCTGTCTTAACTTCTAGAGGTGAGGAGATTTTTTTCCCCCCCTCCAAAATCAGAAATCATTGGCAGGTTGATTCAGAAAGTGGTCCTTCCATTTAGGGCTGGGGAGCAATTTGTTTCCCTGTGAACAGCAAAGCAGTTTCATGCATGAAATGTCTTTGAATATTAGTAGCTCGGATCATTAGTTATGTTGCTGGTTTGAGCTCCAAGCTTGGCAATTTGGTTGCAAAAGTTTTGTCCACATTCGAGGAGACATCTTCAATGCACTTTGGATTGTTGTGTATAGTTGCAAGCACCTTACGTCATGCATAGTTGCAAGCACCTTAAGAAGTTGCATAAAAGAGTCACATGAATGCCCCCATGTGCTATCAAATACCTTTTTACCTTATATCTAAAGCGCTACTACCTCATTTATTCTAGTCCTACATCATCCTAGTTTTCATTGGTGCATAGAAACTATTGGAGTGCCAGTGGCATTAATCCAAATCTTATATAACGTACAGCTCATTTTGCGGTTGCTGAAGTTTTTAACCACCTTTACAGATAACTCATCAAAGCATGAATTACTATAGCCAGAATTTTATTCTCCAAGATAAATTGCAGATATCATATCAGACAAAGATATACAAATACCCATCTTCTGCATATTCCGATCATCATCAGAGGAGCCAATCTATATTGATTTCTAATGACCAGATGGTAACAAGTTTTACTAAGCTGCGAAGTTCATTATTGTAGTATAGCAGAGGATTTTTTTAAAAAAGAAAACTGGATATTGTGACATCGTATCACTCTAAGACATTTAAAAAAAGACAGGAAATTAATAATTATAACAGGTGGTGAAATCCAGTTCTGCGTTTGTGAATCCTCATTTTGCCTCTGTGTCCTTTCCCTTGAGAAAAAAAATGTTACAAATTTCTTGTGTCTAATCATGCTTGGCCAAACAAAGCATTCATCTTCTACCAGTCTTCTAGTATTTTTTTTATAATCCAAAGTGAACACACTGAATATATACTTGATCTAATTCCCCTTCCTGCAAGCCAGCCTGCTGACATCTTTAAGTTTTGAATGTCATCAATATCTGCTTCCAATGTGAATCTAAATAAAAGCACATCGTATATGAATGATTTCATGCTGACAAAATGTTCTTAAAAAAACAGCCAGAGCAGATTTCTGAATGCTTTTCCATTGCTTCTTGTCATAGACATAGACATGGAATAACTTTATTGTCAGTTTGAATGTACACTAACTGGCATACATTAAAATAAAATTTTGTTGCATACAGCTCTCAAAGGGCCACTACCTCCAATATACACTACATAAACATGGCAAAATAAATAAAATACAAAATTATGCATATACCCACATATATTATATGACACAGAGAAACAACACAGTCTAGTTCGGATGTATACATGTACATGGCGAGAGAAATGGATCTTGTGAATATACCAGACGGATGGCATAGGGAACAAAGCTGTTACAGAATCTGGAAGTCCTGCTAGAAATACTTTGAAATCTCCTCCCAGAGGGGAGCAACAGAAACAGACCGTAAAATGGGTGTGTGGGGTCTCTAACAATGCTTTGAGCTCTAAGCACATAGCGCTTATAAGCAATATCCTGAATAAATTGTCCCCTGGAGATCAAGACAGAATTGCATATTTAGACACCTGAAATTATTTTCCTGAACAGCAATGATTTATCTAGAAGGTGGATCACTTTATTTTCTTGGTGGAAGATTGTTTACCTTTTATTTATTATTTTTTTTTATAAAGCTAAAATTGTGCACAGCTGCAAGGGTTGATGAACACATTGGCAAATCAGGTTCTTTCTTTACATACTGTGGAGATACAAAATATGTCGTATCTTATTCGGGCTTTCTTCTTTCTAGGGTACTCCTATAATGACAGTATTGGCCATTGACAAGGACAAAGATGTGAATGATATAATCCTTTACAGTCTCATCAGTGAGTAAAGAGTCTGGGGAAGAGGGATATCAGGTGTGCAGACAGGATCAAATTTATGATTCCTGTTGTCTCCAACCGTGAAATTAATTATGCATACGCCTCTGATTTTTAATTACCATATTGATACTTTATGTCTACAAAATGCATAGCAGCACCTTTATATTTAGGAAATCATAGCTGATGTTCAGTCCTTTCCTGACACATTATTTTATTCATCAAAGCAGAAAGCCTGGCTCCTATCACATTCCTATCACAGTCGTCTTCTTGGCTTCCTTTGCATTAGAATTTTTCCTACAGTAGATATGGAATGTTTTCTATATATTTTGAACTTAAATTCCCACAATTTCTGTAGTGTAGGCCACTCCACTGCTTATCCATGCAATGGACAGTTCCAGAAATGGTTTCATCACTTAATCTTGACTATGTTGGATGACTGCAATCTTAAACTTTTTCTTGCCTCTCCATCCCAAGAGTTGGAGGAAGCGGGTGTCAGAGGACCTTCTTTAGGTTCTATAACACACCAAGTGATTAGAAAATTGTTCTTATACAAAAGATGCTTTTTTCAGGAGGCAACTGGACTTTCTTGTTTTTTCTTTGAAGACGTTTTGCTTCTCATCCAAGAAGCTTCTTCAGCTCTGACAGGATGGTGGGGAATGGAAGGATTTAGATTCCTTGCAGACAGCTGGTCATTTGCATCGTTTTAGAGGGTCGTTGAAGCACTTGGAGGTTTATCTGTGTTCTCAGGGTCACCTGAGTAGTGCTCCTGGTTCCTGTAGTCTGCAATTATTATTATTTTTTTGCAAATTACCAGCTGTCTGCAAGGAATATAAACCCTTATATTCTATCCTGTCAGAGCTGAAAAAGCTTCTTTGATAAGAAGCAAAACATCTTCAAAGAAAAAAACAAGAAAGTCCAGTTGCCTTCTGAAAAAGCACCTTTGGGACAACCATGACCTGGATGACTGAGAATCTCTACTGACTCTTATACAAAAGCACACCCCTTTCCTGAGGTCCAAATTAAAAGCTAAACACAATGACCATCCTTAGTGAAGGATTAACTTTTCCAACACTGCTGATAAGATGCTTTTCTGATTATCTCTCTCTCTAGATGCCAGTAACCTGTTTACAGTGAACCAGACCACAGGAGTCATCACTGTGAGTAGTGACCTGGACCGAGAAGGCGTGCCAGGTGAAGAGGTGCAATTTCAGATTGTTGTGAGTAGCAAAGCAGCCCTGGGAAATGGTTGGTCTATGTCCTCCTCTACCCCTGCTTTTTGTCAAAGGCCTATTAGTATACGAAAATCTTTTAGTATGCAACAGCATCAAATTACTAAACTGAGTAGATAGACCTCCAAACTAAGTGATCTCTCTTGCTTCAATGGACAGGCTCAAGAAAAAAACTTGAACATTTACCATCAAGTGGTACAAGTGACTTCCCAGGTGACCATCCATATCACTGATATCAACGATCACAAACCTCAGTTTTATTTATGCACGGGTCCTCCCTGCAACTTCACAGGCCCTACAGAGGTCAATGTTTCAGGTCAGATTGAGGAACATGCTTCTGCCAGAACATCTGTGGCCAACCTCAGCATTGTAGCCTATGATCCTGACAAGGTGAGCGTTTGGGGATTGTTACATATGTAAATAGCAAGTGAAGCCAGGGATGTAGGCTTCATTCAGGTCCGGGTTTAGCTGGACATTTGCATGCCCACCACTGATTGGTGGATTCAAACGGGGCCCGCCACTGATTGGTGGATTCAAATGGAGAGAAATGTAAAGCGTTGTCAGTGGCTGTATCGGTGGGACTGCTCCCTTTAAAAGGGAGTGCTGCCAGCTAAGCCTTTGTAGAAGTCACTCACTTAAATAAAGAGCTGAAGTTACTGTCTGTCCTCCTGCCTCTTCATTGCCTCCCACAGGGAGGCACAACAAATCTAACAGGGATTTGTTAGCTTTTTATCTTGCCTTTGCTTCAAATGCTCTAGGTGGAATTACAGGGTGGACTCCTATAGTGTAGTTTATCCTCACAACACCAGCCCTACAAAGTAGATTGGGCTAACAGCGATCAACTGTCCCCTAATCAGTGATTTTCCATGGCAGAGTGTGGAAACACCCTGGGTCTTTCCAATCCTAACCTAACCCCTTAAACTGCTACATAACAGTGGCTGGATTAGACATCTTCATGTAGTTCGTGCAAAGCTAGAGCAAAAAAAAAAAAAAAAATCAGTTCAGAACAAGGCTGGATGTGATTGACCATCTGGCAAAACTAGCCTGCTGTTTTATTCACTGAAGACTAGGAGTTTGAATTTGGACTAAAGGTAGATTTTAATTCTTTTGACCAACTACCACAGGGGGGTCAAACCCGATTTCATCAGGGTTGTGTTTGATCTCAGGGGGCCGGAGTGGGCATGACCAGGGTGGGTGTGGCCAGCTCGTTGTCACTCATATCAGGGGTGCCTGTGGTGGCCTGAGTGCTCTGCCAGAAAAAAACGGGCTCCCGAGCTCTGTTCTCTGCTGCAATGGTCTCCTGCAACCCTCTGCCATCAAAAACAGAGCTTTCAAGGACTGCATGTGGCCCTCCCAAGCTCCATTTTCTTTCTTTTCTTTTCAAGTTTATTTTTATTCGACATTTACATCTGTAAAATCTTAGTTACACTTTTACAGCTTTCCATCTTTGGTCATATCCATTTTATCCTGCGGCCAATTATATATATGTGCATTTTGTTCGTTACATACTTATTCATACAATTCATATAATCACTACATTATATACATACCTACTGCACATTGAATAATGCATTCTTACTATAATTTATTCTCTTAAAAAGTCACTATACATTGATTTTAGACAATTGAAATTTTGCGGCTCCGGGAAAATTCAGGAGTGAATCCAGGCAAACAGAAGAAAAGAAAACCAATACACAGCTACCTGCTATTTTCTATTGCCAAAAATCCCAGTCAGCTGTCACTCTCCTGGCTGATACTAATCAATTCTCCTGGTTGATAAAGTTCTTTCAGAATGTCCTGTCTTTTCTCTTGAACAGGGTGAAAATGGGACTTTCCAGCTGTTCCTGAGAGGTCCTGATGCACTGGCATTCTCAGTGTCACCCAGGCAGATTGTAAATGAAGGCACTGTTCAAGTGCTGGTGAGAAATTCAAGCCTTGTGGATTATGAAACCAGAACTACTATGAGTGTGGAGGTGAGAAAAAGAGAAAGGTGGGAAAGATCCTTTAATTGAAATGTAATCAAAACCAACGTTTTAACATTCTTTCTTCTGAGCACTGAATTACTCCTTAGACAGCTTTACTGTAGGTGGTGTAAGTGGGGAATACTTGGTACATTTGCATCTATACTCTGCAGATCTCAGACTATGTGGAAACTGGTTCTACTATGAATCGTGCAACCAAATAATCCCCATCTAGCTGCTGCCAAGGATATGGCTATCCCTTCTTCACAAATGTCAATAATTTGTTTGTTTGCTTGTTTGTTTGCTGCCTATCTCGCTGTGGGGCTACTCTAGATAGCTTACAATAATAAATGTAGATCTGAACTTGGGGAATGAGAAGGAATGCTGAGCCATTAAGCGGAGACTTTAGTCCTGAGAAAGAAGAAAGCATAAGGAAGGAACTCAAAACAACTCTGCTTTGATTCTGTTTGGTTTAAGATTGAGCGGAGAGAAAGTGATTGGCTTCTTTAGATTCTTCTATTCTTTTTGGTTACAATTCTATCCGGTTACACAGCATCTCTGCTGTTTCTTGATCTTGCTTAGCTCAAAGGGGCTAAGAGGTGCTAAACAATGTGCATGAGTTCTGATGGCCCTGCCTGTTTCTTCCTGAGACGGTAAGATTCATCCTGAAGGAAATTCTCTTCTGATTATGAGCATTTATTTATTTATTTAGTATTCATTCATTCATTCAATTTGTATGTCACCCATCTGACTGATACAGTGACTCTTATACATGAGATGAGCTTAGTAATTTGCTGCTTTTGTATGCTAACAGATTGTAGCAAATGATACTAGAAGGACAGTTGATTGCTGCTCTTTTGCCACGGTGACCATCCATCTTCTTGACATCAATGATCACAGGCCTGAATTCAGACAGACTGACTACAAGCTCTTTGTATTGGAAGAGAGCCCACCTGGTTTTATTGTAGCTTCTAATATCACAGTAAGAAACCTCTATGTCTTTTTGGGCTCCTGGTGTTAAAGACAATGGAGATAGAAACGCCTATTATCTCTATGACTTTATGGCTGTTTTACACCCATAGGATATTATGCTCCTTGTTTCTCCACAACCTGCATATTTCTTTAACCTTCCATTCAGCCATGTCCAATTCTCTGGAAAAGTCCCTGCAGTTTTCTTGGCAAGGTTTTTCAGAAGTGGTTTGCTGTTGCCTCCTTCCTGAGATGGAGAGAAAATGACTAGTCCAAGGTCACTAAGCTGTGATCTAACTAGAACTCACAGTCTCCTGGTTTCTAGATGGATGCCAACCCCTACACCAAAATGGCTCTCCATCCTGCACATAGATATATTTCAATTTTTCTTCTATCAATCTAGCAACAATTGATTTGGCCTTAAGACCTGCTATTAATCCAATCAGACCAAATACAGTATTTATTAGTAGAAAGAAAACCTATTTATATCCCAATTCTCTCCTTCCTGAGTTGCAGACTTCAAATCCTGATGAACCTATGATAGACAAATGGTTTCTTCTATTTATTTTTATTTTTTTGCAGGCCACTGATCCAGATAGTGGAAAGTTTGGTGAGATCACCTACCAATTACTGCCTAAGAACATGTAGGTATATACAGCGCAATAATTAACAGAGAGGAACAGAAAAAGCTTGTGTCAACGTTTTCTTGCTAAGTGAGTGTGATCACACAATTACAGATATGCTTGTTTGTTTTGCAGCCAATCAGATTTCACTGTGAATTCAATGAACGGTACAATATTTGTGGCCAATGGCAGTAAAATAAATTGGGGGATGCGCAATGTCTATTATGCCACTTTGCAAGCAATGGATGGTGACGGGCTGATTGGTTCTACCCAATTGGAGATCACAGTGATTGACATCAACAACAATCGTCCAGTTGTGATAGGTTCCTACAACTTCATGGTCATTGACGGCAACACCATCGAGCCTTTCAGGATCGAGGTAAAGCTAAAATGCCAGCTTCCTTTGTCTACTGAAACATTTCCCAAACTAGACTAATAGGCATTTTCAAACAAAACAAAATGTAATAGTTTGCTTCCTAGAAGAAATAATAATTCAATTATAGATTATAAACTTGGAAGTTTACCTTTGAAACTGAGATTATTTCACCAAATTGTGACTGTCCTGTTTCTTTCCAGTCCTACTTCAAAATCATGGAGCATTGGAATGTGATATTCTGAGTGTTTGTGTTTTTTAAAGATGGCATTGTCAATCATTCTAGAATATAGGCAGGAACTTCAGAATGCCACAATTATAGGTCACTTAACCTTTGGGTTTAAAAGAAATAGGAGTTCTTTCTATGCAAATGAGAACCCATAACACTCAAACCATTTATATGCATAGGTTTAAAACTGGTATGGGATATCCATTTATTTAAGGTATAGATTGACTTGAAGAATCCTTTGGTGGATTTTGCTCCTGGTTTATATACAGTATCTTGCCTCGCCAGTTTGGTGGATTAGGTATTCCAGTTCTTTGATTAGTATTGTTTTCTGCTTGTTTCTTTGTCTCGTGTTGGTCCTTGTGCGTTGGTTGGAAAGGATGTGCTTTGTTCTTTTTGTTTCCGCCTTTGCTTTTTTATTGTCTGTTTTGAATGGTATGTAAAAATGGTTTATCTTTATGTATCTATTGATGAGTGATTTTTCTGAATGCAAGCTTCCAGGAATTCTTTAGTGATTTTGGATATGGGTTGGCCTAAGATGTTTACAGTTTCCAAGTTAAAACTGTGGTTAAATCTGTCATGTGTTGTGGAATTAAGGAGTTGTCATTGTGTCTTCTGACTGCTAGTTAGTATTCATGGATGCACTCTGCTAGTCTTCTGCCTGCCCATCCTATATAGAGGCTGTTACAGTCTTTGCATTGTTCCTTGTAGATAACTCTTGATTTTTGTTCTTGGGCTTCTGGATGCTTTGATTTAATTAATATGTTTGGGAGACCTTTAGCTGGTTTGTGTGCTACAAGATGCCGTATAGTTGTAATAGTCTATTGGTTGTAGCTGAGATGTCTTTGATGTACGATGGTATTGTCCTTTTCATAATCTGTGCTGGTTGTGTCATAGTGGATTGAAAGAACAGCCAGTTTTGGATAAAATCCCTGCATTACATTGACTTGGAACATATGTACTTTATTTTTTGTGGTTGTTGTTATTGCTAGTCCATGTATGATATACCATACAATCAATCAATCAATCAATCAATCAATCAAGTAGTTGTTAAAGAACATCCTGGGTTGGGGGAGTCACACATCACGTTAAGACATGGCTTATTTAACCACAGCTTACTTTATAAACCATAATTAGCTTGGTTCTCACAATATATCAAGCCAAAAACAAATTCACAATATGGCTTAGTATGCTTTGTGTTAGGTTTTGGCCTCTTCCAGGCTTGGATCTCCAGTTTAGTACTCTATGAGGTCTATGAAGTAGTAAGTTCTGATAAAAGGAGTTAAGGTACCAGCTATTTCTATCTTGGTTCCTGAAATTATCATAGCAGGTATAAGTGATCTTGGTTGATCTAACAAAATATTAAGCAGAATCAGACTGATTAGTAGTTAGATGGTCTCTTTCAGAGAGACCACAGGGTTACAGTTTAGACTGAGAACTCTAAGACCAATCATATCTTCACATCTATATAGACCTGCCATAGAAAAATGTAGGAACCTGCCATATAAGCTAAATATGGGATATTCATATTCATCTAAGTATAAGTCAACTTTTCCCTAATCTGGTACTTTCTTGGCATGTTGAGTGCCTATTTTTGCTTCTTCATTGGCTGTCCTAAATGACCAAATGCATGTAAAGGTGATCCAGACTAAAAAAGCTACTTGGATAAGCAGCAAAACATATAATACTCAAAGAAAAGAGGTCCAGTTGCCATGACTCAACTTCCAGACAACTCTACTTGGGTGACTAAGAATCTTCATCAACATATTATCCAGTTGAAGACGTTTAATCTTATTCATAATATTGACTGGAACAAGGAAGAGTAAGAAGTAAAACTATTTTTTTCCCAAATTCTTTTCCCAGGCCAATGATCAGGATAAGCCAGAAACCAATAATAGCTATTTGCATTATGAAATTATGCCTAGCAATTTCAGCATCAACTTCACTATTAACCCAGATACTGGAGATGTGGTCAGCAAAGGGCCCTTGGACCGAGAAGCTATTCCTGTGGAGCTCAATGGGAAGATAGTGGTGACAATACTTGTAGAAGACTTGGGGATCCCTCAGTTGAACACCACGGTCAATGTCACCATCACTGTGGAGGTAATCCCACTGCTCTTTGCTAGGAGTTTGAGCTAAGGCAGTTGGAGAAAGAGGTGGTGGGAATGTAAAAGTATAGGTGGAGAAGGGGACATGTGTAAAATACTCCAGAAATGAAATTTGATTTTATTTTGCAGACAGGTAATTTTGGGTAATAGGGTTTCAATTTTATATGGCATCAACATAACATAAATACTTCTTGCCTTAGGACAAAAATGACAATGCACCCAGCTTCAGCAGTTCAAATTATGAATTCTCTGTTTATGAAGACTTGCAAGGTATGATTCATTGAATCTCTTTGATCTGGACTGGAAGTGAAACTAGAAAATATTTTGTAGAGTATTCAAAGTGAGGAACTAAACAAATCACCTACAAAGCTTTACTGGATCAAATGACAGCAGCCTAGTTGAGTGTTCTTTTCCCAAAATCACCACTATAATAAGACCAGAAGCTGGACACAGGACTTTCTTGCTCTAGTTCCTAGATACCTATTACAGGAATAAGCAATATATAGCTCTAAGGATCAGCATTCATTAATTGCATTATCTTGATCGTTTTGGGGAGAGGAAAATCTCCCAGGCCTTTCTAACCCAATCTTAGCCTTTCTTGAAGAGGAAATTCTAGATAGAATCAGGTGATATTCTTCCAAAGTTTACCCAAAGTTTTAATATATGGTATTCTGCACAGATCTTAAGGGATAAGAGGATTTACAATTGTCCCTAATTATGTATTTAACATAGGGCTGCAAAGTAGGCAGATGACATGCCATCACATATATGATTGGGTCTGCAGAGTAATCTTTAGCTTTTTTTTTTTTACTTTTCAGCTTTGATATGATGCATTGCAATTTTCATGTGTTGACAGACAAACGGCAGACAAGATTGTTGTCACTTTTCTCAATTATAACCAAAGAGGCTACGTGTGTTTTGTAAACCAAGTCAAGGGTTAAGCAAAACATAGGAGTTTGGCAACCTGTGCGAACCAAGTGATTTATGTGTTATAACATTATAACTGACATCTTCAAAGCCAATCTAATAAGAGGCAGTTTAAATCACCAAAATAGTGCACAAAAGGATTCTTGAGAACCAATAGTAGGAATGCTAATGCATGAAACTGGAGGTAGAGGATAGCATTTGCTTGATTGGGGCATCGCCCTTCTCAAGGGAACTGTAGACCTCTACTATTTTGATCTGGGTGTAGAAGGATGGTATATGTTTAACTCTACAATTATTCTAATTTTCATATTCCAATTCTATCTCAGGTGCCTTGGTTGGAGTTGTGGAAGCCAGAGATGCTGATCAAACACAAATTCACAACCGTATTTCATTCTACATTAATAGCAGCACAGGCTCAAACAACTTTCTAATTCGCTCAAGAGCCCAGGGATCTGGCTGGTATCAGGGCATGTTGTCTTTAGACCCAGAAAGTGTTCTTGACTATGACAAAATGCAGGAGAAGTTCTACAATCTCATTCTACGGGCTGAAAATTCAGACTTAGGGGAAACAGTGGAAGCTGCCATTGCCATGGTGAGGGTGTATGTGCTAGATGTCAACGATGAGTCCCCAACCATTGTACCATTTCCACCAGAAAACATTCACATTACAGAGAATGAAAAACTACATACATTAGTAGCTGAGCTGGAGGCTACTGATAAGGACACCAACCACTCATTAGTATTCCAGGAGTTGGCTGTTGCATGTTTCAACAGTACAGGCAGTGTAGGCAATATATGTCACCACTGGTTCCACCTAGTAGCCAATGGATCACTTTTTGTGACTAGTTCAGATATAGACTATGAACTGTGCACCCAAGTGGAAATCACACTGCGTGTTAAGGATGAGTTCACTGCAGTAGGAAATCCCTACAGTAGAAATGGTAAGATACCTGTATGAACACTTGCTTTCGCACTTTATTTTAATCCTGTGAGATATATCCTTCTTTATTCTTTATCCTTCCTCTAACTGTCCTACTTTTCCTTTCTACTAGATTTTTTATTAATTCCACAGGAGTAATGTAATTGTTTATAATAATCATATTCACTTGAGCTGTCTTCATCAATACCTTCCATAACCCTCACCTGCTGGCCTCCAGATGTACTAACCATGTTATGTAGGGATAATGTTGGAGAAGGCTGTCGTGGACGGCCTTGGTATTATTGAATGGAGGGAAGATTCGGCCATTGCTTCAGGGCCTGCCAGAGTAGAAAGGGACCAAGTGACAAAATGTATCACAGATTTGTTTCTCTATCTCAGGGTATTGCCACTGTCGTATTTGTGTCTTAGAAAGGTGTCTTAGAAAGGTGGCTGCAAAAAGGTATAACCACAGATTATCTGCTCCTAACAACTTCACAGCTGGAGGAATATCAGCATTGACACTGTTATATAAATGAGGGAGCAACACCTGCTATTGATGGGAAATGGGACTAGTTCTACTTGAACAGGGTTATGGCTCCAATGTGCAGGTTCTAGGAAGACATGCAGAGCTGTTTTCAAATCAATGGCTAGAACTTGTCTATTTCTGGCTTTTTTTGCAGAGACTCTGGTCATCTTAATTGATGATGCAAATGACAACGCACCCCAGTTTTATCCTGTCAACGACACCTTTGGTAAGAGCAGAGTTGTAGGACAGTTGCAACCGTGGTATGCCTCACTGCCCCCCTAATAGATACGTGGTAGTGTGCTTTAAGGATTCCCGTTCAAACAGAAATTCCTGCTAGGCTTAGTCACAGAGGCATCCATCTCTATCCTAGCTGATTGCAATTCTCATAAAGCAGGGGTGTCAAACTCGTGGCATCACAGTATCATCACGTGACATAGTCATGTAGTGTAACTTTTTCCCCCTTCGCTAAAACAGGCGTGGGCATGGCCAGTGCGTGACGCATCTGGCCTGTGGGCTGCGAGTTTGACAGCCCTGTATAAAGCTGCTTTCATCACATCACTTCCTTCCATGTATGCATTCCTCTTTATGTTAGCCAGTCATGAGGGGAGCATTCAGCTTTCTAGTTAGGGCAGAGGAATGCCATATTGACAGCCAGTCAATGGGTATTGATAGAGCTTGGGAGTAGAGAACAACAGCTCCATTATAATGTGATTTGGTAGTGAGCCTTACAGCAGAGGAAGCCCCATTGCCTTTTGCTGTTTGGATTTACTGATCTGTATCTGGTATTTCATTGCAGTAATAATCCCAGAACTCTCTCCAGTTGACCTGTCTGTGGCTGAGGTCAAGGTAAGATTATGAATACCTATTTAGCTGCACAGATTTCCTGGTTGTTGTTTTTTTTTTTTTTTTTAAGACACTAAACTGGATGCTCACACAAACTGTGTGACGGGATCTGATCATATTTCAAAGTCCATCAATATTTTTCCCCCTTCCAGGCCAAGGATGCCGATTCAGGTGAAAATGGTGTGATTACATTTAGCATCTCCGAGATAGTTTTCATTCAGGACAAAGAAGATGAACAGAAGTTTCCCGGTGTTTTCAAAGTGGCAAAAACAATGGAGAAGGATATCTCTATGGGAATCATCCGGTAAGTGATGGGAGTTTTCTTCGCTTGAAAGTATTTTAAAATGCTGCCTTATTGTTGTGCTCACATTAAATAAATGCAGGACATGCTTACTAACAACCCCACTCTTGACTTCCTTGTATTGATCAATAGGATATTGAGGATATTTGGATAGATATGTTTAATAGACCTCTTTAACCCAACAGAATTTGCACGACAAGAAGATATGGGAAAGAGCTGGCTTTTGCACCAATAGATTACTGCAATGCTTTATTTCCATACACATACATTAGTGGCTAAAATTGTGGAAACCTTTTGCGAAAACTGTATTTTATAAAACTAGTTAATAACACCACTTATTTTTGGAGTAGTACCATAAAATTATATATCAATGGAAAGATAATTTAATCAAGAATGTAATGCAATAACTTTTATGAAGGATTTGCTATTAGATAGCAGTTACAGTATAAAGAAGAAAAGTGAAACACGTAGAAAAGATATACAAAAATTATCACCATAGAAAAAATAAGATATACAAAAATTATCACCATGTCAGTTAATACTTAGTTGAATAACCTTTAGCATGAATTATGGCCTTACAACATCTTCCCATGGAGTGAACCAAGTCTTTTAGTTCTTCAGCTGTTATAACGTAAAACCAAGATTGAATGATTGCTTCTATTAACTGGGTTTTATTGCTCGGTCGCTTCTGACTAACAAGTTTCTTTAGTCAGCTCCATAGATTTTCAATTGGGTTAAGGTCTGGGCTATTCCCAGGTCATTCCAGCAGTGGAATATGATTATCTTGAAACTCAAAAAAATAAAAAGTGGTGGTATTAGCCATCAAACCTCAAAAATACACTTTTCCCAAAAGGTTTCCACAATTTTGGCCACTACTGTACTTTGAACATGTACATGGGGCTTATTGGGGATCTCTACTGGGTAGGGAGAAGGAGAGATTTGCTTGCTGGTACATTTAGAAGCAGTTAAATTAGAGCAGAACTTTGGATAATCACTTAGCTATTTAAGCTTCAATGTTTTCAGTGGGGTTACTGATCTTGGGTTTCATAGAACAACTTCAATTTGGTGCTCTCCAGATGTAGTTGGATGACAGCTCCTGAGGGGAGATGATTAGGAGAGGCTGTCATGCATGCTGAGTGACCATCTGGATATAGTTAGCAGAACACACTAAACCCAGATTAGAAAATTGCAATCACTGTGTTCACATGGAATGCTTTTGCTCAAATAATTAGCCAGATTATGGTTTAATAGTATAATGTAGCTCATACAACATAGATCACCATCAGCAGGATTCTCATAACACACTGGAAAGCGTTTTACACAATTTCATTTTACTCTTATCATTTTCTGAAAAATAAACTTCTAAATTATTGAAATGTTATCAGCAGGATCTGTTGTCATGTGGTCTTCGGCAACATCCAGCTTTTTTCTGATGCTACGATAAAGATTCCAATTTAGCAAATGCTTTGTTTGGTTTTCTGCTGAACTATCCTGAAACTTGAAATAGAAGCATGAAAGCTACCAATGCAGAAATATTTCAAGATGAAGGTGGGCAAGTCTACTTCAGGATAGTGCAGAGTTTGATCAAGGACAAGCCTCTCTAATGCTGCAACACCTTCTATTCCTACAGAATAGCAAGCAGCCTTAATAGCATGTTGGAAGGCCAATATCGGGTGAAAGTGGAAGCCAAAGACAATGGAACTCAAGCCCTAAGCAATTTCATGTCACTGGATGTAAGTTTGTTGTCTCTCCTGACCAACTTCCATCGATAGCATTTTCATAATCTCTGATCTCTGAGAATGATCATTTCTCTCTTTCTCCAGCTCTTCAGTGTGGCTAAGAGTTACCGTATAAAACTGAAATTTGGTATCGCTTTAAAGGAACTGCAGGATAACTCGAATGATATCAAAAGGTATGGCATCCTCTCACCTCTCTGCCAGCTTTTAACTGAAGTTGGGGTTTTCTGGAATGCTGACACTGTCTAAATATAGTGCTTCTGTCCATCTTGTTATGCAGAACAAGGCAAAATACAATGTCAGTTTACAAAATAAAGTAGAAAGAAAGCAGTGTGGGGTGCGGATGTGCACTCTTGTGGGCATTGACTCCATAAGTGAAGAAGGTGCCATTTAGCTTTGGCAAAGCCGTTCTTAAAACAAATGCTACATTCACATATCATGCTACACCAGATCTGCTTAACTCTGGTTTACTGAAGACACTACAATTTACTAAATTTCATCTAATCTGCTAAACTAGAGAAATCACATAGGGGGGTCTCACACATGTTGAGGCAAAGTCAGACAAGGCACATTATTCCTTAGTGCACTGTGTGAAGAAGAGCACCCAAACATATGCAACAAAAGCAAATAGTTGCTGCTGGGATTGTATCAATTTCAAGGACCTAAGATGTTAAAATATTTGACTAGGCTAGAGTAGCAGGCACTGTGCATTCAGGATTCTAGAGGTTTCTTGGTCAGAGTTAATGTCTTATGAATCTCTTGAGATGTTTTCTAAACAGAGCTGCTAAAGATGGCTGGCCCCTTTCCCCCCCAAACTTACGTTCCCCAGTATCTCCATATTTAAAATGTGGCTTTGAATTATGGCTCTCTAATGATATGAGTGTCTCATACTTAGTGGTGCAGGGTAGACCATACTCCAGAGGGAATTGGAATATACAATGAAATGTCACTAAGTAATGATTATTTTACAATTTGTGAACATTAATTGGGTTCCCTGCAGTGCAATGGCATGGGCTGTTCCAGCATGGAATGCTGATGAGACCTTCGCCTTTTTTATGTTGCTTTCAGAATTCTGAGCAAAGCAACTGGAACAACAGTCTACATAGCAGCAATCTATACAGACGATTCATCAACCTCCAAATCTGAAAGGTGATTTGAACAGAGGGAAGCTATGGTAATGAGGACGTAACTGAGGTTAAAAAGCATATAAAATGGTTGGTGAGGAAAAAGGACATATGTTGAAATATTGGGGGTATATTTTGCTACAGCAACTAGCATAGGCATACTCAGTGGAATGGTGTTGGTAGAATTTACGAAAATGGAAAGAGACTTTTGAGATTCCAGCATGAAGTTAGCATCTGAGTGAGCAATGTAGTTAGTCACTTTTTACAAATGATCAGGCTGCCTTTATAACACTGATTTCTTAGGATGCTTCCTTTTTTTTTTTAGGTGATTGGAAAGGTAGCCATTGAGATAGCTCTTGGATTGGTCATGGTTCTAAGGAGGCCGTGCTGGTACTGTCCCTTCAGTCCATCTATCTTACATGCCTTTTTATCTTCTGTAGGGCTCCGGAGAAGACTGCAATGGATGCCTATTTTGTTTACAAGAATGGCACAGCTCTGACTGATGAACATGTGCTCATGTAAGGGTCACATTGCTCTCAATTTAATAGGGAAGGAATAGAGGTCAAATAAAAATCTCATTTGGTTTAGCCCGTTCAGCTGTTAGTATGACAACACTGGAAACGGAAGTGGTCAAATTAACAAGAAAAGGTGGGGATCTTTAAATGATGCTAACCTTGTCCCTCACTCCCATCCCCAATAATTTAAGCTAAGAATCACCCCACACCTTCTAAATCATATTTTAGAATTAGTGCTTCTCTCCCCATGAAATTTCAGCCTGGGCAAAACATCTAAATGTATCAATGTATATGGAGCTAATATGATGGAAACAGAGGAAAAATAATGCAGAGGAAGGCTGAGTTTAAAGAAGCAATTGCTGGTGGATAGTTCAGCATAATGACATACATACATAAAGTGTGTGCGTGTGGCACTAAGTGAGAAGTTGGAACAGATTTTTTGTTCATTTTTTAAAAATCAACTCATGCTTAATTTTATTGTACAGTAGTTGCAAATACCAAACAGCTCATGGGAAACTCTTCCTAATCATCCTCAAAATATGTTTTCTCCAGGCTCATTCGAAGAAACCCGGAACAGTTAGAACAACTTACCAGTCTTGGCTTGTCGGTCATTGTGAGAGTTCTTATCTTTCTAAATTAATGCTTCCAAATTCAGATGAGTTGAATTTGAAAACAAAACAGAAAAGTAGGAATGAAAGTAGCAAGATGTATGACTAGGGAAGACAATAATTTTGTGCCAGAAGTGAGCAAACCAGTTAAGAGAGAAGCCGTATAGAGGAAGCCAAAGTTTCATCTGGAGAAATAGGCATCCAGCAATGGGGAATATGGAACTTCAGGCTACATTTTTTGCATTCCTTTCTTATTAGCCACACTAGGTGGCAATGATGGAATTGTAATCCAAAAGGTTTGGCCGGCAGCTAGGATGGAGAAGTTCTGTCTCCAAAAAGTCCTCCTCAAATCAAACTTGGCACCTAATGACTCCTTGGGTGCACAGGTGCAATTTTCTTGACAACACTATGGAAGAAACCCTTTTCTGTGATTTCTGCACCCCCCCTCAACTTCCCAGCATAACCTTTAGCGTTAGCCTATGTGATACAGACCGGTCTCCCCCAAATTAGCATTTTCCTGATGTTTAGACTATAGCTTCTATGATGCCCAACCAATATGATTCTGCTGATTGTAGACAATGTGAGTTGCAATTTGATATGGGGAGCATCAGGATGGGGAAAGCTAGAATGGACTCTGTAACAAGTGAGCTATTATAACACATTGGTATGTTCTCAGGGTCCTGCAGATGTGAAAGAACCTAAGAAAGACATGGAGTTGTTTGGTATTATTATAGGGTTGACAGCAGCTGTCTTCATCCTCCTCCTCATCCTGACTGGGACAGTAATTGGCATGAGAAAAAGGTACATCAGCTCAATTTTCCAATGTTTTTTCTTCTTAATTCCTGAGCAGAATCTGGGTGAATTCATTGCACCCAGAATTTTCCCTATGGCTGCAAACTCTAAACCCTTTTGCCCTACCATATTGGCTTCACAACTGTAAATGCCAGTGTAGCAATCTCCATCGGATGGTCTATTCTTCTACTATTAAGGATTCCCTTCAACCCACATGTCAATTTTGTACAAACAAACTTACTTTCTTTTTGCAGTTATACAAGGAAGTTGAAGGCACTCAAAGCTTTGAAGGTGGCTTCACATTTCTCAGCCAATGAAGTGCAGCAAGGACCTGCCATCCCTGGGACCAATAAATATAATGCAGAAGGGTATGTGGGCATAGGAAATGGTTTGCTGCATTTAGAGAGAAGGAGGTATAGCTTGTGACAGAAGCCCTGAGTTGTGGAGGGATGCGTTTCTTGGTTGTGTTAGATTGGGTTGTGGTTTCTTGGTTGCCTGCATTTTTAATTTTTTGTAGGGTTTGTAGTTTTATTTTTGTTCGCTACACAGAGTAAGTCATTGGTATAGGTGGCCATATAAATTAGATGGAGAGAGAGAGTGAAAGAGAGGGAGGGAGGGAGGTGGAGGGAGAGATAGATGATAGATTGATAGTTTAAGTTCCCACCTCCTGAAAACTATCTAATCCTTTACATTGCTAATTTTCAATTATAAAACTCTCTGTTGGGCAGATCCTATGCTGAATTTGAGTATGCTGAAAATAAACAGCATCTTCAAATGAACAAAAAGCTGAATGTGATTAAAATTGGAGACCTTAGAAATTATGGCAGGGTTGTACTATTGAAACTATAGAAGTGCCCAAGAAAAATGTAAGACCATCTATCAGTCTTTGGGAAATATGAAATCTCTCTGAGGCTTCAAACCTGTTTTAGGAGGGCAAAATTAGGATAGCAGTTGCTTGTTGCTTGGTTGGAAGGTAATCCACATTGTGGAAAATTAAAGTTTTAGTATCTTTGCATGCTACCTTGGCAGTTTCAACGGATTGTATACAGCTAGTGGCATACGCAAGAGTAGCTGTAGGACATGTTTGCTGCCAAATGCTGTGTTATGGCATTCTCTGCTGGGCATAGGATTGGATACGCAAGACATTCACGTGTAAAACATTCTTCTGCAGGGCTAATCCTGTGCTTGGTTTCTCCTTGGATCCTTCTATGAACTTTGAGGAAAACGCCAGTTCTGAGGTGGCCAGGTAGTATGATGAATTTAATATTTAATTAATCATCATCTATGCAAATACAGAATGTGATTGTGCTGTGACTGCTTTACTCAAAGCTTTATCTCGTACAGTTCCTGAAATCTCTTTGAACCCTCCCACCCCATATTACTTTTGTCATTGAGGTGTCGAATTTCCCACATGTGCTAAAAGTTAGAAACCAGAGGAGTCTCCAGAACTAGTGGAGGCAATAATGGGGCTATGGAGACTTGCAGCAAGAGATGATAAAAAGTTCCTAGGACATCAAAGCTGCTTTTTGTATTACAGCCTGAACTCTCTGGATGAAAACATGGTTGATGCTGCACACGACTTATTTCCTGCTAAACTGAAAGTAAGACACCTATCACATTTTTTGCACATTGAATATTTTTGGGTACGGTATGTTTTCTTCCAAGTAAATATATTACTTACTTTACTAAGAATAAGTTAACCTCTTATATCTATAAGGGATTTTTTTTTTAAGTAATAGAAATTTTCACATATGGAAAGTATTAAAACCGAGTTGCATTATCTTTACATTCCTGGGTGGTAAGTCAAACCCTGCTTTCACCTTCTGCTTGATTTATGATTAACACATACAATGACAAACTGGAAATTATCTGCTGTCCTGTCCTTTATTTATGAAGTCTTTTTTCTGTTTTGGGCAGAATCTATGCCCTCTTAACTAAAACCTTAAGGGCTGATAAGCTGGATTCACACTTTGTGGTTAAGTTGTAGATCACCGAGCAAACTTTAATGGCTTGATTCATAACATATCATAAACAATAGTTTACAAATCACAACTTTTTGATTTCTGTAACTTACAAAGCCAGAACTACTGGAACAAAGTTTGTGGGTTACCCCAATTTCTTCATGAAGATGAAATTATCAGTAAGGATGCAGCTATATCTGTACACTCATCTCTCTGGTTCACCCCTCACTGATAACCTGATCTTCATGAAGAATGTGGGCTTGTGCTGCTCAGTTTTATATCACTTCTGTTGTTAGGCCTTTCCAGTCTCTACAAGGAATGGCATGAGAAGTAAGCCTGCCATATGTTCACACAATCACAGTCATAATCTACACTGTGCTTGGCTGTTTACAAGGATGCCAGATGGCCAAGTATGTATTTGAAAACAGAGTGGAAAGACCCACATTCATCTGTGCTGTGCTCTAGAAGCATAGTGTTTTGGATCAACCCCTTCTCAAAGAAAATACTTTTCACATACTTAACAATCTCCCTCAACTTGGGACCCTACAGGTGGGCTGGAAATACAAATTCCAGAAGTTGTCACTAGTGTAGACAAAGGGTAGGGATTCTGGGAGATGCACTCTCAGTCCATTTAGAGGGTGCCATGTTAGAGACAGCAGTTTTGTGATACAACAGAAACAACAGCTTCAACAATTGTATACCCCCTTTTTCTGCTATAGATCTGCTGTTAGAAGTATCTTCCAGCTCCTATATGTAAGGATACGAGCTGGTGGGTAAACTGTGTAGGATGTGGCTTTTTAAAATATATATATTTTATATATATATCTCCAGACTAATAAAGCCTAGGATATGGTGTTTATATTGTGTGGCAATCCAAAACTATTGTTATCCATCACTTGTAATCTACAGAAACAATAATTCTTAAATATGATTTTACTATTTTCAGCTGGACAAAACAGATGCTCAGCAGGAAATAAACAATTGGGAAGAGCCCTTGAAAGCTGCTTTAGACAGCCATAGGAAGTACAAGCCACTGCAGCAAGGGAACTTCAAACAGGCACCTCTAGACTTTGGAAACTCTTCTTTGAATACTACAGAAATGTGACTGTGCCCATTTCCTTCTGGCAAAACAATGTCCCAAATGTATAGCAGCTGTGACCTGAAGATGCTGAAATACTAATGAAATAAATTATAAAACATTGGGATATTGCCTTCTCTGTGGGGCCTGAATTAACTCAAGGTTTCCACCTTAAACTGTACCATATCTGCTCTAAACCAGAAGCAAAGATAGACTGAACAAGATCATGGAACCGGAGAACTGGAAGAAGCTTCTTGGGCCATTAGATCCAGCATCCTGTGGGCTTAGGAATCCAGCTGAAAGATACTTACATGTGGCTACTACACAAAATTGTTAGGGTAGTCAGTAAAACAAAATGCTTCAATGGAGACAAGGCAGGGAATAAAAGTTTAGTATGAAGATAGTGGTAACGATAATTGAAAATATTGAACTTAGTTACTGGTCAGTAAGAGTTCTGATCCTGCTTTAATGGGGTGTGACAGAATGACTTTGGGCCACTGAAGCATGAGCTTGTCCATGTAGTCAGTAGAAGTCACAAGTAACTTATGGACACTATTAGTCTCTGGGTAGACACCTTCACTATCCAGGCTCGTCATCCCATCTCACCATTGCTGGAGAAGATCTAAGTCTCTTGCTACTTTATTACAAACATTACAAAGGTGGCCAGATGGTGGTTTTCATGGAAAACTCAGATATCTTTAAAAATAATCGAGCACAATTGTTTTCCTCCCCTCCCCCCATTCCTAAAGGTTCTGCACAAAGTAGTGATAGTATCAAACCTTTTTATTTTCGGGCAGAAATTTTTAAGTCTTTATTATTAAGATGCTTGGAAGTGAGCTAGAACTATACCAGCAAACACACCTTATTTTCTAACATGTACCATTGTTTATATGCACAGGTTCGCCAATTGCGACCCTACTTGGATCAGGAGGCTCTCCTCACAGTCACTCATGCCCTTGTCACCTCACGGTTAGATTGGGGGTTACCCTTAAAAAGTGTTAGGAGGCTACAGTTGGTCCAGAACGCAGCCACGAGAGCTGTCGTGGGTGCACCTAGGTATTCCCACATTACACCAATTCTCTGTGAGCTGCACTGGCTCCCTAATGGTCTCTGGTCACAATTCAAGGTGTTGGTTATTACCTTTAAAGCCCTACATGGCTCAGGGCCAGGGTATCTTCGAAACCGTCTTCTACCACATAGCTCCCAGCGACCGGTAAGATCCCACAGAGATGGTCTCCTCAGGGTCCCGTCAGCTAAACAATGCCAGCTGGTGGGACCACGGGGGAGGGCCTTCTCTGTGGCTGCCCCAGCTCTCTGGAACCAGTTACCTCCTGAGGTCCAGACCCCTATTGGCCTTCCGAAAAGCGGTGAAGACCTGGCTCTTCCGGCAGGCCTGGGGCCATTGATCTCGCTGCCGCGATTTGGCGAGATCCGGCCATGAATGGTGTGAATGGGTTTTAATTGTTTTTAATGGTTTAACTTTTAATGTTTTATATATCGTTTTTAAATGCATTGTAAGCTGCCTTGAGTCTTCGGAGAAAGGCGGCATACAAGTTGAACAAACAAACAAACAAACAAATAAATAAATAAATATGTGCTTTCACTTTTTGGCTCTCTAACCAGGGGTGAAATCCAGCAGGTTCTAACAGGTTCTGGAGAACCGGTAGTGGAAACTTTGAGGAGTTCAGAGAACCGGCAAATACCATCTCTGGCTGGCCCGAGTGGGGAGGGAATGGAGATTTTGCAATATCCTTTCCCCAGGAGTGGGGAGAGAATGGGGATTTTGCAGTATCCTTCCCCTGCCACGCTCACCAAGCCACACCACGCCCACCAAGCCAAGCCCACAGAACTGGTATTAAAAAAAATTGGATTTCACTCCTGTCTCTAAAAATGTGTGGGCTGGCACACATGATGGCACTATAAGATAGAATAAGGCAATTCCTCTTTGGGTATAAGAAAACAAATATTTCTTAGGCTAGAGAAAGGAAAACGCGTCTGGGATTTTTTTTTACCCTTGTATCAGTGTAGCTTGTAGGTACAAGAAAAATGGAAATGTTCCATTTTTGGTGTCTGTATGAATTTGAAATGCCGGCCAATGTGGACTATCTTACAGTACAAGTGTGACGTTTGCAATTTATGACTTGAACAGAGGATAAACTTGTAATTTGAAGAACTTCTTTTTGAAAGTTGCAAAAATGATCATTCTCCAGCTCTTTCTAGAACCTGCCAAGGGATCACGTTTGAGAGCCTTTCAACCCAATGTTCACCATTCTCAGCAGGGAGACTATGCAGAACTTCAGCCCAATAAAGGGAAATCATCCCTTTCCCCCCCCACCACCACAAACACACAAACCCCTTGACAAACACAAAGAAAGCTTTTTGAGCAGAAACTGTTGATTGTTGTGTTGGGTTTGTTTGGGTATTTTGGAGAAAATTTTATTATCCAACAGGTTTACAAGTAGTACCCTAAAGATATAAAGAAAGGGAGAAAAAAAGAAATCAAAAGGCAAAATTACTCTTTAACAATTCAGCATTGCTTGGTACTATAAATCCATATGGCACGTAAACACCATACTGAGAACAGCACACAAAGCGGGGTGGGGGGGTGGGAAGGTTCTTCAGGGGTTCTGTAGGTTTCCCCTCAATTCTGAGGAGGGAGCAAGGGGGAAAGTCCATTGGCCAGAGCCTCAGCAGCTCTTCCCGTTCTAGGCATAGTGCGGCAGGGTTTGTAGATTTCACCACAAATGCTTGTATTTCCAGATTGGATGCCTCTTCCCCAATTCTTCTCTTGCATGTCTGAGTCTCAGCTGACTGTGCTGGTAGAGCCTGTGCCCTCTGTGCTATGCCCTCTGACCTGCAAGGCAAGTGAAATCTCAAGACAACCTGGCTCTGCATCTGCAACTGGAAGGCTACTTGTGAACACTCCCAGAGCACTCTGGGAACCTAGGAATGCAGCTGGCTGAAGGGTTAAGTCCATCCTCCAGCAGGTCTTCCAAAAGCCCTGCTTAATGAATGGAGGACAGCTTGCCAGCCCGATACACTTTAGGTGTAGCTTTACGCAGGCAGTGTTGTTGCTAAGTCAGTGCAGTAATTCCACATTTCCCTGTGTATCAAATCTAGTGTTGTACTTCAGCAAACGCCTGCTGAAAGCCGTTACGAGCTTAGACTTTTCCATCAGCCAGACGCCCTCCGAGAACAACGCTGGCTGGAAATGATAGGCGGTGTAGTCCAACATCTCTGGAGAACACTCGGTTGGAGAAACCTGACATAGATTCTCTTTCTCTTGTGCAGGATAGCAGACAGCCAAACCATTCATAGGCTTGCATTGTTTACAAAGGTTTTAAAAGCTACTTAGAGATGAATTCCCCCCCGCCCCCCAACAAAAAAAAAACCCTCTGTAAATGAGTTAATTTTCATTGTCTGGAGAAAAGCCAACATTCAGAAAGCTTTTTCCCAATCATCAGAAGGAAATACACCCTTGCATCATGGGAACACAATGCAGCCTGGTTTTTGAGGGTTCGGTGAAGAGATTTTTACACTCCAACCAGGAGTTCAAGTAGGACTCATTAACCATGTAACACTGCAAAACAAACAGATATTTTTTAGGTAGGTAGATAAGTAGGGAAGGATGGATGGATGGATGGATGGATGGATGGATGGATGGATGGATGAAAGGAAGGAAGGAAGGAAGGAAGGAAGGAAGGAAGGAAGGAAGGAAGGAGCCAATCCATTCAGTCTTGAATAAATGAATGGGTGCTGCATCTTGTCAACTGTAAAGAGATACAGAAAGTCTTTCCTTTGGGGGCATACCCTCCATTATCTAGACTCAAAGAGTTCATCTCCATTCAGAGTATAATGGTCAGTGTTCCCCTTTTTTTCATGGCAGGACTTCCTGAAGAAGAAAATTTCAGCAGAAGAACTTTGCGTACTTTTCATGAAGAGCAAACTTGATTTGTTCACTTTTTCCTTTTAACAACAGCTAAGTAGCACAGCCCAGACAGGAAAAAAAAATCACAATAGTAAGTGAAAATGAAAATGTTATTTTCTGACAAAAGTTAGAATAGTATTCTTCTACTCAATTAAAAATAGATTTTTGGCACTATATTTCCCATTGGAAGCTCCTTTGAAACAATAGTTGATGTAGCTGTCTAGAAAACTACCATCATAAAGAAAAAAATAAACTGGGTCTTCCCCACATTACCATCCTCATTTCAATTTATCAGTTATTTCTCTCAGACACAGCTCTGCTCAAATTATATTACTTACGGGAAAAGTACAAAATCCCAAATCCCCAGTACGAATATTAATAACAGAAGAAAAATGAAGGAGATAAAAAAGAGGAACAGCAACATCGAGAAAAAACAAGAATTTGGTCCAGAGTAAACAACAATTTTTAAGCCCCCATATCCTGACACATATGAATAAAATATTTCAGCCCACACAAACCCTTTGGGGGAAAAAATCCGGAATATAATACTTGCCAATTTTCAGGTGGCAATGGACCTCTTTGTTCTATAAAGAAAACAGTGTAGACTGCAAAGAGGCAAAGATACATATGTACATGCATTCAAGTGCACACAAGATGCACATCAAGCCGCCCATTTGCACACAAGATATGAATTCTTCCCAAGGATTAGTTTCTCAGGCAAATGGATTGGTTGGTGGTCTCAGGACACTGGCGTGGGGTCTAAAACAACATCTATGGGCCTCAGCGATGCTTGCCAGCCATTTATGCTGCAAAGGGGCTAAGCCCATAGAGAGAACCCACCATCAATTCAATATCTAGGCTATAAAGTTTTGACTTGCAAGAGGCACAGACCTTGGGCCTGAGGAGGCTATTGATACTATGCAGACCAAGGGTGATTAAATATTTTGCCTACATTTTTCTTTCGCCTTAGGAATAGCTCAGTTTCTTTTGAACTATCACTCTAAATCAGGCATGTCTGACCTTTTAGTTTGCCTGGACTGCAGTGAAGAGAATTATCTTGGGCTGCATATAAAATATATAACATAGTTAATGTATATCAATAACAAACTTCCTTTAGTTTTAGAGGCTGCATTAGTAGCTGTCCATGGCTGCATGGAGGGGCAACCTGAGGGGCAAAAGTTGGACACGCCTGTTCTAAATTGCCCTTCTGTGCAAAACAAACACAATGTAAACCCATACTCATACTAAGGTAATGTCTGCACACAAAAAGAAACTATGTGTAAAGTTTTGGTCAATTTTTTTTAAAAAAAGTAGATGTGGGCATGAACACTATACTTCTTTAAAGTCCCTTCTTAAAGCAGTTGCATCTTTGGTCTGGGCTTGTACTGTATGGTAACCAAGGAAAATATGTTTTAAGGAGTCATCAATAATATGCAGGAAGGTGCTTTAGAGTCGGCCTAAATGCCTCAACTCAGCCATGTTTTTCTAGTATTGTATGGCCACTATGCAAACCCAGAAAAGATGCAAGGTGACACCAACAGGTGTGGCATGTGGGCCCTGCCAACTACGGATCACCATTTTTGTTTCAGATCCAAAGTGATGCACATCCCTAGATGTGAATCATACTTCATGAATTGGGTGATTTGCTTGAAATTGTTCCACTGGATTACTTCCTGGATATATGAGATGATGTGGAGGAATGTTACTGGCAAGCAAAATACCATGATAGGAAGGAAATTTGTCTGTGTGGAATGGACAAATAAATGAGCGCAGTAGCCATAGCTTCTTCTACAATGTTACTGTGTTTTGCTTTCCTAAACCATTTTTGAAAAGGGCTTCTAGATGTATTGGTTCACAAGTCCTATTACCTGTTATCAGTGTGGCTAAGCTGATGGGGATGGTCATCTAATAAGCTAGATGAGATGTGATCAAGGAAGGCTGAAGATGGGAGGCCTTTGACAAACCACAAACTGAAGAGCAGAGTGGGCAAGTATTCAGCATATACATGTTTTTACTCCCAATTATTAGAGGCTCACATACATACAATTTTTGGCTTGGCCTTAGTTCCTAAAGGATGGGGGATTGTGAAGAAAATAGATTTTCAGAGGTCTTAAGAGTTGACATTCTGCATTATATTGTGAAAACTTTCCAGTCAGCTGTACAGCTCTAAAGCTACTGTAACGCCCTCAACATTATCTCCAAAGACTTCAAGAGTTCGATCTTTCCAAGCTATATCAAAGAAGTCATACTTCACAAGCACAGCCGTGCAAGTTTGTTGTAGCAAAACAAAGGTCCTGTTTTGGATCTATGGGGTGAAACAGCATGGCTGCCAGTAATTTAGGAAGTAAGGCTGCTGGTCCTTACCCCATCAATCATTTTTTAAAAAATGGCACATGAAAAAATACTCAGTATGCACGGTGCTTACAACACTAAATAAGCTTGTTCTGCTTAGCCTAAAAGCAGACTCAGGGACTGTCTCCTAAGCAGCCCCCTCCTTATCATGCTATCCTCATCGGAGGGTACAGAAAGAAAAAGGTTTCCAAAGGATGGAGACAGCTTTGCAGAGAGCAATTGCATTTGAGAAATATGTGCACATTTATCAAAGAAAATCACTGATGGCAAAGAAACTGGGACCAAGCCTTGATAGAGCACTGATTCACTAAGAACTAAGTCTTGATCCTCTATGAAACAAAACATATTATTATTATTATTATTATTATTATTATTATTATTATTATTATTATTATTATTATTATTATTATTATTATTATGTGGTAAAGGTGCTACTCAATGCCTTTCTCTGGCTTCCATAGCTAATCATCAAGAACTGCCTCTCCGGCTTTGAACCCGCCCTGTTAGTTACATTAGCAGGAGAAGCTCTCTCTCAGGCAGATGGGAGGGGGCCTTCTATTATAGGACTCCCAGAGAAAACCATAAACGGGGAAAAAAAACATTGTTGTCTGTCAGTTTTCCAACAGCTAATTGATTTAAGTAAAACTGAATTTGAGTTTAATTGCATGGATTTTATTACGTTTAATATTCTGCAGTTTTAAACTGCAAGTCACCCCAAGTGCCTGAATATTGTAAACAGAAAGGTGGGAATGAATTTGATGCTAAATGGATAGATATATTTAAAATCAGAAAGGAGTTTATTTTCGTATTAGGGAAAGGGATAGCCCCAGTGATTTAGGAATTAGGCGAAGTATGTTTGCATTGAAAATATGATGCTGCACCATTCAACATGTGCTCTAAGAAATATAAGGTTATTTCCAAGCAGCTTAGAACTTGAGATTTGCATTTATGTGCCCCCAGATTCGGTTTCTTTGGATCAAAGAAGTTGCAAAATATGATACATTTATGGTAAGCATTCCACTCATGCTCCATTCTCTTTAGAAAAGCACTTTCCCATCTGAGTTACTCCTAGGGAGAGCCAGAAAGCTTAACCATTAACAGCTGTGAAAAGCATGTTTCTGGCATGCTAAAAGATCCAACGTGTGTGTTAAGTGGATTTATATGTAACAGACAATGTTTAGTTGTGGCTCCTACTTTGCTGCATTCACAGACTGTTATGGAATCAAATAATGGCAGCCTCCGGGTTACAGGAGGAAGAATCCAGAAAACTATGCCTACTATTTTATTAATTACTACTGCCTTTTTCTTACTACCACCACTCCCTACAACAACTACCATCTGCTAAGGAAGGAAATAAGAATTTCTGACAATAGCATTAGGAGACCTCCAACTGGAGCAACCTACATGCACATGGGTCTACTTATCTGGGTGAACCAGGTGTCACTGTCACTGGTCTTTCAGTGGTTCAGCAACAGAACCAAGAAAGATTCTGGAGTGGTTAAAACCACAGTGGTTGTTTTAAAACGTGCTTCATTTAAATAGATACTGTAGCTTCTTCTGTTTGTGGAGGATCCCAAATACTTAAAGATGGCCATTCCCTTATATCTTGGATGACTTTGTTTTCAGAGATGTCAGTGTGATCGTGTGATTATTTTAAAATGACAAGCGTGGGCTATCAGAGGGCTGTATCAATTGGGCAGCAAAATCCCAAAGATGATCTCCATCCTATAGTAAATAGGTTGTTGAGACCTTTGTATTTTGTCATTGTGGAGATTACACAACCAGCATGAAAATTGCACTCGGGGTGTAAGCAGCAGGTATAAGTGCTGCTCTCAGGAATGTGTAAGTTCTTCAGGTGTATATGAAAACACCTATCACGGGGCGGGGCTCAAAGCTCTCCAGCCAAACTTATCAAGCTTATAGTTCAGTACTTTGCCAACATTTTTAAAATATGCCACTTGAAGAGCAGTAGATAGAGGTGCCATAACATTACAGTTTTAAAATATTAAAAAGGGATCATTCCCTCCCCCCTTGCCTGAGAAACTACATAATATTTGCATTTTCCAGCTACAATAAAAACCCAAGAAAATGACAAGAACACATTTCACTCCACAGCGGGGCCTCCACGAGAGCAGCAGCGCGGCCGTCGTACATTCTGTAGGAGCGCCCTGAACACACTGGGCTGCCTCTTGATCTCACCCTTGCGTGAGGCAGCCTTGACAGAACTGGAGCGGGTACTCTGGGGAGTCATCACCATCTGCCGACCATGTTCTTCGATCTGCTTCTCCAGATGCTTCTGTATGGCCATTCCCAGCACTTCTACCTCCATGGAGGCTCCATATACTTCCCATGTCATCCCCTTTTCATCCCAGCTGACCTCCCGTATTGGCTCCGATGTCTCTTCCTCTGCACTCTTAATGTGCACTTCAGGATAGGATGATTGAGGGGATTTGGTTACCGGAGTCATAGGTCCCGTGGCCACTGACCTGGTCTCCACTGGGATGGACACTTGCATCTCCACATCCCTTTTTGTGGGTTTCTCCTCTGGACCAGGACTCTTCAGAGAAGTCCCTAAACCTCTTGTATGAAATGGGAAAGCTGAAGAGCCATCAGGTGGATTAATAGGGCTGATGGCTACAGACACCAAAGATACCCGATTATCAACCTGAGTTCCAGCATCATGCTGGGGAGGCGTGACTTCCAATATGCAGGTCTGGGCAAGATGTCCTACAGATGTCATCTCCTCATTGGTTGCATGTTCCTCACTTGTAGCTCTGCTAATCATCTCCACCTTTTTCCCATGAGCTTGGTCCTGACTTTTGCAGCTGGAGATTGTTGCTTCCCTGTGCCCTGTTTTCTCTTCCATGGATTCAACTGGGCTTGATTCTAATTCACCTGATGTGCCTTGATGTTTGACTTCATAAGAAATGCTGGTGACAAGGACATCTGGCACTTTATTGGAGCTTCCAGGTGGGTGAGTTTCTGCAACAGGGAACCTTGTTTCCTCAGTATCACTCAAAGGATTCTTTGCCGCAACAGGCTTGGCTGACCTCTCTGAGGTGGTTTCAGCTTTAGAGGGTTCCAGAATAGACTCCTTCATAGCGTCTGACCCAAAGAGACTTCTGGAATCTTCTTTCCCGTATTCCATAGCTTCACTGCTGATGTGTGATTTATCTCCTTTAGAGGCAAGAGGCTGCCCTTGACTTGTGTTTTGCAGGCATGCAGGAAGTGTTGAACCCATCTTGGAATGAACTGTTTTTATTTGGCTACATTCCTCCTTAGCTTTGCCTGTGGTGGGTTCAAAAAATGCAACATGTTTCAGGGAGGTTGGTGTGCTGGATGAGTCTTTATTGGGTCCTTTGAGGCAGGGCTCTGTTGGGAGATGCCTACATGCTTCTCCGGCAACAGGGCTAACTTTTTTTCCCAGAGAGCTGCAGATGGTCACTGTGCTATTTGAGATCTCCTCCATCCTCTCATCCTGCTTACTGTTCTGTTTCCACTCGTGGCAAGCTGCAGCTTCTCCTTTTGCTTCTGGGGGAGTTCCTCCAACACCTGTGTTTTTTAGAAGGGGGGGCTCAGCAGCAGCAGCAACTAGATCTACAGAAGACTTTGGATCCACAGCTTGAGCCTTCTCTTTCTGATTTGGGTTATCCACCATGGCAACTTTTTGGCTGCTGTCTTTGGTGCCAAGTTCATTTACACAGCAGTTCCTCATGGTGAAATCTCCGCTTGCACAGCTGACGTTTTGGAGGCAGCTGTTTTTTTTACAATCACAAGGTGAGCTGGTGATGGGCTTGTCAGCATCTTCAGGGACAGCTTCTTGGTTCAGCAACTGCAGGGCCTCTGTCTCCCTAGCACTGCCCATCTCTAGGCAGGACCTCTGCCATGCTATTCTTTGTACCGCTCTTAGAAGGTTCTGAAATGAGAGAGAGGGTGGAGAAGAAAGAAGACAATTATCTGAGGTAATCTCAAAGAAAAACACAATGATCTTAAAGCTATCTGTCTTTGATGTCTTCTAGGTCAATGATTCCTCTGCATTATTTGGGAGAGTTTACGATGTTTGCTGCCTTATACAAAATCTGAGAGATGAAATAAGACTTGGTATTTTACAGTCTTGGATTTCTCACCACTGAATTCTAGTACAGTACAGGTAGTCCTCAACTTATGACTGCAATGGAGCATGGAATTTCTGCCATAAGTCATGAGGCGCCTATGTGACCAACTCGATTTTATTATCTTTTTTTGCAGCAGTTGTCAAGCGAATATAGTAGTCATATGGCAAGTCATTTTTTTGCTTGAAACTGGCTGCTGCTGGAATTCCTGAACTGGTTGTAAGTAGCTTTTGGGTGGGAGGTCAGAACTTCAAATGGTCACCAAGTGAGGACTACCTGTAATTCCATCCCCTTCCTTGTTTCCTTCCCATTCTATACTTTCATAATGGTCTGCTTGGGCATTTAGTTCTGTTCAAACAACATTGAGTTTCTTATGCAAATATTGAAATCTGTAAAAATTGACTAAATTGTAGCCTTTTAATTTATAATCCAGTCCATGACTAATAACAATAATGTTGTACTCTTTCAAGTACACCATCTTCTTCATCTCACTAGTCTTTAGAAAAAAATACAATAGATCAGTATTATTCCTACTTTAGGGATGGAAGACTGAGGCAGACAACCTTCAAGCTACATAAGGAACTAACGGCAGAGGCAGAATCTTCAATTTTCAATTCCCCATGGATATAGGCTTTAAGCTATGCCCATGGTTTACTGAAATTATAGAAATATTCCTGCATTTTGATAAACATTCGATAGTGGGTTGCCCTTTTCATCCATAACTGCCTTCTTTCTGGATCTCTTCATCTCTGAGATATCCTTGTAATCTCCCTGTCAGCATTCCAGAAAAACCCCAACTCCAAGTAAAGACGCGGAAGCAAGCATTTTCCAAAGTTCTCTTTACTAGAATAGGCAAACTGGCACATCTGGGGAAACCCGAATCTGAAAAGCCCGGGTTTTCCTTCGGTAAGTCAAAGCTCCCAAAACCATCCCCTTTTCCATCCAGTCAGTCACATGCTCCAATCAACATCCGTTCCATCCCGATCCAGCCCCCTGACCACTCCTTCTCCAGATGCTGAATCGCCCTGACCTTGAACGACAGGAAGAAGGCTATTATGTCTACTAACCCCCTCTCCTACTTTCCCACACATGGGAAGGTGGCAGCATTGAAGCTTCTGCCCTAATATGGCTTCCAAAGCTGACACTCCCATTCCAAGAACTAACCAAGCCCAACCCTTCTTTGTTTTTTTTTCAGGTCATCCAAGCTTTCTGAATGTTGTCAACTGCTGAACTTATGGTACTATTAGAGGCTAGATAACTCTAGGATGCGTAGGAAGAGACAGATAATAGCTCAATGTTGGTGTAAATGCTCTGTAATCGGAAGGTCTGAGTCCAATCTTTGGCATTTTTGCTTACAAAGGATCAGACAGCAGACAATACAGTGGTACTTTGCTACTCATCGTTAATTGGTTCCAGGAGGTGCAATGAGTACCAAGAACAATGAGTACCAAACAAATTTTTCCCATAAGGAATAATGGAATGAATCACAAGGCAGCCGACACAGAAAGTTCTAGCTTGTGCATTGAGCACCAAACAAACAATGAGTACCAGGACAAAATTTTCACATCAAAATCCACTTGAGTAACCAAACTCAATGAGTTTCAGGACAGTTGAGTTTGAAGCTACCACTGCATAAAGTAAAATCTGAAGCCAGGAAGAAGAAATTTGGGATTGACCTGATGGTGCACCAAGTGACTTCAGACATTCCCACAACTGCACCAACGGCCTACACTTTCTTGCTCCTTTGGTTTTTTTTTAAATACATTTTGAGACATGCTTTTTCTTTTCAATGTTGGGAGGTTGGAGCTTCCAAATCACCTTCCTCCTATCCTATCCATTTTCCGTGGTGCTGATGTTGGAGGCTGAATTATTCACACATACTTTATTATGTGTGGATAATTCATTTTGATAGTATCTAACATTATAGCACTAAGAGCCCATAGGACTACGGACTCAAAATGATTCCTTGTGAAAGTTGTCACTTTGTATAAAATACTATTCTCATCAGGGCTGTGAATAATTCCAAAGTGGTCTGGAAGAACTTTGGTCCTCGTGTAACTGCAGAATTTCTTTGCCACTAATTAAACCCAGCCTCATTATGCAGAACTGTGCAGCTCATGCAACCCCCCCACCCCCCCACCAAGATATGACTCCTTTAATTAATAGCAGGCAGGTTTTATACTCAGGTAGAGCCCAAAGCACTTCTGAAATATTTCTGAAATGTGCACAGCTGCAACTCATCACAATTCTCACAACGAAGAGCGCACACACGCACACAAAATGGAACTGCCTTAGCAGTGCAACCATGATTGGGTATACTGGCTTTCAGAATACCAAACCTTAATGTGCAGCATCATAGACCTTGCTATATGTGCTAATGCAAGTCAAGCGAGACCCTATCTCCTTTCTTTGAGTATAAAAGCATCTTTCACAAGAGTTTCCCTGTAACCCTTTTCCTCCTTGCCATTTCTCCATTTCAAAACATTTCCTGAGCAGCTTCCTTTCCTCCGTTGGGCACTTTTAAAAGTATGTTAGATTTGGAGTTTGCAACAAATTTGTGGGAGAATGAGAAATGATAGTGGAATGATAGTGGAATTTTTTTTGAAAACCATTGGTACGGAAGACCTTAAACAACCTTTCTTTATTTTGCTTTGAACCCCCTTTTCCCCAGGAGAAGTGAGTTGATAAAAAAGTTCTTCCAGAAAATAACCTGCAATCTATCCCTGAATATTTTTAACCCAGATGCAAATAGCCAAATGCAATTATCTACAGATTCCTCTAGGCATGGCCTAAGTGCGGTGACACAACAGAACGTCACTTCACACACAGATTCATCTGAAGGAAAGATCTGCTTAGGATTCTCCCAGTTTCCATTCTAGCCTTTTCAGCTGATCTAGCAGTTCTCTACAGCCCAAAAATTTACCGTATCCTCAACTCAGTGAATAAGCCTGTCTCCCCTTTCCCTTTGTGAACACAAACATTTCCGAGAGGAGGGATCTAGCACATCTGAAGCACATGCCAATCTTTCTTGTTTTTTCATGCCATTAATTTGGCTGGGATGCTGTGTCAAGTTTATAGGGCTTAAATCGATGGCCGTTCAGCAGGACATTATCTGAGATATTACATCTCTACCCCTCACATAAAAGAATATGTGTATTATGATTAGAATGAATTCTTCCATGCCAGAAATGCACTGTGTCAAGAATCTATGTTATCCCTTCAGTTAATTGTGATAAATGTCCAGTTGTGGCCTCACATATTTAAAATATCATAGCTATACTGCCACATCTGTTTATTTTTTATTTATTTATTTTTCACATTTTTGAACTGCCCATCTCCCTCAGGGAGCAGCTCTAGGCATTGTATAATAAAATATTAAAACATTTTCTCCTTTTAAATAGATAGTACATATAAGCTTTCTCAAAGAGTCAAAATTCTCCTGTGAGGACAAAAGCTCTTTCTGCCAAGATTTTAGGATGTGCACGTAAAATAATTTTGTTAACCAATTCCTAAACCAGACTTCCCCAACCTGAGGCCTTCAATATATGTTTTATTTGTTGGCGATTATGATAATTTCCCTCCCATCCATTTTTATCAATGAATAAATAAGTAAACAATTTTTTTTAAAAAAAGTATATGAAAACAGTTCCTTGTTCCAACTTGGTTTGGACTATCCCAAGATATGGAACAATGAACGGAGAACAAGCCAAAGGCAGAAGCAGGACCAATGGGTGCAAAATAATACAGGGATACAGATTTTGATTGGACACCAGAGGAAATTCTTAATAGTAAGAACTGTTGAACAATGGAAGAGGTTTCATGGAAAGGGGATGGACTGTCCTTTGCTGGAAGTATCAAAATCTATTTGTCATGGATGCTGCAGTAATGGATTCCTCCATTGGTTAGACTGAATTAGGCTATCTTTAAGCTCCCTTCCAGCTCTTACCATTTTATGATTCTTATTGCTGGAATTACGTCATTTTAATAGCATGAATGGTGATATAATCCAGATATATCTCATATTTATTTATTCACTTCATTTTTTATTCAATCTCTATAACCACTCATCTCAAATGACTCTGAGTGGCTTACAATTCCAAAACTATAAAAACAATAAAAACATCCAAAATAAATATACAGAGCTGTCAAGACAATGCAAAGGACCTGCACAAATTCATTTAGTTTGCAAAGCATTGTCCTAATCAGAAGAGATGAACAAGGAGTTATACAGGACGTTGCAAGTGCACTTCTCAACAACTGGAAATTTCAGTGAGCTCCCAGTTTCTGCAATATCACCAGACACGAGCCATTTCTTCCAAAACTATCTTTCCAGTGAAATTGAATTCTCAACATACTGAACCTTCCACCCAATATAAAATTTAATTTATGGACTAACTTAAGCAAGGAAGTACAATGTCAAATAGAAACCAGAGTGGGATATGCAGATATTTTTCTCTGAAAGGTGCAGACACAGCAGATGTACAGCACAGTCTCTTCATTTCACACAGCCAAAAACTTCTTTTTTCACTATGTCATTATTTTTACTTTATCGAGAAGCAACATGGCCTTTCACGCAAGTTGGCATCCCCAATGGAAGGTAAATTTAAGACCCAAAGAAGCCAGCTATCATAGTCTGAACAAAAGTTTCTGTGTGAAAAAAATTCTGCATTTCTCTGGCAGCTTGGACAGCTCAATATCAACCTCTGACCTCTCACCTTAAACAATTTTTCAACTTTTTAAACTTGCGTTAAGTGCAGTGCAACAAATGACCTTACATTTGAACTGCCGCCTAGTAAACTGGGCT